TATAATCCAAACAATTCCGTGCTTGGATAAGTGGCCATTGGTGGCCAAAACACAATCCCCCCCCCCGCCGCCTGTCCCCTTGTTTGTAAACCTCGGTGTAACGTCTTGCGTCAAACGCTGCGTGCAGGATAGCTCGGCGAAAACCACTTTGCTGCAGGGTCAAGGTGCTCACCAGACCTGCACCTTTTAACAATCGGACACTCCAGTCTCTGTAGGTGTTCCACAGTGAAATTAGCTCGAGTGGCAACGGTTAACATTTGCACGCTGCGCCGGTGCGCTTACGGGCAAACGATTTGTTGTTTGGAATAGTAGTTTCAACTCTCAACTAAAAAAAACAAAGTTGGATTACCACGGTTAAGCTGAGCAGTGCCGTATACAAGCGACATCGTTAAGCAGGGCAACTTTCGGTGTAAACACCACAGTGAATAATAGACCCCTGCGCACGGGGGGTCAGGCCCCACTTCACTGGAGAGGCATCGCTAGACTGCTCTCATACGCTGGCCAATACGGGCTGGAAGAGATTTTCGCCGAGCACGGATTTTTACCTTCAATTATATATGGGGTCGAGACTTCTGAGATGCGGAAAACCGGGACACACCGTAGGACGAAGAATATCTCTCAGTACCGGAAGAGGGGGAGAACTATGCCCATTGTATTCTTGGTTCTTTCGGTAAAGTCACGTAGAAGGGAAAAAAATATATATTATTGTTTCATTATTTTTTTATTTCCCTTCTACGTGACTTCACCTAAAGAACCAATAATATGAATCCCTGCAGTCACGAAAGCTTTAAATAAAAATGTATGCCCATTGTGTTGAGCAGTGTATTATTGCGTAACTGGGAAGACTTACTGATTTTAGGAGGACGGCTGCCACTAAAAGAGAACAATCCTGGGGAATCCAGGATGGGTGACATCCCTCCCGAATTTCCACTAAGCAGAGAGAGAGAGAGGCTGTGGTGGGTGGATAATTACGCCCCGTGCTTTAAGCGCGCCCTTGCTAGGAATTGAACCTCATGCTTCTGGGTCGTGAGCTTGGCAGGGTGCCGCCACTCCATTAGTGTGGCAGGTCAGCGCAGGCGGGCACACAAATCACCGAAGAGGTGACGTTGAAAACATTTTTCTATTTTCATTACAAAGGCAGTTTTTTTTTTCTCTCTCCAGCTAATTACTTGCACAATTTTGTCCCTTGTCACCGAGTATAAATAGCCCATCCAATTATAGTCTCTTTCTTTCCTCTAAATAAAGGTTTAAATCTTTTATGAGAAAAAGTGGATGTGGGTTTTTTTTTTAAACATTCACCCACGCCACTTGAAAAATAGGCTCATTAATGTTGACTGCTCCCATTTATAATTGAACCCAACTAAGTCAAACCACAGCGGTGCTATATATTTTCAAATACAATGTACAGCTTTTCGTCAATCCAATGTTGGCTGAAGATCGAAAAGATCCATAAGAGGTTTTTTTTTGGGTTAGATCGCGTAAGTATGAAATGTGTCGTTAAACCCGCCACCACCCGACCCGGCCAGTTTAGTAAGGTTTGTCACGTCAACAAAACTTGCCAATTAGTTACTAGTTCAGCACTAACCCGTGTCGCAAATATTGTTTACCCAGATTTCACCGTGCTGGTTATTTAAAGTTGGCGAAGGTCCGGAAACCAATCCCGCTTCAGATACCACTCCCCACTGTATTGTTAGCCGTGGCAAGGATCAAACTTAAGGTGACTTGGTTTATCGTGCAGTGTTTTAACTATTGAGACGCCACTTACCGCCTTATATATGTACAATATGTTCTTGATGTAAATATTAACTGTGACTTGGAATCGAACTGATGTCCGCCAGCTTCGCTAAGCACTGCAACAATTATCTTGCCGTTATTTAATGTGCGTTAATGCATTATAAATAAACATTACATTTTCATTGTCATATATTTTTTTTCTCCAAGAATGCATAGTCCGCATGCTGTACAACAACTCACCTCGAGTGAGTTGCTTGTCCTCGCAAGGTTTACAGACTCCCAGAGATGTTTAACTGCCTTCTGCACTGTTTGTTTTGTGAAGGACGATACAAAAAGCTGTTCTTGTCAAAGTCGGTTAAATTCCTTACTGCCAGTCATTCTTGACAAACAGTGCCGTAAAATCAGAATATGTATACAGCTCTTTGGTTCTTTCGGCAAAGTCACGTAGAAAGAAAATAAATTGGAATACGACGTTTCGATTGTAACACAAGCAATCGTCATCAGGTAGAAAACAAACCTAGTGAACTTAGAAATACAATGCAATCCAACACAAAGAGTCGGCTAACACAACAGTCAGCACCTTACCTGGTTGATGACGTTCTTCCAAAGATTGCTCAATTTGAGAGACAAAACACAGACACACAAGCAGAGAGAGACAACACAGAGACACAGAGAGAGAGACACACAGCATACACACACAGAGAGAGACACACAGAGAGAGACACACAACATAGACACACAGAGAGAGACACACAGAGACACACAAAGAGACACACAACATAGACACACAGAGAGAGACAACACAGAGACACAGAGAGAGACAACACAGAGACACAGAGAGAGACACATAACATAGACACACAGAGAGAGACACACAACATAGACACACAGAGAGAGACACACAGAGAGAGACACAACAGAGACACACAGAGAGAGACACACAGAGAGAAACACACATAGACACACAGAGAGACACACACAACAGAGACACACAGAGAGAGACACACAACATAGACACACAGAGAGAGACGCACAACATAGACACACAGAGAGACACACAACTTAGACACACAGCGAGAGACAACACAGAGACACACAGAGAGAGACACACAACATAGACACACAGAGAGAGACAACACAGAGACACACAGAAAGAGACACACAACATAGACACACAGAGAGAGACAACACAGAGACACACAGAGAGAGACACACAACATAGACACACAGCGAGAGACAACACAGAGACACACAGAGAAAGACACACAACATAGACACACAGAGAGAGACAACACAGAGACACACAGAAAGAGACACACAACATAGACACACAGAGAGAGACAACACAGAGACACACAGAGAGAGACACACAACATAGACACACAGCGAGAGACAACACAGAGACACAGAGAGAGAGACACACAACATAGACACACAGCGAGAGACAACACAGAGACACACAGAGAGAGACGCACAACATAGACACACAGAGAGAGACGCACAACATAGACACACAGAGAGACACACAACATAGACACACAGAGAGAGACGCACAACATAGACACACAGAGAGACACACAACATAGACACACAGCGAGAGACAACACAGAGACACACAGAGAGAGACACACAACATAGACACACAGAGAGAGACAACACAGAGACACACAGAGAGAGACACACAACATAGACACACAGAGAGAGACAACACAGAGACACACAGAGAGAGACACACAACATAGACACACAGCGAGAGACAACACAGAGACACACAGAGAGAGACACACAACATAGACACACAGCGAGAGACAACACAGAGACACACAGAGAGAGACACACAACATAGACACACAGCGAGAGACAACACAGAGACACACAGAGAGAGACACACAACATAGACACACAGCGAGAGACAACACAGAGACACACAGAGAGAGACACACAACATAGACACACAGCGAGAGACAACACAGAGACACACAGAGAGAGACACACAACATAGACACACAGCGAGAGACAACACAGAGACACACAGAGAGAGACACACAACATAGACACACAGCGAGAGACAACACAGAGACACACAGAGAGAGACACACAACATAGACACACAGTGTATGCTAACAGTGGCTTTGGACGTCAAATGTTTTGAGCCTACAGTTCTACAATATTGCCAGTTGCCGGATATGTGTGTTTACCGGGTGGTGTTTAAAAAGTCTTGCGAGTACGACCGCCAAAAACTAAAATTAGAGAACAAGACAAAGACTTTTCAGTGCATTCGGTGTTTTTCCTTTTTGCGCTATCTTTTCCAAGGCGTCGAAATAAACAGTGACGTGATTTAAAAAGAACGCGTTTACAATTGCTTTAATTGAATGATGCTTCCTCTTAACATGCTCAACTCAGGAAAGCAATACACTCATTCCGTTAACTTTGTTGTTGTTTGATTGTTTTACTTTTTTTTCCTGTGTATTTTTTTTAATCCTCCATGTGCTTCCCCGCGTATAATTAACACTATTTATGGCAATGCCTTCTTAGTCGCCACGGCCATGAACTGATTAATGGACTGCAATCCCCACTTTCTCTTTCTTAGCTGTGTCCAAACACAACACTATCACTTTGTGACTCGCAGATCAAGTTCAAGTTCATTTATTAAGTATAGCCCTGTGAGCCATTCGGCTCTTGAATCGAGTACAACCGCAACAAACAAAAAAAAACATGAACAAGAATACATCTTATAGTGACTAAGTGCAAACAGAAAATCCAAGAAAAGACAGCAAAATATTGCAGAAAAAGCACCGTACACCAACGCTGTGTGCAAAAATCCCAGTGGGATGCAAGTCAAACAACAACAACAACCACAAGACAACTTAGATTAAGGCCATCAGTCTAACTCCGTACTACAACAAACAAACATGGCCAAACCAAAAAACTTTTCGAAAATCACCAAAATAAATCCATAAAAGCAATGGAACAGTGATCACAGGAACTGTGACCGAATTTTCACAATAAACGACATAAACAACATATACCACCAAACTCTGCAGCCATAGCTGGCTGCATGAGTCACTCCACAACAACAACAGGAGCATCAGTCGGAGTATCAACATTTTTCAATGCACCTTTATGATCAGCACACTAAATCAAAACACAAATCGTGGCACCTTGGCAGTGCAGTGTTCATGTGTTCACGGGTCAAGGTCATTTGAACGGTGATCATCCCGCATTAAGACTCATTGTGATCTCTTTCTTTCCCTCTGTCCCTGCAGCCATCAGACCCAGAGCACGAGCTGGGACCACCCCAAGATGGCCGCACTCTACCAGTCCCTGGGTGAGATCGCCATGTCAACAGATGCAAGTGTCGCAAGGGTGCCTTAGGTCAGGGGTCGGGAACCTTTTTGACTGGGAGAGCCATAAAAGCCAAATATTTCTCAATATATTTCATTGAGAGCCATATAGTATTTTTAACGTATGATAAATTAAATGTGTCTTACTTTTAATGCGACTTCTGGTCACGGGACCCGTGACCCGAGAAATTTTTACTTCAAAACTAATTTCTGTTTACTTTAAAATGACACAGTATTGTTAAGCAATATCACAAGTATTTTAAAATCAGTTCCAAACTGATTTTATTATTATTTTTTTATTATTATTATTTTCAACTCAAAATTGCCTGGGAGCCATATGCCGTCACCGGAAGAGCCATATATGGCTCGCGAGCCATAGGTTCCCGACCGTTGCCTTAGGGCATTGCTGCTGCTGTTCCTGCTGCGGTGGCGAGATGTTAACTACCTCGCCTGGTATACAGGAGGTTGTGGGTTCAAACCCGAACCTGACGCTTGTGTATTTGGCGTTTGCACGTTCTCCCCGTGGTCGCGTGGGTTCTTCTCCGGGTCCTCCGTTGTTTCCCCCTCCACATTTATAATCATGCATTTAGAGTTTTGGCTGCTATAAATTTCCACATGATAAGCCACTTTGATTGTGTCACTATTTGTTGTGGCCAGGTTGCTTCTGATAAAGAGCTATATAGCTCAGTGGGCCTTGTCTGGTTAAAAAAAAAAGTTTAGTTTTCTACTGCTGTTCCCGTATAACGAGAGGGTGGAGCTTCTCACATTTTGTATATTTTTTTACTTTTCTAACTCAAAGTTGAAACCGTTTATCCAGTAACCTTTCGTCCGTCTGTCTTTCCACTACAACTGTTGTAAAGATGATCCAGTATTACTTAGCGTGCGGTGATGTCTTGCTATTTAACGACTTAACCTACTGAGGAATCGGCTAAAATTGGTTGGTTGGCAAAAAATTGCAGATGCAAACCGGAGGGAAAAGGACTGTTTTGCCAAATGCAAACTCGTGTCTATCCAGACGGCTACCTGTCGACTTCCGTACAGCTAATTCCTCTTGAACACAAGTGCATGTTAGAAAGCATTGCATAATCCATGCGTAGGTATGAGTGATATTTCTTAACTTGTTTAATAAAAAATATATATTTTGTTTGCACCCCCTTTATTTTGGTAATTGTAAGGTTCGTTGACAAGTATATCCCATGGTGGAACAGTTTTTCAGTGGCAAGGGTTGTTTGATAAAAAAAAACAAATTGGTAAGGATACGGCAGTGCAGCAAGTAGATCATTGAATCCGTCTGGGGTGGCTCAGTGAGCGCTTATCCATTCCTATGCTTGGGTTTTCTCCAAGTACTCCAGTTTCCGACCACGTGTCAAACGCTCCATTAAAGGAATTGGCCACACATACCAATGTAGACGGACCCTCCTGAAATAAGAGTCTTGAAGCTCACTTGAGGGTTTTCTGGATAAGTAGGAGAGCATTATTAAAATTATTATTACTTTAAATAACAAGACACTCTGCCCTCAATCTCATGGAATAATGTCCCGTTGCACTCAATGGCCCATTAGTGTAATGAACACTGACAATACATTTAATTTGGCATGCAACCATTACAGTAATGCATATAATGCATTTCAGGTGGACAACACTATTAGACAGTGGCTCTTTGCATCACAGCTGGCTGGTACAGGACAAGGTTGTCCTGTATCGCTCGGGCCTATTCAACTTGCATTTCGAACAAATCATGCCAGATGCCCTTGGACCCCTTCACAGTTCGGTATCATTTGGAAGAAGAGACATCTCTTCAACCTTAGGTTTGCAGATGGCACTGATCTGATTTCAGGCTCAGAAGAAGAGCTGTCCGACCCAACCTGTAGACCAGACAGAGCTTTGGCAACGTCATATGGAATGGAAATTAGTGGCAAACGGAAGAGCAAAGTGATGATCACAGTACTGGGGAAAGTGTTAACGCTGACGCGCATGACACGCATGACACGTACGTCCGCGGAAAAACAAGTAAAAAATAATGAGCCTCATATATTTAGGGGCAGACATCGCACGGATCAGAATTGTCATCGTGATTCATGACAATTAATAAAATCACGGATGTTGTATCACTGCACGCCCGTAAAGGACTCGTAAAACCACGTGTGGCCATTGAGCTGAGAGAGGAGCCAGGTGAGAATCCGGGCACTGGCTTATGTACGAGCTGCCGCTCCATGTGACCCTGAGCGCAGCACCTTGATCGGCAAGCCCTTGACGTCGTCCGTCCTCGCCTTGCCTTCTCTTCGGAGGCTGCGGAGAAAGGGAAAAAAACGTCCCCCAAGATATTCTGAAAGTGTTTATTTTCATAAATAATTTATTTGTAGTGAGTAATAGGATTGTCTGCTGTCAGAGGCTGAGCCATTACGGTTAAAATTCAATAGTTATAATATTATTTTGTTACATTTTTTCCCTTTGTGTGAAATTAAGGTTAATTTGCCTGTGATTAGTGTGTTACTAAGAAAGGCCTCTCATTAATGTGTCCCATCTTCAAATGCTGACAGTTTGCAGGCAGATTAATTACTCGTCTGTGTAATGGATGAACACGATCAGGAAACCTCTCATTGCGTATTCATGAAAACTCGCGCTCGGATAATTGCGGTGACCTACAATTTGGCAGAAATTTGGCAAGTGTGTGTGTGGAAGTTTTCTTAGACGGCTACATGCCCTCTCATCAGAATTTCACACCCAATGCTTGGAGCCCAGTTGTGATGATGTTCTTTTTTGAAGTTATTGTCGTCGTCATCATTATCTCCCAATTGTGTACTTTCGGCATCGTTGCCACGAGACGGTGAGTCCGTTGGGTTCTCTCGCAGCCCTGCCACCGAGAGGAATGCTCGTCGCCCGACCAAACAAACCGCCGATATCACAGGGGCTACCTTCACGTGACCTCTGGTCCACACAGTTAAGGGGGGGGGCAGCACTATCTCTCCAGCTCTGTCACCCGAGAGCAAAGGCTTTTGACAAAGCGGTCAAACCGGTATGAATTTTTATTCTCCGAGCTGGAATTTACCCAAATTACGTGCGTAAACGATTTTAATGTGATTGGGATTTTTGTGCAATCATTGGTGACGAGGCTGAAGACCATGAAATCGCTACAGTTGGGAGCCCAGTTTAATGGCCGGCAGCTGCCTGGATTTGAATTCGATATTAATCAGTGTCAGCTCAGCGCTCTGACCTCTTAGCCGCTTCACACACGCTGTTTCTCATTGTCCATAGCGGACCTGAACAGCGTGCGGTTTTCTGCTTACCGGACGGCAATGAAGCTGAGGCGTCTACAGAAAGCCCTCTGTCGTACGTACCACACACGCACATACACACACGCACATGCACACACACACATACACACACGCACATGCACACACACACATGCACATGCACACACACACATACACACACGCACATGCACACACACACATACACACATGCACATGCACACACGCACATACACACACGCACATGCACACACACACATACACACACGCACATGCACACACACACATACACACACGCACATGCACACACACACATACACACACGCACATGCACACACACACATACACACACGCACATGCACACACACACATACACACACGCACATGCACACACACACATACACACACGCACATGCACACACACACATACACACACGCACATGCACACACACACATACACACACGCACATGCACACACACACATACACACACGCACATGCACACACACACATACACACACGCACATGCACACACACACATACACACACGCACATGCACACACACACATACACACACGCACATGCACACACACACATACACACACGCACATGCACACACACACATACACACACGCACATGCACACACACACATACACATGCACACACACACATACACATGCACACACACATACACACATACACACATACACACACACACATACACACAACAACAACAACAACCGCCATTCGCCACTAAGTGGCGGTGACGTCACCACGACGCTTGTGCCAGGCCATGTGCACCTTGAGGCCACGTGAAGTGTCGAACGCCCGCTGGCAGGAGGTCACGGGGCAGACCCAGTTGCCACGGTTCGACTGACCGAGATGACCGAGATGATTGCTTGATGCACACATATCGTCAACAATTTCCCAGTAAACTTTGACCATCGCAATGGATTGGAATGACAATCATAAGTTAGGGCAGCTGGAAATTTTAATGTGAATTGGGCCACAGCGATTGTTTATTTAACAAGTTAAACGTTTTAGACGACAACAGCCAGGAGATTTTGTAGTCGGCCTGAAATGTCCACCATCCCGATGGGTTTAGAGCGTCACGATTAGCAGAGCATGAGGTGAAAAGCAGGATGGCTGGCCGTGCGTATCACGTTTGTTTGAAAGTGAAAGCGCACAACCAAGATACATAATCGCATCTTTGCACAGATTAATCTCCAAAGCTGATGGCCAAAAAAGTTGTTATGTTTCACGTGGTGAAATATATTTAGCGTAATTGTTTATGGCCCACAATCCACCATGATAGATTGTAATGCATTGTGTAGGCTTTAAAGATATATATTCGGAATCGAGTAATTATATTGAGGTAAATGCTGCAGTGAAGTTATGACTATATTAAGCATTTAACCAATACAAACCTGGAATACGCCTGATCTTCGTTCAAAGAAGCTAAGCAGGTTTGAGCCTGGAGAGTGATAGGATGGGCGACCTCCATGCACAACAGGGTGCTTTAGGCGGCTACACGGAGAGCATCAGAGGGCAAGTGCAGGTAAAATGTATTGTTGTAGGGAACTTTCTATGCTCCCCACCCTCATAAATCCACACTGACCAGCAGAGTGAAGCATGGCCCAAATAACCCCCACGACCAACACGACATAGGGAGGCCCTCCTCATCCAGCAGTGGACTGACAACAGGGGCTCGACGCACGCTTGCAACGAAGGGAATCCGTTGATCGACCTACGTAGTGACGGTGCGGTCTGCCAATCCCCCAGAGGTCATAAACGGGTTTTTATTCCTTACCCGTACCCGGCCGCACCAGGGTCGCAAACGGGTACCCGTACCCGGCCGGGTATGGGTACCCGTATGCTACCCGTACCCTACCCGAAATGAGTGACAAACGGTTACTCACCAGTGACTCACGGCCTACCTGTACCCGTACCCGGCCGCACCAGGGTCGCAAACGGCTACCCATACCCGTACCCGGCCGCACCAGGGTCGCAAACGGCTACCCGTACCCAGCCGGGTACGGGTAGCCGGGTATCGGTTAGGATATGGGTATCGGGTACCCGGTTGTGACCTCTGCTGTCCCCCCCCGACTCCTAGTGGACTTGGTGAGCCTGGGGGCGCTGACGACGCAGCTCGAGCAATGCGGCCCCGACCCCCGCACCCCGGGCCTCGGAGGGAGCGCAGGCAAGGGCCCCGGCGGGAGGGGAGGCCCCCACGAGCGGCTGGTGGGCGCCACCGAGGTGGGCCGCCTGCTCGCCGAGCTGTACGGCGGCCTGGAGAGCGGGCAGGGCCAGCGCCTCGTCGCCGCGCCGCTCTGCACCGACATGGCCCTCAACTGGCTCCTCAACGTCTACGACCCGTGAGCCCTCGCATGGTCCACTTCGTGCAGCTTGTCGTGCGTGCGGGACCCCCCGGTGCAACTGCACCGAAGCCCGTGGCGCTGAAGGGGGGGAGCCCAGGAATTGGGCTATGAAGAGAATGATTTGGGGGGTGGGGAAGGAGGCAAATTGGACGGGGGGGGGGCGATGTCATTCATTATACCAGGGCCCTGAAGCTGCCGTGTGGTGTGTAGTGGTTAGCAGGCTAGATCCGCTATCCAGAGATCTGCAGTTCGATCTCCCAGCGTGGTAGATAAAACAATGGGCTAGGTTTGTTTAAACCCCCTCTGTTCACCAAGCAGTGTAATTTGGAACACCATGGTGAGTTCATTGGCAGTTCGCGTGTGTGGTGGGGTAAAGTGTGGGTACTCCCCCCTCTTCCAAGACGCCTAGCCAGTGTGGAAGAGTGGAAGAGTAGGCCAAAAATACCCTGTAGACAGGGCGCTCTAGAGCATCTATATAGTGGAGACTCTTCCACCAGCGGTGGCGTGAGCAAAGCAATTACAGGGCTGCACCTTTACCTTTTTTCCCATTTTTTTTAACCAGTGCCCATGCCAAACCACGCTACGCCAACTGCAGAGAGCACGGGCCGGGCTGCTCCAGGGCCAATGAAGCCGGTCGTTTGTTAGACGGCCAGTCGGTCGATTAACAGCTGCGCATTAGGAGAACTTTTGTGTATCGCTTAGCGGCAATCCATTATGCAGTCGCTGGACCACTGGGCAAGTCATTCATTGTTGAACAACTTGGCCAATAAGCGGCCGTTCATTAAGAAGACTCCCCCCTCCGACTGCGAGCCGGCCGTTGGTCATCCGTTCAGAGGAGATCCATCTCGTAGTTTTGCCGGCCGGACGATCGGAAGGGTTTTTTTTTTCAGTATCAAAAATAAGATTAGGTTTTAGCCTGTCTGGCAATAAAACGGTTGTGTTAAGATGTTCGAACACCAAATAGAAACCTTTTGCAAGGAATCAAGTCTGCATTAATCACACGCACTTGTGGTGAACATGCAAACAAACGCCGATAATTATTTATGCATTGTCTTGGAAACTGCTTGGCCTACACCAGAGACAGCCTTCTTTATGGCCTAGTCTCGCCAATGTCAGACCAGAGAATGCCTAAAGGCGAACAGTACACACCACAAGTACGTGTGGTTAACGCAGACTTGATTCCTTGCAAAAAGAACATCTTAACACCTTCTTCTTGGTTCTTTCGGTAAAGTCACGTAGAAGGGAAATAATAAAATAATAAAAATAAAACTATAATAAAATTATCACGACGTTTCGGCCACAACGCAAGCAGCCGTCATCAGGTGAAGAACAGGTCTGTCGGGAAGACAGCGTATTTTTATTATTGTATTAATTTCCCTTCTACGTGACTTTACCGAAAGAACCAAGAAGATGAATCCCTGCAGTACACGAAAGCTTTAAATCGAAAAATCTTAACACCTATTTTATGTCCAGAAAGGGTTAAGCCTATTCTATTTTTCATACTTTGATACTGGCAAAAAGGTCGCCATGGTTTTCTTTTTCAGTTGTGCGAATGAAGATTGTCTTATTGGGAAGGTTACTTGCTGCTGGGATGATCAGACGTAATTTGAAACAGTTTGCATTCAAGGTCACGGGGTGTTCGAAAACACACAAACGCTGTCATCAGTCTTCTCTTGTGTCGTGCCTGACGTTAGCAGCTGTGGTTCTCGGAGCTAGGCAGTAGGGGGCTGGTGGATCATGGAGGGATGAGGAAGACCAAGTCACCGATTATACGTCTGAGCGGGGCGTTCAGGTCTCGTGATAAAACGATGATCGGCTAATATATACCGCACCTGTTCTGTCCGAGATAATAATGCCTAATCCCTCGAACTAAATCAAAACACCGGAAAAAAGAAAACCTCCCCAAACAATAAAAATCAATTGTGTCATTATTTCGTTTTTACTCTTTAACCGCGAGACAGCTTAATGTTATCTACGTTCCGTACCGCCAGCTGTGATGGGTCAATTTTTCATTAAATGTTTCCCCTGATTTTGTTTGCAGGAGCCGCACGGGGAAAATCCGATCCCTTTCTCTTAAAGTGGGGCTCATCTGCCTGTCCAAGGCACCGCTGGAAGAGAAGTATAAATGTGAGCTCCAAGGCACACAACGTCTTGGCTTTGGCCTCCTCTCATTGCTATTACAGTCAGTATATATCTCTCTACGATGTTTATCTTGGAATGTAAAGCCCACTGAGCTACATGGCTATTTTTCCGAAGCGACCCGGCTACAAATGATAGCTCAAAGAAAGCGGCTTATCGCGTGGAAATTTAAAGCAGCAGCCATTCACTCTAAGCGCACATTGATTCTAAATGTGGAGGGAGAAAAACCGGTGGACGCGGAGAAAAGTCCACGCGACCACGGGGAGAGACATGCAAACTCCAAATATACAGCAGGCGTCAGGGTCAGGATTGAACCCACGACACACCTGGCGAGGGAGTCAACATCTCGCCACCGTGGCGCCCCACCGTGTAGTTGTGTTGCTCGGCAAAACTCGGAAACTAATAAAGGTGGAGCCTGCATAGTTCTCGGACGGGTGACCACCATGCATAGCAAGCTGTGGGGATACATGGTGGGCTGCAGATTTGCGGTACAGCAAAATCCACCGTGAGAAAAGTTTGTTTTTCCACTACTGTGCTCCCCCGACCTTCGCAAACCCGCACTGAGCACCGTCTCCTTAATTATTGTGACGTAACAACCCCCACGACCCGCACGGCGCGGGGAGGCCCTCATCATGCGGCGGTGGTCTGGCAAAAGGGCACTAAGTCTGTATATTGTGTTGCTTTCATCATTGTAACCGCCTCTGATGCAGGCTCCATGGAGTCATGTGCCGTGAATCCTTCACGCACCTGTGATCAGCGGTGACAGACGAACGCGCCTGGCGGAACCACGTGCACGCATGGCATGCATCATTAGCAATTGTACTCGGTGGTGGCCGCTGCTGTTCGGTCTGGCATTATTTGAATCTTTCATACATTCGGACGGGATTCCTTATCTGACGGCGAGCGGGCCACATCTAGCCAACAAAGGCTCTCTGGGCCACCGAAACATAACGAGATATAGATTAGTGAGATGAGAGAGAGAGATGAACAAGAGAGGTAAAATAGCAGTAGACACGAGATACAGATTCGCGAGATGACAGAGAGATAAACAAGACATGGAGACAAACGCACAAAGGCTCTTGTAGTAGCCCCCAATACTATGGCCTTCCAAAACGATAAACAGATGGGTGAGATGAGAGAGACGTGCACAAGAGATGAGCGAGTTGTAGACCAGCGATAAAGATTGAGTGAGATAAGCGAGCGAGAGATGACCAGGAGGGAGATGCAGTATCTCAAGGCAAGGGGTGCACATGTTCCGATGTGACGTCACGTCGTACGACGTCGTAATGTTTCGATTTAAAGCTTTCGTGACTGCAGGGATCCATCTTCTTGGTTCTTTCGGTAAAGTCACGTAGAAGGGAAGTAATAAAATAATAAAAATAAAACATAATTTTATTATTATTATAATTTTATTATGTTTTATTTGTATTATTTTATTACTTCCCTTCTACGTGACTTTACCGAAAGAACCAAGAAGACGTCGTAATGTCTTTCTGCGCGGGATGACACGCGGCGTTACATTACCCGCCAGGCACAAGCTAACATCATTCTGCGGCTCGCCGTAAAATATAGGCCAAATAAACCTACATAACCTCAGACAGTTGTTGTTGAACTTCTTTCGCACCGTACATCGCCAACCGTGCTAACCGGAGGCCGTCGTCGCTGTTGGTGCAGACCTGTTCCGGCAGGTGTCGGGCCCGGGCGGGGGCGGCTGTGACCAGAGGCAGCTGGGCCTGCTGCTGCACGAGGCCATTCAGATTCCCCGGCAACTCGGAGAGGTGGCCTCCTTCGGGGGCAGCAACATCGAGCCGAGCGTGCGCAGCTGCTTCCAGTTCGTACGTCCCACCGAGACCACCACCACCACTTTCGCGCGGTTCATGAAAGGGTAAATAAATGTTAAGGCGCAGCCCTGCAATTACCTGTTCACGCCGCCGCCGGCAACAGGGATTCCACGAGGGGGGAGCTCTGGAGAGGCCCTCTCGAGGGTGTTTGACTTACACTTGCGTGCAGGCAAGGGATATTTCGCCGAGGTGAGAGGGCCCACACTTGACCCCACCGCACCCTGGACCATGCCTGATCCACTAACCAAACTGTGTTACCCATCTACACTGCTGGGCGGTCGCAGGCCAAGAAGATTCAAGAAACTTGCGCCATCACTTCAACTGCTTCTCCTGGGAGGGGCATATTATTTAATCGGCGACTTCTGCAATCTGAGTCCCCCCAAGTATGCTAATCGTTAGACCTCGGCAGCAGATACTAATGTAACGGCTACAAGCCAGTGACGTTGCTTCATTACGGTTAACCGACTGAAATAACTGGCAGCGTGACAAAGATCCCCCGTACAGCCTTAACAGACTGTAGGAGCAAGTGCTGTTAGCGAGCACCTATGAAGGCCGGCACGGCACACGAGAGAGGGGGTGGGTGGCCAACACCGCGCCCGGCCGCCTTTGTCTCCCCAGTGGCGATGTTCACACACCGCACCAGGTACTCGTTTGAGGCTGAGTCGACCTAGGGGAGGCCCCAGGACCCGTTCAGATAATCGTCACCGCTGTCGGTGGCCGTGAGCAGGAATACGAACTCGGGTCGCCGGATTCGTAGCCGCAGCGCAACAACGGCTGCTCCACCGCTCCCCACACACACACACACACACCGACGTCACACCAAAGTCACACCAAAGTGTCTCTCGTGGCAGAGTGCCCCTAAGCCAGAGATCCCCTTTCCCATTTCAAGCTCTCGACAGCAGCTGTCCATCTGCCGCAGCCACGAAGGCCCCAGGGCCATTCCCTTGGCTACTTGCGTCCACCGGGCAACCCGCACAGACAGGGCCTGGTGGGTCGGGTCAACGGTTGATAAATGAGCCAAGGGACCGGCGAAAATAAGTTTTCCTACGGGGTTTTATTTTTCAATCCTTTATATTAAGTTCACTTGCTTGCTTGCGCGCTTACAACCGTGCAAATCTTTCGGTCGTTTTTTAACCCACTTGCCGTGATCCAATCGAGCTGACATTTTGCACACAGACTCGTTGTGCGTGACAATTTATTTTCGTGAAAAAAAATTCCTAAATTTTACACTTTTTAGCAAATGTTTTTTATATGTAATTACCAATTGCTTAATGGTGGCAGGCGATCATCTGACCCATAGGTGGCAGCCATCTCAAGCCAGAGGACGAGAGGACTCTAGCCGCCATGCATATAAAGGATTTATAGTGAAAAACTTTGTTTTTACGGGTTAATTTTTGTAACACTTTCCGTCGAAGTTCGAAAGCGTTAATGCGTTAACCTCGGTCCATCTGCCTGCAAGAGCGGGTCACGGTAACCCTTGTGAAGACGATCCAATTCTAAGTGAAAATGATTATGGCGTTGGGAGAATCGGACATAGGGTTACCCGAAACTTGGCAAGAACATTCGGAGATTTGTGCATAAAAAAATCTTAATTCTTCTATCTTCATGGCATATTTGTCATTCTTGAATAGATGTAGTTGTTTCTTAATCGAGTGGTAAGTCTTTCCAGTTGCGTGGGTGAACAGTGGTGGTGGAGCTGCGACCTTGCCCAATCCTGGCCATGCGGCTCACAGACTTCAGTTATTCCATTTTTCATAGCTGGGAATTTGTATTCATCAAACAATATGTATCTTACGAGCATAAAAACACGTAAGAAACATTACAAAACCTACGCGTACAAAAATGTTTTATTCCTCATTGTTTTGTTATGCTTTGGTATTTTTCCACCAATTAAATGCTAATCCCATTATAAGGACACTTGGTGGAGTCATCCATTCGCAACCCCCTACTGTGAGTGCGCTCCGTTTCACGCTGTTTTCAAATTACGTTTTCCAATGCAGCGTCATCAGATTAAGGCTGCCAGAGTTAAAATAAAGGGGGGCAAATTACGGGAAGTAAAAAAATTATTTATGCGATGGCTTGCCCCATACGCTCAGTCATTTGGTGACTACAGTGGGAGCGTTCACTCACTGCACAGAGAGTCCTTGTTAAATTTTGGTGATTAGTTTTATCCTAATGTCTACGCTGGGAGCGTTAACTCGCTGCACACGACAGTCCGGTTTAAACTCGGTGATTAGTTTTAGCCCAATATCTACATACAATTAAATAAGCATAAATAATCGTTGTACGGTACTTGATTTGTACACGCACAATTAATTAGTGAGTATAGTCATCGATTTTTAAGCAATTAATTGTTGCACCACTCTTAGTGGGCATCGACCTCCTGGGACGACTCGGGATTTTTTTTTTATGGACAATGATTAATAACCTTCAACCCTTAAATGAATGAGCAAATGAGTAAATGATTGAATGGACAGACTTTGACCCAATCCAGTGGCATCGCTATCGAGTGGACAGGCGGCGCACACGCGACAGCTACCCTGGACGGTGTCTCAAGCACACTTGAACTTTTAAGTTTTGTTCTATTAATACTGGTAGCAACCACCTGGTTTCACCAGCCCACGGGGGATTCTTGTGTCCGTCCGTCGTGCATCCAAAAGTTAGAGGGCTGGGTGGAGAGGGGAGGGTGGGGAGGGGCTGGGTGCAGAGGTGGGGAGGGGCTGGGTGGGGAGGGGAGGGAGGGGAGGGTGGGGAGGGGAGGGGCTGGCTGGGGAGGGGCTGTTCACCCCGTGGTGCCCTTATAAAACTCAACGTTTAACCTACTCACGCCGGCTTGTGCCCGCCCTCACAGTCGACCATATTTGCGGAATACACCACGCCGCCGTTGACCCTGGCCATTGACGGAGCAACCCAACGTTCCTACCAGCTCCCTCCGCAGGAATGTGCTTTTTCCACGTTGTATTTGCCGTGCAATCACGACCTCGCCGAGTAGCTCTCTTGTGACCATCTCCAATACCCCTTTTGCTCCAGTGACTTGAGATGTTTTGCATCAGAGGCACGGTACGAATCATCATGGGCCGTTATCAACCCACTGCTGGTTGAAGACCTCCGCAATCCGCCATCATCTCTCACCTCCTCCTCCTCCTTCCACGCGTTTTTTCCACGCGTTTGTCCTTGCCAACCTTCTCCACGCAGCCCTGTCCTGCGCCATCTCTCTTTCCGCTCCTCGGGGCCACCATGTCCAATCGCACCACATCGCCCCGCCTCTTCCTCTACCTTCCTCTTGATCTCTTTCTTTCCACTTGCATCACTTGCACCTTCTGAACCACATCTTTTTCCTGTTGTCTCTCCACATGACCGAACGACACCCGCAGCCTTTTCTCTCTCTCGCTCATCTTCTCTGTGATTTCTACCACATTGAGGCTTCCTCTCACTTCTTAATTTCTCACCCTGTCCTTCCTTGTTAAACCCAACATCCACCGCAACATCCTCATCTCTGTGACTGCCTTAGCTTGGTCCCTCCCTCTTTCTTGTGTCCCAGCACTCGGCCCCGTACAACAGCACCGGCCTCACCACCGTCTTGTGCTATAGACTGCACTATACACTACATTATACACTGCACTATGCACTACACACTTTTCCCTTCAACCAAACTGGGACCCTCTTATCGCACACCACACCAGTCATCTCTCGCTATTTCAGCCATCCAGCCCTTGTTCTTGTTCTCATCTCTCCTAGTGATCCATGAGCACCACATCTTCATCAGCTCTCACCATCCTGCAATAAATCGTCACGTGATGATGACGACGACGACAACTTCACTGAGGCCCACGGGCCGGAGTGACCCAGTCACCGGGGCTATGAGGATGACCTCGCCACGAATAAAGATGAAGATAACCTTGCCACCGTGGCGCCCACGGTGACAAGATGTTAACTACTGCACCTGGAATACAGGAGGTCAGGGGTTTCAATATCGACCCTGACGCCTGTATATTTGGATTTTGCGTGTCTCTCTCAACTTGGTCGCGTGGATTTTTCTCTGGATCCTCCGGTTTAACCCTCCACTTTTAGAATCGTGCATTTAGTATTTGGCTTATAAATACACCTTTAAAAAAATCTACGTGACAGTGGCGGCTCGTGACATCTCCACTAGGTGGGGCTGTTGTGACTGACCTCTGAAAATGTGGTGTTCTAATTAAGAACAACCTCGTCGTGTTTTTTGGCCTTCCCGTGAAAGTGATGTAACTGTCTTGTCTACCAACGATAGGCATTCATAAACAGCACGAAACATATCAACAAAGCACTCAAATGTTGTCCCCATGACCCTCAAGTCCACATTACACAACCCCTTTTCCACTGCCAAAAGCCGTGACCTGCTACAATTTGCACAGTGCAACCTAAAGTCGTGACCTCGTCTCATTACAGCCACGGGCGTCTTTTCCCCCGCCCTGAATGGGTCTCACACGGCGTGGCTCCAATGCTCGAAGCTCATCGCAACGAACGAACGGGAAATCTCTCACTCGGAGGACGCCTTCACAGCCGCCCCGAGACCTCCCCTAAGCACAAATCTGCAATGTTGCAGCGATTTCTAATATGAACAACTTAACATGTTACCTACATTAGGCAATTCACGTTGAAAGAACCATTGCACTTTTTATTTTGTTTTAAACACAACAGAACATAAAAAAGTATTTTTCTTAGAAAAATTACTTCTCATCTCCAGCTGCTTGGTGGAGCAGCGCCCCAGTGCCCCCAGTGGACGAACCCCGCCTTGCTACGTGATAAGCCACTTCGTTGAGCTTTGATTTGTGGCCAGGTCGCTTCTGAAAACGCGCTACACAACTCTCAGTGAGCCTTACCTGGTTTTAAGAGAGGTGGGAAATTAGACAGTGTTCCCAGATATGTATTTGCACCAAGACCCACGCCAATCACACTGATGCCGCTGTGCCATCACCCTCGCCCCCCCCCCCCCCCCCCGTGCCATGTAGGCCAACAGCCGGGATATGGTGGAGGTGGGCCGCTTCCTCGAGTGGATGAAACTGGAGCCGCAGTCCCTCGTGTGGCTGCCCGTGCTGCACCGCGTCGCCGCATCCGAGACTGCCAAGCACCAGGCCAAGTGCAACATCTGCAAGGAGTGCCCCATCGTCGGCTTCCGGTCAGAGCCCCGAACAAAGTCGGTCACCGCCGTCGTTGACGCTTTCGGCTGCACCTCTGCAGACGCGCAGCTCGGATAATTATCCGAGACGCCGGAGGAAATCGAGGAGGGTTGTGGGGGAACGGTTAGCGGGCTGGATTTGCAATCCAAAGGCCGCCAGTTTCATGCTGCCTGTCGCCTGATGAGGCTGGTTGTAATTACCGGCGTAACATCATGGTTACTCGAATTGTAAATGTTGTGGGTCTAATCTCCAACACAACCGGTTTGTTGAACTCGTAACGAATTGGCACGTTCTGGTTACGTGACAAAGCTCACTAATTGGCTGTGTCGGGTGGTGGCGGGTTTAACGACACATTGTATTTACGCGATCTAACCCAACAAAAACCTCTGTTATGGCTCAATGCTGTTGCCTGGCATGGCGGTTGAAACTATCGAGCAAAGGTTATTTAATCTGCCCAACCCATTTCACCCAGCAGCTCAAATGTGATACAACAGCAGTCAATTTGCAGGTCACCTCTTCCGGCGTGGAAGAGTAGGCCAAATAACACCCCATGAGGAGCGGCTCTCTACAGCCTACTCTTGCCAAGTCCCTCCACGCGCAATTCCTGGAGCAAACAATTGCATTGCTGCACCTTTACCTTCTTCTAGAATCAGAATATTCCGTTTTACTGGAGGAATCTTATAAATTCAGAGTGTGCTGTATTAAAATATATATAATAATAATGGACATCCTGCGTATTCATAAACGCTATGAGGTGGCTGGTACAAAGCGCTCATTTGTTTCCAGGAATGCCGAGGGCAATTGGCGGTCTGAGGAGTCTCGTCATTATCTGAGGCGGCAAGAAGAGCGAGTGAACATTTTTTTCGCGTGTCCAAAGTGACATTTTTGTAAACAGTAGTTTGTCAGCCCCGTGCTTTAGAAATCTGCGCGTGTGTGCGTGTGTGCGTGTGTGCGTGTGTGTATGTGTGCATGGGGAGCGATAGTGTAGCGGTTAGCGCGCTGCGCTATGAACCCGGCCACCCAAGTTCGATTCCCACTCACGGCCAACACCAGCGACGATTATTTGAACCGGTCCTGGGCCTCCCCTAGGTCGACTCAGCCTCAAATGAGTACCTGGTGTGGTGTGTAAACATCACCACTAGGGAGACAAAGGCGGTCGGGCGTGGTGCTGGCCACCCACCCTCTCGTGTACCGTTGCGGCCTTCATAGGTGCTTGCTAACAGCACTTGCCCCTACAGTCTGTTAAGGCTATATGGGGGATCTTTGTCTTTGTGTGTGTATGTGCGCGCACGGGGAGAGAGAGTGCTCGTGTGTGCGTGCGAGATATGTGAGCGCGTGTGTTAGCTAAGCCGCCGGCCATCGAGCATGGCCATGTGAACTGCAGTTTAAGCGCTCGTGCTCCCCTGGTGTGTTCATGACATCACCGTCGGCACTCGATGATGTATGCACTCCGTTTATTTATCTCTTTTGGTTCGTTGACGCTTAAAAATATTAATCCCAGAATTTTTCATGGCCACTGGATGCGTACGTGCGCTTCTGCGAACGGCGTAGATAACCAGCCCTTTGAAACATGCTTGGCAGAGTTTTCTGTGGGGAGAACCAGTTATTTATGAGCGGACCTTTCGAGAGCATAGGAAATGAGCCAGGGGTGTGGCAGCATGAAGGTGCATCGGCCACGAAAATTAATGAAAACGCAATATTCATGTGCGGCACGAATCAGGCTTTTTAAGGGGTGGGTGACTCTTTGGTTGGCGTACTGCAATGCGAACACGACCTGAGTTCGATTCCCAGCTTTGGCTAGTATCGGTGGCAAGTGATATCTGATCTGGTCGTGGGGCCCCATTCACTTCACTAACCGGCACTGACCAGTTGGGAAAACAGTCATCCAGCAGTGGACTGACAAAGTCCTGTAAATTAGTATTATTATTATTAAAAAAATATATATTTAGCAGTGTAATCATATGATAATAATATAACGAGTTGCACATAACTTTTACTGTAATATTTCTACTTAATATTTGAACTCCGTTTAAACGTTAGATTGAATGCGTAAACAATGAAACGCTGCTGAATGTGCCCGATCTCGTCAGATCTCGGACACGAAGTAGGGCTGGACCTGGATAGTGCTAGCAAGGGCCATCACCACCATGCACTGCCGGCGTTATTGGCCATGGTGGAACTACGTTGTCATCATCTGGGCTTCCCTCCTTCACCCCCCCTCCCCTCCCACACTGACTACTAGCATGGTGAAGCATGGTCAAACAGCCCCCATGACCCACACTGTGGAGAAGGGTGCCACGGTGGTGAGATGTTGACTCCCTCGCCTGGTCTACAGGAGCTCGTGGGTTCGATCCCGACCCTGGCGCCTGCTGTATATTTGGAGTTTGCGTGTCTCTCTCTCCCCGCGGTCGTTTGGATTTTTCTCCGGATCCTCCGGTTTTTCCCTCCACGTTTAGAAGCGTGCATTTAGAGTACACACATTTCCTGCTACACATTTCTGCGTGATAAGCCACTTCGTTGAGCCATTATTTGTGGCCAGGCCACTTCTGAAAAAGAGCTACATGGCTCAGTGGGCCTTACCTGGTAAAGAAAACCCTCTGGTCTGGCCCGTTCGTCTACACATATGCCACGTACACTTTTCTACTTTTTTTTCATGTGCGTGCGGTCGGCTTCCAAACGACAGCCAGAGGTCTCGCACAAGGAATTTTCTTGACCCCCTCTCCACTATAAAGTTCACCCCGCTGGCCGCATAGGTCCCACCACGTACAAGGTTTCATTGCCGCAGATTTAAGACCTCGGCTACTCAGGAATGTAAATAAGAGCCACCTGCGTAGAAGTATCCCTCCGCCTGAATGGGTCTGACTTTGCGGTTCGTTATTTGACACATTAATACGTGTTGTTTTCACATTCACCCGAAGTCCTTTAGCAGTGGACTGTGAACACGGTAGAATGTGTACGTAATGTTTACCAGACCTTGTGCTGCTTTCTGGTAAAAATGAGGCTTCGTTGTTAATGACGCTCGCTTCTTCGAAAGTGCTCGTGACCCATTTGTCTGGACTGCCAGATCGTTTTTTGTTTGAGTAAATATCGCCGAGGCTTTTGGATGGAAGTGTCTAAATAACACGCTCCCTTTTGCTATATTGAAGCCCATACACATTCACGGTTTGTTAATGGAAGGGGTGTTCATGTATCACATTTCACAATAGCAGCCTGTATAATGCAGCATTCTTCATATTATAAGACGCAATCCAAACTTGTGTCCGGTCAACAGAGCTATACAAAAGCTGGTAATATATACACACATACGCACCAGAATATAAGACGCAACACCACCCCAAACTTTTGCTTTCGAACTACAGGGTAAAACAAAACAAAATTCGCGTGTTATAATCCGGTCATAATTAATTGCATTACGTAATCCCCCGCTCCCTTTCCGATTGCAGCTACCGCAGCCTGAAACATTTCAACTACGACATCTGCCAGAGCTGCTTCTTCTCGGGCCGCACGGCAAAGGGACACAAGCTTCACTACCCCATGGTGGAGTACTGCACGCCGGTAAGCCACCCTAATGAATGTCGCGGGCGGCCGCAGCCGGACGGGCTTGTCCAGATGGATTTAACCGCGTCCCCCGCGCGTTGGCTCACGGCCAAGAGCGCGGCGCGCGCACCGTTCGGGGACGTGTGCTGCTCATGGATAATGTGCGACGCGGATAGAATGGAGGGGAGCGGGGGGGGAAGGGGTGTGGTGGTGGTGAGGAGAAATGGGTTTTTGTAGCGTATGGTATAAGCGGGGTTTTGTGGCATTATAATGTCGGACTCATTGCACGCAAAAGTGCTCGTTACAAATTAACCACCAATACCTCGCTGATCTCGTCAAGGAGCATAAACCATCATCACATGAACTCCGGTCATCCTCGTAGCAGCAGCGGCTTTTGGCTGGCCATCGAACAAAGACGATCACCGCATCGCGCGCCGTCAGGTGCAATTCTGCGGCCGTCTGGAACCCTCTTCCTTCAGATATTAGGAAGCCACTGGAACTATGCACTTTTAAATAATCTAAATTAAAAACTCATTTCTGCAGAACTGCTTTTCGTGTTTAGTTTGTTGTCCTTTCCCCCGCACCTCGGATCAGCGCGGTTGGCTGCATACGGTGCGAAAGAAGTTCAACATGCATACAGGTGGGGGGGTAGCCCCTCCTGAAATGTTTAAACTATGGAGGCGGGGATTTCTCATCAGGTTATTTTTAATCGAGGTGTGATCGGTGTGACTGCCGTGACCAAAATGGCTTTCTTTGCCTTGTCGGACAATCCGCATGAAAACGTGGACTGCAGGAGTCAAACATTACAGATGTTTGAATAATAATAATAATTCTGATTTGTACCAAGAAGGCGATCAACATACGATGCAGACAAGCGGATGGGGATGCAAATTAATTCTGCAGGGAAAACTGGCGGAGGACGGAGAGACGTGGAGGGAGGTGACGCACCACCGCCAACCCTATCGAAAGATAACGGCACAAGGCAACGCCTTGTCAGTCCGCCGCTGGATGAAGGCATCTCGTGCATTTCACGGGGGAGTTTTTTTTTACCGTCATTTTTTCCATGGCTGGGTCAGTTTAGCTTAATTTTCTGAAACCCAGGTAACAAACTTGGTAAAGGCGAGCACTCAGGAGGACTGCTGCAGATGCCACTGCCTGGCTGATTTTCACCACGGCCCATACACTGTGTGGAACTCCTCCTGATCCAGCAGTAGATTGTATGCATGCGTGTTGAACTTCTATCGCACGGTACGTAGCCAACCATGCTAATCCGAGGTGCGATTGACAAAGCCAAATCCGCAAACTTTTAGTAATGAACACTCGACCTGATGGCTCCCGCGGCCTTCATTGTCCATGTCTACGACTTTCACTCAACAAGGACCCACTAAAAACCATTGCCTTGGAATTCAACTCAGGTGACCGAATTTATGATGCAACGTGCACACTTCTGGGCCATCGCTCCACCCTCCTTGAGAAATGAGCAGTTCAATATTCATGAATCAAATAGATCCAGTTGCCTTTAATCATCCGCGTTCCCTTTCAGACTTCACATTCAACACACACAGTCTTTTATGTGCGTGTGTATTGTCGGAATTCCGCTTGGGATTCATTTCCCAGTCCGTTGCCCACCTTGAAAAAAAAAACACGTGCGACTGTCATGATGAATGAGAATTGGCCAAGCATGGAATTATCTTTTTACCTATGATATTTTGTGTGTGTGTCACTTAAATGGCCTTCTATTCTTGTTCATGTCATCGCATGCAAGAAATGACCACCAATATATAACATGGTGGTCAGTTATTTTTCAGTGGTAGGCCAGTGATATTTTTGTTAAAGCTTTGATTGCTTTTTGTGAAGTTCATTATCGTGGTTCTTTTTTGACGTACCATCTTCCTGTTCTACAAAGCTATTATACATTTGGCTGTGCCGCCAATTCTCGGTAACAACACCGCTATTGTCAGGCAAGCTGTCGGTGCCCGTGTTAACGCTCGAGTACAATGATAAGCGGGTTCTCCCTTTGAAAAACGGACAAAAACAAACTGGCAGTCACCTGCTGGCAGCATTAAAGGCCAACGATTCACGACTCTGCAGCTCTGTGTGAACGCATTGTGTGGCAAGTTGCGTGATCTGTGTTCACACGTAGATCATACACAGTTTGAATTTTGCTTTGATAAATAAAGTTGAACATGCACGGGTCTAGTGTGTTCACCATTACACCACGTGTTCTTTTCGTGTACCACACAGTGCGTGCAACTCCAATATAGTACTGTATTTAAAAAAAAGTTTTGCTGGCTGACTGGCAACATGGCGCATGGTTGGGGAGGCTCGAGGAGGGTGGTGTTGTTGTGCGGACAACCTTCGTGCGACGACGAGAACGCTCGCTCTGCTGTATTATTTTAAAACGCCGGCTGGAGGGAGGGACAGGCAAATGGATGATCACGTCCAAATGATAGACGGGGCTGCTACTCTGTCCAATAAAAGTCACTTGGAACCAGGGGCGGTTTCTTCATTAGGGCGATTGGGCGACGCACCACCAATGTCATTCAACCACAGAGTCACGCTAGCCGTCACTGTGCCTCTGGATATAGTCCAATCAGCGTCATGTCACGTTCTGTGGAGTACCGCCTCTTTTTGGGCGATTTAACTCCGGCTGAGAATCGCCCTGAGTGGCTCCATAGACTTACATTCAAAGATGTTTTTTTTCGAACGGGGGGCGCTGCAATGCATTCTCTATGGCTTCCGGGAGGGCTCGCCCTAACGTGCTTACGTCATCATACGTAAGCACGTTTCATCCAACAATATAATTTGTTGCCACCTAGTGGAATCTTTAATAAAATAAACTTGAGTGGATTGTATTAATAGTGAGTATAGAAACAAACAAGATGTATTGTAAGAGTCACTTTATTTTTCATTAATATTAAAGAAGTGAAGTTGCCTTTACATGCTTAAGCTGTTAATTTATCCATTGCATAAGTGGACCTTATCCTTATCAATCATCCAGACATTTGCCCCCCCTGAGAGATTTTGCAGGAGCCGCCACTGCTTGGAACCCACTTATGTTGGACACTTTGGGTCTCAACGGCATTGACATCAAATTGTGATTGTCTTGTGTTCCGATGATACCTGTTAATCATGCACGCGCGACCATATTACCTGATGCTCACCAGGATAGAGTGCGATGACATCGATCAAATCCCATCGCTCATAATTTTGCTTTGTGTATTAATCTGCTCTAATTATCGTATTGCGCATCTATTTACGTCCCCCCCCCCCCCCCCCCGTTCGTGCCCCCCTCCAGGTCTCTTTAACACTCTCTGACTGACGTTGAAGGCGTTTTTGCATTAGCTCCATCTGTCTGTCCGTCTGTAATCGGAGGGGGGGGGGCATGATAACTCTCGCAATGATGATCAGACATGAATCGGCTCCTTTGAGTAAAGTCGTTTTGTTGTTTTGTTATAAGGGACTTGGCCCATAGAATATCCGCCAAATTAATTAATCAGGTTTACCGCCGCGCCCTTCCTGGCACTGCCGCTACCAAATGTCTGTTGTCTGCTCAAGGCCTACAAACATACTGCATCCGACACGTCTGGCACCAGTGCTACTATATTATTATTGCCGCTCGTTAAATACATCCGAGAGCAAACGCACATTGCAAAAGGCGCGACGGAATCCACGCAAAAGTTTTGCGCGATTTTCCTCCCTTGTCTTCTTGGTTCTTTCGGTAAAGTCACGTAGAAGGGAAATAATAAAATAATAAAATTTAAATATAATAAAATAACTCTCACGATGTTTCGGCCACAACGCAAGCATCCGTCCTCAGGTGAAGAACAGGTCTGTCGGAGAATTATTTAATTGTTTTATTTTAATATTTTTATTATTTCCCTTCTACGTGACTTTACCGAAAGAACCAAGAAGATGAATCCCTGCAGTCACGAAAGCTTTACATCGTCTTGGTTGATTCAAACGTTTTCCCTTCTCAGACGACGTCCGGCGAGGACGTGCGGGACTTCACACGCGTGCTGCGGAACAAGTTTAAGTCAAAGCGGTACTTCAGCAAGCACCAGCGGCTCGGCTACCTGCCCGTGCAGACGGTGCTGGAGGGCGACACCATGGAAACGTGAGCGCCAGTCACGTGGCTTGTGCATCCCGCCCGCTCAGAGTAGATGCTACCGCTGCCGCTGCTGCCGCTGCCGCTACTACTGCCTATTCGGTGTTTTACCAGAAGCTCTCTCACTGCTCGTAAAAAGAATTTCGTCAAGCTGCGCAGATCCGAGCTGTTTGTTGTGTGCGTGTCAAGGTTACCAGGCATTTTAATGTAAGGTTTATTCGTGATGATATTTGCCCAACGACAATCCATTGATTCATAGATTATTATTGATTCTTAAGCTCACGATCATCAGCTGGATGAAGACCTTCCCAAGCCGCCACCATCACCTGTCTCGATCTTGCGACGCAATAATCCACTTAGCACCTCCTAATTAACACGGTTGGCAACGTACGGCGCGAAAGAAGTTTTAACATACATACTTGATGGATGCATCATATTTACAATCGTAAGAATGTATTTGTATCGCTTAAGATTCTTGTCTGTCAGCTCAAATTATTATCATATTTACAAACCTTGATTTGAATTTGCGTCGTATAACGGTGTCACGTCAATCCTGCATCTACTCAAGGCACCGTTGTAAACATTTTGTAAACACACCAGCGTGTTGTAAACATTTTTTTTTAATTATCCTCCTCAACAGAATCTTCACACAGAGCAGCTGAAACATTCTACACCTAATATTCTAACGGATTTTAATTTCTTGAATATTTATTTCATCCATGGGCAGATAGCCCCGTTGGTGTCCACCGCACACTCCCTCATTAGTTTCCACTTTCCCCTGTCTTGTTGTCAATATGCTCAAGTCGTGGCCACATGTTTCTGGCACCGATCTCTTGCGATGTCGTCGTCAAACCCATTCTCTCTTAGGTCTTCCTCTCGCTTTCCGGCTCCTTCCGTTTTTCCGAACGACAACACTTTTAATGTCCCTGTTGTTGCCCGTCCTACACGCGTGTCCACACAGTGCCAGTTTCCTTCTCATCACTGCCTGCATGGTCAGGTTGTAGTCTTCTATATTTGTCTTGCTTCCACGTTTGGCCCAGTTTAGATGCAGTGTCCTTCTATAGCAATACATCTCGAATGCCAATTATCTTATCTCTGTCAGTTAACATACCATGCCAACTGCTGTAACATTTGCACTCTTCGGTCCATAAGTCCAGTGACCGTGAAACTTTTTTGTGTGTAATGCACCGTATTCATCGCATCGCGTGACACGCCGTGCGTTCTCGCCGCGTGTTTACTCGGGACTCCGTTTGTAACAAAAGAAAAAGCAGGTCATTATCTCCACGGGCTCCCGTCTGGCGCTGTGCACAAAAGAAATAAAGTGACTTCAAAAGAAACAAAAGATGACGGGGCAATACGGAAAAGCGGCACGAACACGGAAGGAGCGGCAGCACTCGAGATCTAATAAACGGCGCAGTCGTAGACAATCTTCGCGCAAACACGGCGGTGAAAAACACGGCGGTGTGAAACCCGAGGCTTGCGTGCATCGTCTTATATGTGCTCTTTTGCGCGTGGGGGACCTCGTTATTTTGCGCGCGTACTTTTCTTCGCGAGCACACGCACGTGCTGTTAACTTCTGGTGTTTGGCTGCAGACGAACGTGATTCTTTCCCGAGCGCTCGCCGGCCCATGAGCGTTTGTCTTGATTTTGGTGGCAAAAAAGTGCGAAAGAAGTTCAGCGTACATAACACGTGCGTACAAGGCATGCTCCTTTTGGGAGCCCCGCGTCCGCACCGCGCAACTCGCGTTCGCGCGATCGCGTCTCTCACATGGCCTTCATCGGCTGTTCTTGTCTTGCAGTCCTCTCACCGTCATCAACCTCTGGCCGGTGTCGTTGGAGTGAGTACCGCACACCCCATCGGCCGCTGGAAGTCACGTGACTCCCCGAGCCGCCCATGTGACCAGAGGTTTTTTTTGTGTGACCGTGCTCCATTTTCGTCGAAGAAATTTACCTCGTCTTTTTGTTTTTTCACCCGCTTTCAGCCCTTCTCCTCAGCTATCTCACGAGGACACGCACGCGCGAATCGAACACTTCGCCAGCCGGTAATGTGTTTTTTAAATCATTTCCAACCCCACCGCCCCGCCACCCTGGCCTTTTCATATGGATCGGGGAGGACATCCTCATTAAATTGTCTTTTTTTCACACTCATGGAGTATCTGCCTTCCTGCTCCTCTTACTACGTGACATTTCTGTCCTGGGCCCACCATCTCCATGTCCACTCCCACATCCCTTCGTACCTTGGTTCACCACTGTGCCACCAGCTCTACCTTAGACCCCGCCGCCCCTCGATATAGTCTCCACCGCGGCGTGCTTCCCGTCCGCGTGTGCCGTCTGTTGTGTATGAAATTTTGATAAAAAATAATAAAAATGAAATGAAGATTGGAAAAATGCGTAAATCGCGAAAATTATGCTAATATATGTAATTATATGCTATTATAAAAAATGATTGCCAGAATTATTCTTAATATAAATTTTTGGAAAAAGGGGGATAAATACAACACGTTGACTCTCCCGTCGCGGACGCAGTTTCCTCCCCCCCCTCTCCTCTTCCAACGTGTCGTCCAGCCGGCCGCCTGCGTCGACCTTCTCGCGGCAACCCCCACCACTCTCTGCATCCTCCCCATCCGGTTTTGTAGTCCCTCGGATTTGTCTTCCATCATTCTCAGTTCTGTGGTGCACAACTCTTACTCCCCCCCCCCCCACCCGGTGTTCAGAGTCCAACTTTCAGGCCCGTCAGTAGCGTTCTTATTAACTTCTTGCCTGTGCTGTCATTTCCCCCCACCTCACCCCACCCCATTTTATACAAATTTTAATATAAATAGGAAATTCATTCCCATTGAATGATGTCCGTTTTCACCAAATACACATTTTAGTTTGTTTAATAAGTAAATGCAACAGCAACAAAAACCAATGCGCCTTTCCGTGCCTTGTCTGTCGCAGGCTCGCCGCAATGGAAAACAAAAACGGATCGTATTTGCATGAAGTCTCCTCGCCCAACGAAAGCATGTGAGTGCCGCGCCGGCAGAGGCAACGTGAAATGGCTCGTTGCAACGTCGTCACCAACTCATAACGATTCAAGATTCAATAAAAATTCATAACGTGCGCATCACTTGCGCGTGCGTGCGGGTAGCGCACTGCACTACGAACCCGGTAACCAGCGTTCAATTCCTGGCCACACGACTTCAAGTTGTGGCGAATATCTCAACCAGTCCTGATCCTCCTCTAGGGTGACTCAGCCTTACATGAAGTACATTCTGCGGTGTGTACACATCGGCTGTGCTGCTGTACCGACTTTTAAAGGCGCTTTCTGACTAAAATTGACCCAGCAATCTGTGAGCTGGATTGGGTTCATTTTTGTTTTGTTTGTTACAACTTTATGTAGCACGGAACAAAGACAAAGATCCCCCATATAGCCTTGACAGACTGTTGGGGAACGAAGGGATGGGTGGCCAGCACCACACCCGACCGCCTTTGTCTCCCGAGTGGCGTTATGCTTAAGCATTGCACCAGGTACTCATTTGAGGCTGACTCGACCTAGGGGAGACCCAGGACCGGTTCAGATAATTGTCCCTGGTGTTGACTGTGTGCGGGAATCGAACCCTGGTCGACAGGTTCATAGCGCAGCGTGCTAACTGCTGCACTACCATTCCCCACTTTGTTTGCATACAACACACACACACGCACGGACACACGTGTCATTGCCTGTGTACATCCCGTACGCACGCGTATTTAACAACAACCGCAGTAACAAAGTCCACTGCACCATGTCGAAATTAACCCGTGCCTTTTGTCTTCGTGTCCGTGCCGTCGCAGCGACGAGGAGCACATCCTGATCCGGCACTTTTGCCAGACCCTGGGCGCCGAGTCACCATGCCCCGGCTCTCGCGACCCTGGCCCGATGCTCGTTACCATGGACACCGACGAGAGCGAGGAGCTGTGCCACATCATCGCCGAGCTGGAGGAAGAGCACCAGTAAATGGGACCGCCCCCCCTCCCCCCCATTGTCTTTTTTAATTCGTTTCGGAGAACGGGTTGACTTCCATTAAACGGCAGCTGCGCGCTGATGGCACCTGTCACACTCGAGAAGCTTTGTACGGCAGCGAAAGTCCCACCGATGATAGGGGAGCGAAACCGACTGACAGACCCAGGCTCTGGAATTGGGGGGTGCCTTGAGACCAGGATGACCACAGTCAGCAGTTTCTCCTTCAGTGGGAGTCGTAATGTAGTCGACAACAACCTGCGGAATTTCAGTCCGAGTCGGTGTTTGTCGTGGAGTCGTTCGCTTTGCATCGTCGACTAAAGCCGTCAAAGATTGGTTCAAGCACCTTTCGGACGAAATGTTTGATTGCTGTGAGAGGGGTGTAATTTTTGGATATCGGATGCAAAAATCCAATATCCGTGAAAGCATAAAATCTAAAACTCTATCCCTCGCAGACCAAGCTTTACACAATCATCAATAACACTTCTGTAAAAGTGACTTTAAACTTTCGTGACTGCAGGAATTCATATTCTATGGTATAGAATATGAAAAGTATATATTAGATGGCATTTGAGGCAATCATCCTACTTCTCGACTAACAGCATCATGGCCCAGCGATCACCGAGTTCTCCGGCACCGTCGATTGCACACCTTTTTCCCCCAGGAATCTCACGGCCGAGTACAACCAGCTGAAGCAGCAGCACGAGAGCAAGTCTGGCTCCTCCGGCTGCCTCCACTTCCCTCCGCCGGCGTCGCTGCCCCCGCCGCCGCTGCTGCACTCGTCGCAGTCGCTCTCCCCGCCGCCCCCCCTGCCTCCCAAGGGCGGCTCGGCGCCCGGCACGGAGCTCCACGGCGGGGAGTTCTCGCAGCCGGAGAGCGAGCTCGTCGCCGAGGCAAGGCTCCTGCGGCAGCACAAGGGGCGGCTGGAGTCGCGGATGCAGGTGCTGGAGGACCACAACCGGCAGCTGGAGTCGCAGCTCCTGCGGCTGCGCTCGCTGCTCACCCAGGTACGTGCGGCGACGAGCGACGGGGCGACCCCTTCGTTGTTCGGTTCGCGACGCCGCTAAAGCGCAGGCGGCGTGCGATGATGCGGTCGTCGACTGCGAGGTGGGAAGTCGAGTGGTGGAGGTGTCTTGCGTGTAATGTTTGTTCTAGATTTGAAGTTTTCGTGACTGCAAGGATCCATAATCTTTGGTTCTTTTGGTAAAGTCACATATTTTATTTTTTTACTTGATTATTTTTTACCTACGTGACTTTAACGAAAGAACCAAAGAGTACGTGTAACGTTTGTATGTATGTATGTATGCGTACGCGTTGAACGTCTTTTGTACCGTACGTAGCCAACCGTGCTAATTTGACGTGCGGGCAAAGGGCAACAAACGAAACACAAAAAGCAGTTCTCAAGAAATTAATTTTCATCACCGATTTAAAAGTGCACAGCTCCGGTGGTTTCCAGCAAGCTATGCGGTGGTGACCGTTTTTGCTCGATGGTCAGCCAAAAGCCGCTGGTTGTTCGCGCTGTAACGGTGATAGATAATTACCAGCCATTAATCGACGAGAATTGACGGGCATTAATTATCTGGTTCACTCCCGATGCCGCGGGGACCACACGCAGCTCGCGACGCGGCCGTCGACGGGAAGGTGACGTTAAGTCGTGCAGCATTCCCGCACCTGATAATCGATGCATCGATCAAATTGATTAATGTGAATCTATTGAGAGCAATGGGCGTTATCCCGGTTGCTGCGCGTGATGCAGCTGTTGAAGTGAAGCTGCGGTTTAACGCGCGTGCACATTGTCGCGAGAGCTGAAACGATGCTTTGTTTTTAGTTTCCCCCCCCCCCCCTTATAACAGCTGCCGAGCATAGGCCCAGAGGTCGCAAAAACCTAAGCGGCCAGCAATAAAATGCACTAATTGAATGTGAAAGAGATTGGAGTTAGCCGAGAGTTATTAATAGTTCGATAAGATTTAATAAGAGTTAACGGACAAAATCCTTGGGTGGGTTTGCCTCTGAGACCACCTCATCTTCTCACTGAGGTCTTGCCCCAGGAAACACAACCGTTGAACATTAACAACTTGTGTTTTATGCAACAAATTCTAGATTTGAAGCTTTCGTGACTGCAAGGATTCATACTCTTGGGTTTTTTCGGTGAAGTCACGTAGATAAAAAATAAAAATAATTATAGAAATAAAATAATAATAAATCAATTAAATCACGGCTTGTGTTGCCTCCGAAACGTCGCGATCAAATTGATTTATTATTATTTTATTTCTATTATTATTTTTATTTTTTACCTACGTGACTTTACCGAAAAAATCCTAAGAGTATTTATGCAACAATATTAAAAAAATAGATGTGCATCGTTTGAGTTTGGCTTTAGGTCAATTGAAAACAACAACGATGATGTCGACATTCATAGCAAATAGCAACTCTGCCCTGCATGGGACGGTGCATGATTGATGCACATCCATCCTAAGCACTCAAATGTCTTCAGGTCGGGCGACTACAATCAGACGCTTTGCAGCATGCTGTGGCCTCGCGGCTGAGGTTCTAATCGTTCTTTGATTAAAATTGATCAACACGATGATTAACACGCGATGCATTGAATTGTGCATGTAATGATTGAGTGTGTATTTGTTTACTTTGTTCATTCATTAGTTTATAGTTTTCAACGGCTATAGATTATTGGGGGAAGCGCTCATCCAGCCCTGGGATTGATGATGGCTGACGACGATAGATTAGCGTGCATAGATTCACGTCGCCTTGCACCGCCGATGACGAGGAGATAATCCGTTTGGTGAACACGACGCGACGTCAAATTTGCGGCAATCGATTGAAGGCGGTGGGGAATTGCCCCGTCCGTACGAACGGCGAAGGCTTGTGCTCCCGGCGTTGCGGCATCGACACGGCCGCGCAGAAATGTAGAGGCGCGCTCAAACACAGCCACGCGCGGAGGGGTTGAACGTGAACGTTGATGTCATCATTTGCCGCTTTGATATCGCACGCCTGCATTAGTCCCTGGTCGCTGACGGGTGCTCACGACACGCTTTGACTCGCTCCTTCTTAAATCTGCACCGCTCCTCCGCTTGGGTAGCCGCGCTATCGGATCGCTCTCGCAGCCGCAATCATCAGCAGTTGTTTATCAGCTCGAGTTTTGCGGCCCCTTCTCACCGTTTGTCATATTGGCAAATATCCACATGGCGGCAAGGGAATGATATGGCAGGTCATCTAAACAAGTCTCAATACACTTGCTGAAGAATAAACTTATTTATTTAAGGAAGTTCTTATCTAGTGTTTTGTGCCACTGCTAGAAATGATAAATGTGGTGTTTATATGACGATATCGTTTCGTGTGTTGAAAGTGATGTTTTTAATTTAACTTTATCTCCCATCCATTGTCTCCCCTTTGGCTCTCGCCATATCTTCCTCAAATGTTCTTTTTTTTAAAGACCGCTTTGTGTTTTTCTATTCAACTCCAGTGGCGGCTCCTGCAAAATCTCTCAGGGGGGGGCAAATGTCTGGATGATTGATAAGGATAAGGTCCACCCATGCAATGGATAAATTAACAGCTTAAGCATGTAAAGGCAACTTCACTTCTTTAATATTAATGAAAAATAAAGTGACTCTTACAATACATCTTGTTTGTTTATATACTCACTATTAAAACAAACCACTCAAGTTTATTTTATTAAAGATTCCACTAGGTAGCGATAAATTATATTGTTGGATGAAACGTGCTTACGTATGATGACGTAAGCACGTATGATGACGTAAGCACGTTAGGGCTTGCCCTCCCGGAAGCCATAGATAATGCATTGGAGCGCCCCCGTTCGAAAAAAAACATCTTTGAATGTAAGTCTATGGGGCCACTCGGGGCGATTCTCAGCCGTAGTGAAATCGCCCAAAAAGAGGCGGTACTCCACAGAACGTAGCATGACGCTGATTGGACTATATCCAGAGGCTGACAGTGACGGCTAGCGTGACTCTGTGGTTGAATGACATTGGTGGTGCGTCGCCCAATCGCCCTAATGAAGAAACCGCCCCTGTTCAACTCTTTCACACACAATCCCTCCTCTTCTACCTCTCTCCTCTGTCATCATCTCTCCGTTCGGTCTTCACCACCATCCATCGCCCTCTCTCTCCATCTCCCCCAGCTCTTCCCCCTCTATCCACGACACACGTCCTCTTGCTGCTGGCCAAGGCCTGGATTAAGGCTCTTGTAGGCCCTAGGCACTTCTGTTTCGTAGGCCTTCAGCGACAAGTTTCTACAGTAGATACTGCTGCCCCACGTTACTACCGCCACTGCCACTCCACTTGTTTCACAACGTGTGCTGGCCCGCCCGTCTCTCCCACAGCCTGCCGTCGACGCATCTCGGGTGAACGGCTCCTACCTCTCCTCCCCGTCTTCCTGCTCGCCGGACTCCACGCAGGGCCTTCCGCAGAACGGCACCAGCAGCAGCGCCGTCGCCACCGCCGCCACCAACGGGCGGCACCACCACAACATTTCGGGTGGGCGTGCACGGCAGAAGTCGCAAACGGGTTTTGATTCCTTACCCGTACCCGGCCGCACCAGGGTCGCAAACGGGTACCCGTACCCTACCCGATACCCGGCTACCCGTACCCGGCCGGGTATCGGGTAGGGTACGGGTACGGGTACCCGATTGCGACCTCTGGGATGAAGCCATGTTGCAGGCACGGGTGGGTTGATTCTAGGAATTTGAATTGTGAGAAGAGACAAGACGTTGGGAAATGAGTGACAAACGGTTACTCTTTGGTTCTTTCGGTAAAGTCACGTATAAAGATAAAATAATAAATTAAATACTAGCATACGGTTACTCACCAGTGACTCACAGCCTACCCGTACCCGTACCCGGCCGCACCAGGGTCGCAAACGGCTACCCGTACCCGGCCGGGTACGGGTAGCCGGGTATCGGGTAGGGTACGGGTATCGGGTACCCGGTTGCGACCTCTGGTACACAGAGAAGGCCTCGCTGCCCGTGACTACTGAATCGCTCGGATGAGATGAGGTCACACCAACTTCGGCAAAGGTCACACTGATAAACGACCGCATCACCGGGAGGGTTGCGTCCGGTTGGTACTCGGGCGGGTGGCTGCTCTGCAATGCCAGGTGCCAGGAGATGGCAGCGCAGCAAATGGGATCCCTTGAGTCCATCTACGTGAAACTTTGAGCGTCACCACTCACCCCCCTCACCCCTCTTCCCCCCCCTCGTGTGGGTGGGTTTTCTTCGAGCGCTCCAGTTTCCTCTCGCGTGAAGCCCGACACTCATTTATGGATTTGAACAAACATCGCAATGCAGAGTCTGGAAACTCAGTAAATCTTCATGGTTAATCTAAGGGATTTTAATTTTTCGCAACTGGGATGCATCGACAGCTGGACATGCATTAGTCATGTCTTAAACAGGATTTCATTCAGGGGGGGTTTTGCATAGTGGTTCTGGGACAGCTCCAACGGGTTGTGTTTTTGCCCGTGCGCCCGGATAAAATCCACACGCAGGAGATGTTGACAAAGTGCCGCACAAAGTAATTTCACGAATCACATCTGCTCTTCTGCTAATTTGCTCTGATAAACCACGACGAATGTCCTGATAAAGCAGGACAAATTACAGATTTTTTACGAAATGGCACAGGATACACCGCGATGGAACAGCCTCTCTCTGAAACCAAGCCAGGATGTTTGGTAGCTTCAGTTGCGTCAACTGTAAGACACGTGGGTACGATGGCTGCTGTTCGTTTAACACGTGCTCGGCTTTCGCGGCCAATATCATCCATAATACAGGTTTTTTTGGGTTAGATCGCGTAAATATGTAAATATGTAAATGTGTCGTTAAACCCGCCACCACCCGACACAGCCAACTAGTAAGGGTTGTCACGTAAACAGAAGGTGGCCAATTCGTTACTAGTACAGCACTAGTGTATAGTGTGGTGTATAGTAGTGTAGTGTATACTATACACTACTATACAACACTACACTACTTTACAACACTACACTACTATACAGTGTATAGTGTATAGTAGTGTAGTATACTATACTAGTACAGCACTAGTGTGTAGTGTATAATGTAGTGTATAGTATAGTGTATTGTAGTGTATAGTGTAGTATACTAGTACAGGACTAGTGTATAGTGTAGTATATTGTGTAATGTATGGTAGTGTATTGTGTAGTATACTAGTACAGCACTAACCGGTTGTGTTGGAGAGCCAAGCCACAACATTAACAATCTGAGTACGACATTTCGCCAGTAATTACAACGAGCTTCATCAGCTGTTCGTTTGTGCCTCCAGCAGGAGATGAAGACATCCTGATGCTCCCCAAGGACTCGGGGACCGGCCTGGAAGAAGTGATGGAGCGACTCAACAACACATTTCCCAACCGCAACGGTGAGTGACCCCCCCCCCCCCCCCCCCACTTCCACAAGTCATCACGTTACTTATTGATGCACGGCTAATGAAGGGGAATTTGTTTTTATTATTGTATATATCACGGTTCTTGAGGATAAAGCCCAAGGACCCAATTTCCAAGTAGCCAGGAAATATACATCACTATTCAGACGCAATAGATTAGATCAAACGCATCGTCTTGGACTGATGAAGATTGTAAAAAAGTGGGAAAGTAGACAATGGGAAGGGATTTCAAAGTCAAGCAATGTGAGATGATTATGAGAAAGAGAAGAGTTTCGATTTGCAGTCTGGTGGGTGAGTGGGTGAGTGTGTGAGTGGGTGAGTGAGTGAGTGTGTGCGTGGGTGAGTGAGTGTGTGTGTGAGTGGGTGAGTGAGTGAGTGAGTGCGTGTGTGCATGAGTGGGTGAGTGAGTGAGTGAGTGTGTGAGTGAGTGAGTGTGTGAGTGGGTGGGTGAGTGTGTGAGTGGGTGAGTATGTGAGTGGGTGGGTGAGTATGCGAGTGGGTGAGTGGGTGAGTGAGTGTAGTGAGTGCGTGAGTGTGGATGAGTGTGTAAGTTTGTGAGTGAGTGAGTGGGTGAGTGAGTGGGTGAGTGTGTGAGTGTGTGAGTGAGTGTGAGTAAGTGATTATTTCATTGAGAAAGACTCAACATTTGTTCTTGTAGTTCCCCGCACCGCACATACTGCATGTTGTGCATGACCCCGGGGTCTGTCATTACCTGCGCAATTTTTTTGACGAGGTTAAAGAGAGCGCAGCCAGAAGTTAATGTGTGGCTACGCGGGGATCGTTTTTTTACTAGCCAAGGTGAAACGCTCAAACACGCGGTTATTTCCACCATATTTTATCAGCACCGCTACGCGGTCTGAAACAAACTAAAAAGGTTCATTAATGGAAATGAAGAAACTGTGAGCGGCGAATTTCGCCGCAAATAAATTGCGTCTACCGAGCACTTGATTTTCGGTGCCGTTGCAAAGCCATGAAGGAATTCAACAAATGTGTCTGATCCGTCATCATTTAGCCAATGGCGGCTGGAGAAACGCTGTCGTGGGCTGTGTATTTTGCTCATTGTGGAGTGCGTGATTTATTTTTTTCGCCGGGATGTGTTCTGGCTCCCTCTGAAGCCCCTCCCCTCGTCCTTCTTACTCCCACTTATCTCATTGTATATTTATAAAGCACCTGAGCTCAAGGCGCTTAACATTTTTTATAAAGCGGCAACAAAAAGAGTGATTTAGATGGCAGGGGGGATGGAGTGCAATGGCCGAGGAATGAGTGACTGCAATAGAGGAGCATATAGGGGTCACGGAAGGGCAGGGGAGGGATGGGAGGGATGGCAGAACCACATATATCCACTACTCGCTAGGAACTGAGGTGTTTGCGGATATTGCGAAGAGGTCAGATATGTGAACATCAATAAAAATGCAAAATTCAACCACCGTGTAGAAATGGGTTCCTGGTTTAAAAAATAAACTTTATTTTTTATTTTACCAGGTAAGGCCCACTAAGATGATATACAACTCTTTTGTCAGAAGCGACCTGGCCACAAATGATAACTCAACGGACGTGGTTTATCACGTGGAAATTTTTTGAAGCCAAATACTCTAAACGCATGTTGCTACAAGTGGAGGGGAAAACCGGAGGACACAGAGAAATAAAATAAGTAATATTAAAAAAACTTTGTTTTAAACACGCTTTTATGAAATGTACTAGTAATCTAGTAATAGGAGAACTCCACGACTCCAGGAAGTGACCCCGAAGCTTGCCATAACGTAAGGGACCATGGCCAATTACAGCCAACGTCAGTTGAGCGTGGACAATTAGACCCAAGCCGAAACATAGCATATTTAAAAGAATGTAAAACATTTTTTATTATAAAATATAGTATTGTAATCAGTATGACATAAGTATACCAAGTTTGCAGTCGATACCACATTGGGAAGTGGGTTAAAATTGAGTTACAATGATTTTAGGATACAACAACGACAACAACATCAGACAGAGTGAGTTAACAAAAAGCGTGTAATAAAAAACACACAACCACGGGGAGAACATGAACACTCCAATATACAGGCGTCAGGGTCAGGATCGAACCGACAAAACTCCAGTGTACAAGGCGAGGTAGTTAACATCTCAAAACACAAACTGATTTATAACATCGTAAAATGCTTTACTGTGCTATGTACGTAAGATCGAGAACACAAGTGAGAAAGGTCGTATTCTGTGACCATCTATAAAGAAACACATTCCTACGGAGGGAGCTGGTAGGAACGTTGGGTTGCTCGGTCAATGGCCAGGGTCAACGGCGGCGTGGTGTATTCCACAAATATGGCCGACTGTGAGGGCGGGCACAAGCCTGTGTGAGTAGGTTAAACGTTGAGTTTTATAAGGACACCACGGGGTGACCAGCCCCTCCCCACCCAGCCCCACCCCTCCCACCCCCCAACCAGCCCCACCCTCCCCACCCAGCCCCTCCCCACCCAGCCCCTCTCCACCCAGCCCCACCCCTCCCATTTTTGGATGCAAGACGGACGGACACAATAATCCCCTGTGGGCTGGTGTAACCAGGAGGTTCCTACCAGTATTACAGTTATAGCCTGCACGTATACTGCACTGGGTGTGATTGGCCGGGTTGCCCTTGAAAGGGAGACGTGTGGCTCGATGGACTTTACCCATTGGGCAATGAACTTTTTATGAACGTCTCCTGAATCGGCCAGAACAGATATGCGACGGTCGGGTATGCGACTTTCGCACTGAATTCAAAGTGGCCAGGTAAGGTATTGGGGGGTGGGGGGGCGGTTTTGGGCATGACGATGACAGTTTCCATCGAGTGCAATAAAGCACAGCCAATATAGTTGTTCTTCGATTTACAAAAAATGCATTCTTTTTTTAATCAAAAAACCTTTTTGTTCTTTCACTAGGGCAAGCAGACGAGAGGATTGGTAGAGTGAGAGAGGTTCGTTAATTATCAACTCGTGCCACTCACCACCCTGTCTGTGCCACAATTATGTTAGCTTTTTGAATTTTCGAGCCAGCTCGCCTTTCCACGCAGGCAACTGGGGAGCACAGAATTGGATATTTCTTGACTCATAACAACGAACAATTACATACGTTTAAGAAAGCACAGTTTGAAAATAAATAAATGACATAAAATTCAGGAGTAGGATTGAAATAACATTTTTTTTGTACTAAAACCTCATCAATGATTCTTGTACTGTCTAGGATACGAATGCAACATCGAATCAGGTTACTGTTGACAACACCGGTAGAACCAATTGATCTCCGACAGAGGCAAAATTGTCGCAATTTAAGCGCAGTGCTTGAGTGCCATCTATCACGGTGTTGTGCAACGGGTAAACGTTCCATTCAAGGGGTTGATAGATATTTGGCTTAAACTAAACCCTATTTCATACACAGGCTAGAATACATTTTCCTTCATTAATATAACAAAGCATTATCGTCGTAGAATAAACAACCATCCCATATTCCTCTCCCCACGTGGGAAAAATATATTTTCTGCACAATCCATAAGCCGCGCAGTTTTATTCAAGATGAATAAATACTTATAGTGATTACTGTGTGAGATAATGCATTGTTCTTCAATGTGGCTGAAAAAAACTACCTAACTAACGATCAAATATACGTACGGTAATCATGTTTATGAAACATACATTTGATCTGAATGATTTATCCACTCGTTTTATTTGTATATGGATTACACAACCACTCATGTCAGCCTGCCACCACATTTTTTTCCCTTTAAGGTGATGAGTTACTCTGGAAATTCTATTTTAAAATTATTGTCTCAGCTGTAGAGGGCGGATGGGATAGAATTAACTCTTGAGGGAAGAGACATTGAGCACATTTCAAGAGATCGATGGAGGGGAAATGCTGCATATTTCCCCATCATATTTCTGTGGATATGTGATTCATGCTACTCAGCAAAGAGAAGCCTGCAATATTGAACCAAGGAGTGTTTTCATCTTGGCTGTAATTCTTTTGCGTATATCTAAGGCGCAACGAGGTTTTTTTTTTGTCAGGCAGCCTTCGGTAAAATGAGAATAAATTCTGGCCTCATTTCCCCAGAGGCAGATATAGAAACTAAGGTTAACTCCCATTCCATGTTATGCTTTTTAACCTTCGCTAGTCATTGTATAGCAAGATTATGGCAAAGCAATTGAGTTCTTGATTCTGTGGCCGTCTGCATCCAGCAACATATTTAAAATACAGAAGTGTAAATATAAATATGATGGATTTGAAGTTTTCGTGACTGCAAGGATCAATACTCTTTGGTTCTTTCGGTAAAGTAACGTAGGTGAAAATAAAATAAATATAATATCAAAAATAAAAATAACAAAATCACGACGTTTCAGAGGCAACACAAGCTTCCGTTATCAGGTGGAACAACCCCAGCAATTTTTTTATTTTTCTGCCCACTACAGTAAAAAAAAAGGATTTATATTTTATTTTCACCTACGTGACTTTACCGAAAGAACCAAAGAGTATAAATATGATGGCCTCAGTATGGAGCTATGGGGGGCTAGCTATGGAGACAGACACATACCAGAATGTTTCAAAACCACTGATGCTCAGGGACACAAATGAGAATAGATGTAATTGGGGGAAAATGCAAATGTAAGACATATTGACTCGTCATAAGAGTAAGCGGCAATAGAGACCTCATTAGACGGGATGACGGCTGATGGACAAGACTGGTGACAGAATGGCAGCCAAAAAGAGAGAATGCACCTCAGATGATGAACACCGCGGAGACAGAGCAATGAGATCACCTCGTGCATAGGGGATGGATTGTGCCAGCACACGATCTTGGAGGGATTGTGACGGTGTAGGGAGGCCCTCATCCGGCAGTTGATAACCCATGGCTGATGAGACTGATGCCGAAACTTCACGTTTATCCGAGGTCTCTGAAGTTGCACCACATTTTAAGCGCTGAGAGGCGTGACGTGAACATAATCGTTTGCTTTCTGGCTTGTGTTCTTCCTCTTTGTGCGTAGGTAACCATGTAGGTGGGGGCGTGTTTGGCATCGCGGATGACTTGACTCATGACACGGGGCCCTAGGTTTCCACGGCCACTGAAGAGGACTCGTCGAAAGGGTTACGATCAAGGGCGGTCCCCCACTGCATCTTCTCAACTGACTGTGGGATTTATCAACAATTGTTTTTGTCCCTGCTACGGTGAATAAGTGACCACTCGGGTCTGAAATGATGCACCGTTCTAAAGTCTATGCAAGTGTAACATAAAATAAAACTGCGGGCTGTCATTACGCTTTGTGATCTGCCTGAATTGTGAATTCTTCTCCGTGATGAAATACGGTCTTTACAAGCAAGGCCAGTTGGTTAATGATAAAATAAATATATACAGTATAGCGTATTACAGGTCCGTGATGGATTATTTTGTTTAAAAAAAAACATCATTTGTATGGCTGAATATAAAGTACAATTTCATTCATTTAGCCTGTGAGCATTTTTAATTTTTAATAAAGTATAAGCATCCGACTGCGTTTTTCTATTCACGTATCGTCATCCTTTATGTCAGCTCTATGTTAACATGACGACGACTGCTAAACTGCCTCCATTTTAATCTCTAAATCACTCGCTTTCAGGGGGTCGAATGTGAAAGTCCAACATTTTTCTTGCGATTAAACTTTTAGACAGAGTCTTGTGCCTAGCTCACGCTACTTTATCAACTTAAAAAAATGAAAAGGATCCTCTATTTATTTTTATACATATGTATAGCATATTGCCAAGATTAATTGCTACACTATTTTCACTTACGAGTAAAGAAGACCATATGCTATATTTTGGCAAATGAAATTACCATATTTATTGGAGCATCCCGGCAAAGTGCGTACATGGTATGTTCTGGTGTATATATTGGCCTCGCGACGTACACCATTGTCCTCATGAAACTTTGAAATTGGAAGCACAGCAAAAGACTGCTTTTTTAATGTATGCATTTTTTCACTTTCTGTAAATGCTGTCAAGTGCGCCTTTGACTCCTTTATCAATGATCGTGAAGTTCGACTTTACGGTCATTGATCTGGTGAGGCTGGACACAGTTATGTCTTCATAACGGTTCAGAATGTTGGAAACGTAGAATTGTAACAGTTTATATCTTACAGGTATCTTAAAAGCAGTTGCTGTTATGTAAAATGGTATCCATAGCGGCCTCTAGTGTATTGCTTGCAGTATGGCGTTATGTATGCGTTAACCATGCCAAAATTTGATCATGAAGCGTCCGTTTGGATATATTTTATGGTAATAAAAGATCTGAAACGTGTGTGTGTGCACAGCATTGATTGAATACTTGGTGATGTTTAAAGACCAGCACAGGATATATATATTATTTCATCTTGTCCATAATAGTTGCTTTTTTGGGTTAGATCGTGTAAATAGAAATGTGTTGTTACACCCGCCACCATCACCCAATAAGCCAATTAGTCAGGTTTGCCGCAACATTTACAATTTGAGTAAATAAATTAACTGGCTGCGTCGGGTGGTGACAGGTTTAACGACACATTTAAGCGATCTAACCCACAAAAAAACTCGTGGATAATATTTTGCCACGAAAGTCCACGTGTTAAACATTTCATCTTCCACTACATTTGTGGTGTGCACAATTCACAAATCATTTTCAAATCAGCTATTTCACACCTACCTTCAATGCTGAACCTGTTGCCCCACTGTTTTCAGTGAATCATATATTTAGGTGATGATTTTCTTTGTTATTTTTTTGTGATTTCGAATGAGTCCCTTGAGCAATGTCTGAGGTTTCAATGTCCACCCATTTGGTGTCTCGAGACCTCCGGAAGATATCAAGCGCTTTATAAATATTTAAATATTATCTAAAATCGTAAATAAGCGTGCATTGATTCACCGCCCCCTGGAAATTCAATTTATTTTGGTTCAGGGTGGCAATTCGATGTTTCTCCCTTTGTGGCCCCTGTACAGATGCCAGTGGCTGCAGGGTTCGCATGAACCCATTACATGCAACTTACACGAATCGAAGATAATAGATTATTACGTGCACAATATAATTGTATCGTGGGTGTGAGGATCAATTTTAATCTAAGAATCAATGTGTCTTTAGATGTCTGATTGTTACACCAAGATTTTTTCCACTCACAAATCCATTGATTTGTGCATAAATCATACATGCAGGAATCGGTAATTTAATATACAAATTATTCGTAAAAGGTAGATTTGTCTCGCTTTCTTTCAGCTTTATCGTCGCACTGTTCAAAAAAGTCCCAACAAAAATAAGTTATCAAAAGTTTGAATACATATTTGGGTTCAGCACTCTTGAAACTCTCCAGATGCAAACATTTGTAGACCTGTGTTCAAAGGCAAATTGACAATTATTTCATTAAACAAATTTCCGGCGGGATTTGGGATTTCAAAATTTGATGCCATGAATTAAGTTGGCACCTTTCCCACCATTAAACAACCGGTGCTTCTCGCAGCTTTACCAAACCATTTGCTCTACTGCCATCTTCTGGCCGTCTCTCGGCCCTACAATTTTGGGTCTTTCCCAAACCTGGAGCACTGATCCACAATCCAAATCACTGATTTACAGGCGTCCGTCACCACACCCGAAAAGTAACAATGCTGTTAAAGAAAACAGATCTTAAATCTTGACTTAAAGCTTTCGTGACTGCAGTAATTCATACTCTTTGGGTCTTTCGATAAAGTCACGTAGATAGAAAAAACTAATTTAAACCACGACGTTTCGATCGCAACAGAAACAATCGTCCTCAGGTGAAAAAAATACAGCAGTCCGCCTGCTGTATTTTTGTTCACCTGAAAACAATTGCTTGTGGTGCGATCGAAACGTCGTGGTTTTTTATTACTTTATTAGTTTTTATCTACGTGACTTTACCAAAAGACCCAAAGAGTAACAACAGATCTTTGTAGTACGCGGTGATGGTGATGCTGGGCAGTATTGCCACTGGGTGACTGATAGATCCGTCTTTCCACGGACGCAGAGATTGCTCTTTTCCAAATTGTGCGGCATGACATCTGGACAGGTAGCATTCCTGCGGTGCACGCGTGTGAGATGGCGCCACCGTACACGAGATGTTAACTGCCTCGCCAACCGTGCTAATCAGCCACTTCAGTGCCATGGTGCTGAAGGGCTCTCATTATTAGGCATTTTACAATCCATCCAACATTCGATGAATTATCACAATTTGGGGTTGTGATTAGATTCAAGAACTTTTTTTTATCTCATCTGTACAATCTCGTATTGTCCGCCTTGTCTTTTATCAAGTTGTCTAATTCGTTCCACGAGCCGAAAGATTATATTTTCACTTAATTTAAATATATCGTTAAAAAAACTAGACCATGAAATGCACGACTCGAGACATGTATCCGGAATGTAAGCATCTACCTTTATTGACTAATAATTATTTATATATCTAATATATAGAGTGCCATCGTGGTAAGACGTTAAATACCTCGCCTGGTACAACAGGAGGTCGTGGTTTCGATCCCGACCCTGACGCCTGCTGTATATTTGGAGTTTGCGTGTTCTGTCCGTGGTCGGGTGGATTTTTCTCCGGCTCCAAGTTTTTTCCCTCCACATTTAGAGACGTGTGTTTAGAATATTTGGCTGCGATAAATTGCCACGTGATAAGCCACTTCGTTGAGCTATCATTTTTTGGCCAGATCGCTCAGTGGGCCTTACCTGTTATACTGTTTGAGATTCATGAGACAATGTAGCCTTGCTCATTCTTACCATGTGATCAAGTTTTTGTCTTTTCACTGACAATACCGTATTTGGCACCTGCTGTACAGCATCAGAACAACCCATTCCACCGACATAATTTTCATTACAAAGGGATAAAGCGCCAGCTGTGAAATTTTTTTTTTTAAACGCAGCATTGCAAGGTTAGTCAATGTGATATCAGTGTACAATTAGTCTCAAGGGAGCGTAAAGTCAACAATAGCTCATTTATAACACCACTGCGTGTCATTGTGCACACCCAAAAAATGTGTGTGATTTTGGTGTTTAGAAAATTATGTTGTTTGATAGTGTCAACATTCTCATCTGTCCGAATGACGCGAGCTTATTATGGCCACAATCCGCTTGTTTGTACAAAGTGGCGTTGAGTAGTACTCTTTAATAATGCTTGCGCGCATTATTGTGGTGGCTTTTCCGGGGTTTTTCTGAATTCCAGGAAAGCATATCCACATCTTCATGGGATTTAGGATATGGCATCCATGTTAATGATTTGCGTCTGTCGCCAGAATGTTAATGGTATGCATGGTGATGTGACCTCACAGCTCGGTTAACATCACAACTTCCGGCAGATATTGTACGTGTTCCCGGTGGGTCGTCTTGTTCATCCACTGCTGGATGAGGGCCTCGTCACAAAGTGCGGGCTGTGTGGGTTATTTGATCACACTTCACGCTCGTGTTGGTGAAGGCAGGGAGCATATACGCAGATAAGCCGAGAAGCACAGTGCAATCTTGATTTGATCTTGATTTGATCTTGATTTGGTCTTGATTTTATCTTGATTTGATCTTGATTTAATCTTGATTTGAAGCTTTCGTGACTGCAGGAATCCATGCTCTTTGGGTTCTTTCGGTAAAGTCACGTAGGTATAAAATAAATCGCGACGTTTCGTGCGCAACACAAGCGTCCGTCATCAGGTGTGAAAGCATGATCTGCTGCTGAGGCAGACTGTTTTAAAAGGTGTTAAATGGTTGCAGCCCAAGGGTCATAAAGCACAGCACAGTCATGGATTTTACGGCATCTCACGCTGCTACCCACCACAGCCGCAACTGTTACCCATGGTGGTTACGCATACGAGCACTCAATCCTGCTTAGCTTCCAAGATCTGGTGAGATGGCGGGTGCATTCCGGGCGATATGGCCAAAGACCAGATGTTAATCATCATCATCGGCCATGATCAAACCACTGATGCTTGAAGACCTTCCTAAGCCATCGCATCCCTCACGATCCTACGATGCAATAATCCACCCGCCACCCGAGCTGATTTCGCCGCTCCGAGCAAGATATCATCATTGTTTTAAGTATATTGTAATATATTTTGCATTTTAATTTGTGCAAATGAGCAGCCACCGCACATATACACGGACGGGAAGAGGCACAGTATCCAGTGGCGGCTTGTGACATCTCCACTGGGTTTGACTGTTATGAGTGACCTCTGAAAATCTAATTAAGAACAACCTCGTCGTGTTTTTTGGCTTTCCCGTGAAAGTGATGTAACTGTCTTATCTACCAACGGTAGGCATTCATAAACAGCACGAAACAATTCAACAAAGCACTCAAATGCTGTCCCCATGACCCTCAAGTCCACACTACATAACCCCTTTGACACTTCTAGATTTTAAGCTTTCGTGAATGCAAGGATTCATACTCTTAGTTTTTTCGGTAAAGTCACGTAGGTAAAAAATGAAATTAAAATTAATAAAAGTAATATTTGATTTCTATTATTACTTTTATTAATTTTAATTTCATTTGTTTTTCCTTTGACACAACCACAAGACAACTTAGATTAAAGCCATCAGTTTAACTCCGTACTACAACAAACAAACATGGCCAAACCAAAAAACGTTTTCGAAATCCAGGCGTGGACTCTAAATTATATATGTGGACTAATGGGTGACCTCAAAAATCAATTTCCAGCCCTGCTGGATGAGGGCCTCTCCACGACTCGAGAAGGGTTATTTGATCATTCTTCACCACGCTAGTCGGAGGCTGGTTGATGAAATGTAAAGTTACTTTACATTTGTAACGCACACGCATGTCCCCTTATATTCAGAGGCGCGGACCATAAGAACCGATTCTAACAATGCCATGCCTGTCAACCCATATGGTGTACCAATATTTATGTGCAGGGAATTAAATTTTCATGTCCATACGGCGTACAGCCGTTTCAACACGGGCACCAAAACAAATTGTCTGTGTTTCTCCCTTGTGATGGGATTTTGTAGGATGAACGTTGAGATTGATCAGGAGTACGGGGTCACCAATAAGGTCTGAATTGGTCTGTAATAAGCTAGGGGCACTGGTAAGAGATTGACAGGAATGAATTGAGGTCTTTCGGTAAAGTCACGTAGGTATAAAATAAATTAAATCACGTTTCGATTTTATACCTCCGTGATTTCACCGAAAGAACCAAAGAGTATGGATCCCTAACCCAGCTTAAATATACGCTACCAAGCTTGGTGGTGTTCATTCAGACGCTGTCTTTCCGACAGACCTGTTCTTCACCTGAGGACGGCTGCTTGCGTTGTGGCCGAAACGTCGTGAGAATTGTATTTTATTATGTTTTATTTTTACTATTTTATTATTTCCCTTCTACGTGACTTTACCGAAAGAACCAAGAAGATTTCTATGCTATGGAAGTAAAAACAATTTACTAAACCTTGGCCACAATATCTGGACTTGTCTTCATATAACAATTCATAGATTTATGTTTATATGGTTGTGGTTATGGTGGTACTTTATAAATCCCTAATCTCTGTCATTACATACAATGATCTTAATTTTAGAACTTTCGTGACTGCAGGAATTATTATTTGGTTCTTTCGGTTAAGTCACGTCTAAAGATAAAATTATAAATTAATAAATTAAATAATTGCTGCTTTTTTCATTTATTATTTTATCTTTAGACGTGACTTAACCGAAAGAACCAAATAATACATACAATGAAACAAGAAAAGGTAAAAACAGAAAAAACAGAGCACTGTAATACAATACACGATTTGACATTGTTGTAAAAAAATAAAAAAAATCCGTCCCATGTGTTAGTGAATTTTTAAATATATTAGGCAGGAAATGGCAGGAAATTTATTTTCAAATTTAGATTTTTCTGGGGGGGGGCAAGATTTGGTGCCCCCCAATGTTGACTCCATGGCTACGGCCTTGGTACAACAAGCACAGGTCCGCAAGCACGCGGCCCCCTACTGAGAAGTTTGTCCAGGCGAGGTGGGATTTTACTTTTCCAAGATCAAATACATTCGTTAACGACATTTCGGCAAATGGTCCTTCTTCATCACACATAAAAATCGGTGGCAGTTGTTGGTGACGTCATCACGCAGCAGACGTTTCCTGTGACGTAACCGCGTCGAGCGCGCTGACGTCATGACGCAAACGCACGCGTGGCCGGGCTCGTCTGGGTGTAACGATTCGTTTGTTCAACCATCGCATCGATTCCAACGCACAGTTAACAGGGTGCACGATGGAATCGAGCACGGATGAATGGAATATTTACTCATAAATACGCAGGATAGGAGCGCGAACACAGCGTGCTTAATGAAAATCGCTCCTACAATTGCGCTTCCACTGTGCACCACAAATGCGACAAAAACATTTCTTAGATCGAATTCTGAACCGGAGCAACCGGTACGGATCGATGAGGGTTACGATTGCGGCTCGAGTCGATTCCTTTTGCATCGTTCCATTTAAAAATCGATTTAGCCATAAAATCAGAGCTGGTATGATTTTAAAAAGTAATCGTTTTCTGGACACACGACTCGATGCGGTAAGCGAAAGGCTTAAGAATCAACGTTAATCGCGGAGTGTCTGCGAACCGTTGAAAAATACTTAACATCGATTCCTTTCGGCGGTGCCTTGAACCGACTTTGGAATCGACGGCGCGCCGACACGCGTCGGTGACGTCACGACGCAGCCACCCGCGCCAACCCACGCGCAACGAACCGCGGGGCGGGGCTGGCGACATGACGTCACCGCGCACGCCTACGCGTTGACGTCACCGCCACCGGCCCTGCGCGGAGAGCCTTGGAAACCCCGTGGCACAAAGCCAATTTACACCCCCGCCCCCCCCCCGCGCGCGCGCCCCCCCCTCCCAGCCCCGCCCCTCTCTCGCTCGTCGCCATTTTGTGTGAAGGCGGCGGCGGCATCGCGTCGAGGCGAAGGTGAGTTGCTGACGGCCCTTAAAGTCGCCGCGGCATTTCGCGTAACACTTTTTGTTGTCGTCTGTGGTTGCCGCCGATGTTGCTCGGCGTTGAAGCGTGTCGTTGTTACCCCCCGCCTCACGTCAAACGCCCGTGCGTCTAGCGGGAGCGCATCGCCTCTTGTGTTTTAATTGAATGGCAGCCGACGTGGTGATGATGGTGATGGTGGCCGTGGTGGTTTTGTTTGTCTGCTTCACCAAAGCCTTGATCGAGTGAATGAAACGCGAGGCTCGGAACGATTTAAATCCACGTCCACGGGTCTATTTTAACACGACGACGAAACGCGTGACACTGGATACAACGGAGGGTTGGGGGGGGCGGTAGATTAAAAGAGAAATGCGGCCACCGTGTTGAGGAGGAGGAGGCTTTGCCATGGACGTGGCATGGAGGTAGAGGGGATTTGGCGTGCAACGTGCGTTTATTCCACCTTTTATTAACCAAATATTTTAGGGAGGGGAAAACAAACCACACAAGGCCACAGCAGAGATAACTTGGCATCTTGTGGATGATTTTTGCTCCGCCTTTCGCCCCCCCCCACGAAGTGGTTGTTTTTGCGCAGTAGAATCACCAATTTGAAAAAGGGAGTAGATATTTTATTTTTTTGGGACGGGAGAAAGAAACGAGCAGCCATTTGGGGCGACATCTTCGCTTCGACGTGATTTGTATGGCAGTACTAATAACGAACGTTGCATGGAATTTTTAAACATGGACTTTTTATAACAAAACGCCATTTGCAAGGCTTACCGCGATTGGTATGTGTGGGGGTACAAAGGATGGGGCGAGATTTCGTGCACAAAATGCAACCTCTAATTAATTAAAAAAACAAATTAACGATTTATTTTTAATGCATCCATATTTACCAGAACAAAATCGTGGCTTTGCGTTTCATACATTTCAATAGGCTCAGACCTATGTAATAACATCATGCACCATCTGACCCCAACAAGTCCACATGTATTACATTTGAGGTGCAAATTACCCTCGCATTTATTTTTGTCAGTTTGGACATGATGAAAATGTTTTAATCCCCGTCCTCGGTTAATTTTTAATGGCAGAAAAGTGTCTGGTCTCAGCAAATCAATGGGTTTGCAGGGATGTGCCTCCTTTTTTTACTCTCCTGGAAATATAAACTGTATCCCACTGGGATTGAGTGAGGATAATGTAGACATTTTTCCATGTGCTGCTCATAGTTTAGCAGCAGTTTGGCCCATTGAGATGTCTTTCTCCACGACCGAAACTGTTAAGTTGACCACACGGGTGTGAAGGGGCGTCGGAAATGTGTGGTTTGCCTCCCTGGATAGGTGCTGTTTGTGAGAAATCGTAACCAACATGCTAAGATATTGCTCTACATCCATTTTTTGGCCAGTGCGCGACACAAACGTCGACAGAAAAGAAGTTGAACTCTTTATGATTCATGATTACTATTCCTGAATCAAATGCGCATCCCATATTAATAGGACACTGCAGTTTAGAGCGTGAGGTGAACAGTGGCAGTATATAAATCATCACATTTGCTCGGCAGATTATTTGACAAGTGTCCTCTGCGTGCTGGGTAGGTATCTCGGGTTTTAATTTCACCCTCAATATACCACCAATAGAGCACACTGACCTCTGAGCTGCCATGCAAGGACTTTCAGTTGTACCTGTTTCCTAATTGCAGAGGCAATGTGTGTGCTCAGTTTCCCAGAATACAATGGTTAATCGCAAACTTACTTGAAATCAATGCACATTTCTGATGCTTATTGTTTACATTTTTGCTGATGATTGAAATGCTATTAGTACCATTGTTTGTCATTGTGATTCTTTTTACCCCTAAAATGTTACCATCCATGTTTAATATTCTGTAATTTACCGGGCCAATCTGTGCGTATGTGTTGCCATTTTGCGTATGTGTTGGCATTATTCACCCATTCCATTTAATCCACGCATTTGTTATTCATGTAATTGTCTTGTGTTTTATTTTAATTGAGTGAACAACAACATAGCCAGACCATGGACGGCATACATAATTCAAATTTATTGAGTTACCCAAGTACATTAAGTAAAGTAATGTAAAGCCCTAGTGAATGGTGCCACTTGATGCGGGCACATGGTGATTTAGGTACAAGCACCTTGCAAGGCCTCAGGTGTGTGATGCTGCTTCCCGTGACTCCGCAGAGGATGTCCTTTGAGCCGGTGGGTAACGGTAGCCTGAAGATAGAAGAGGCAATGGACGAAGAGCCAATGGACACTACAACAGCGGCCGCCAACCACTCGGAGCACTTCCAGGCTCTGCTGGACTCGGGCATTGGGTGGAAAGTGGCAGAGAAACTCAACGAGATTTACCTGTCAGGTGTGGAGCCAGAGAAACTTCAACCCCTTCTCACCCCTTTCCCCCCCCATCATGAGAGAGTGTTAATGCCCAGGACCATTAGACTTTAAATGTGCTGAAGAACAACTTCTTAATGCAATGCTATTTGTGCTTTCAATATGCCTTCTGATGGTGATTTTTAATGAGGAGCATAGTTTATGCTGCTAAGCTTTTTCAAGTTAAAGCAAATGGCAACTGAAATTAAGTTAACCATGAAGTACTTAATGTAATGTGCTTCTTCTATTAGTCCAGCTTATTACAAATGCAGGGATCTTATGGGTCAGTGTAGTTTTGTTATGGGTTGGAATAGTTTTCCAAATGTCACATTGAAGATGACTACAACAGAAAGTGACATTTTAAAACTTCATCGTAATGGCTATTCAGCCTGCACAGCTTGCACTGGCTTTTGAAGGGAGGGCAAGTATTTTAATTCTGATCAGCATTTTTGCAAGTCCTGTCAAACAGACATGCAGTAAATGTTTGTGTAACTCATTTTGCCAAACATTGTTAAAGCCCCAGGTGCAATGCCTTTCATGGAAAATGGATGCCTGCATGGCCAGCCAGTAACTATTTTTAAGAACGTGATAGTCTACTATGCTGTCCGTGGTCTGGCTATGTGTTTGTCTATTTCATTAAAATATTTCTCCAGAGTGCGCTACTGAGTTGCAACTGCGTCGTTCACAGTGTGGTCCCGACATGGCGTAGGGTAACACGTCCATTACAGTTCAAATAGTGCACGTGTGAGACGTTACATTTCTATAAATTGTACATTCCAACATACAGAATGTAGCAGCTAATCTATATCTTTTTAAAAAATATTTTTTAGTAGACCTTTTTTCCTCTCTCTTAAGCGGGGCCCAGTGCTAGTGATTACTGTTCATCATGCTGATTGTTTTAAATTCTGAGTTTAAAAATGCTTGTAGAATTTTTGGATTCCTTATCATTTATCCTCACTTAAGTAGATTATAACGTTGGCGAACAGTAAACCCTAAATTGTTGTTTCATACAATTCGAGAAAGGCATTCACATTGGGGGAAATTAATGCTGATGTAATTTTAAGCAGAGCAAAATTGGTAATTAAAGACTGTCAAGAAGGTGGACACTTGAAAAACTACTTGAAATCTCTACTTTTATGAAGGGATGAATTTCTCTGCCTAGTGGCCACTTCTCTGATGCACATGTTTTTGTGCTTTTCTGGGCCTGACAGGGCTCGTGACCCACGGGGACTTGGACGGGCGAGCTTTGGAAGCACTGCGAGAGTTTAGCGAGGAGGGGGCGTTCGCTGTGCTGCAGCAGTTCAAGGAGAGCGACCTTTCGCACGTGCAGGTGACGATTCGATCAGCACCCTTGGCTACGTACTGTGCGAAAGAAGGTCTACATACATGCCCCACTTGCACCAACATAGGCGTACTGCAGCCAAGGCCTCTCAAAATGGTGTTCTAAATGAACTCTTGAATAGGTTTGTTAATTGTAGAAAAGTGCATATTTAGACTGTTATCCCTAAGTCTATTGACTCAGGTCTTTAGTGCACTTGGCAAATCATGATTGTTGTTCCACTCCTGCGTGAGATATGGGTAATTCAATTGGGTGTAAAAAACTCGCTTCCAGACAGCCACTTTGATTTTGTAAGCTTTGCCAATGGGAATGTTCCCTGCATATAATACGGCTGCAGTATGTATGCTTAAAAAATTGCTTATTTGACTGGTGCTTTCGAGTGTGTGATTTATATCCCTAAACGAGCGTGTTGCACATTACAGAACAAGAGTGCATTCCTTTGCGGCGTAATGAAGACCTACCGGCAGAGGGAGAAGCAAGGGGGGAAGGCCCCAGAAACCAACAAGGGGCCTGACGAGGCCAAAATAAAGGTGAATACATTCTTTAATCATTAAAATATGTTATGACCATCACCTGTTTGGTGAAAACTGCCTGTTACGGCATTCAAAATCCTGTCCTATTTCTTTTCTTGGTCTGGCTTTGAGGTCAAAGTTTACTGACTGGCATGTCATGCCCTGCTGTTGCACATTACATGTTTTGTGCTTGCTTTTAGCCAAATGCATGTGCACACCAGCTCGTCGCTGATGTTTTTATTGGCACTCTTCGACAAAGCCAATTTTAATACAGGAACCATCTGTCAAATTATTAATAATGTCTAATTTATCATGTTTAAGTAAGCACTGCTTAGTTTTGTAATTGTCAAGTACTGATTACATTCTTTTGAACCCTTCCTGCTGCCATGTGCTTGAACAGGAACTGCTGGAGAGGACTGGCTACACACTAGATGTGACAACAGGGCAGAGGAAGTATGGAGGGCCACCCCCAGATGCAGTTTACAGTGGACAACAACCAGGCACGGGCACCGAGGTACTGATCCCTCCCTACCTTTGGCTGCATGAACGTTATTTTATATTCTTAGGTTTTTTCGGTAAAGTCATGTAGGTAAAACATTAAAATTAATAAAAGTAAAATAAAATAAAAAATCTCGACGTTTCGGAGGCAACACAAGCCTCCGTCTTCAGGTGGAACCGTCACAGCCACGACAGCTGTATCAAGTAAATGAGGTTATTACTTTTAATTCCTTCCACTCAATGTTTAAACGTGTTTTTATAATCCAACCCTCTCGGCAATACAGTTCAGAAACCGACGAGCGGACGTAGTTTTGCCGATGGTTCGTGCAATTGAGTCACTTTTAATTGAATATCACGAGCATGTTTACTTTTAAATGTGATTCCGCTTGTTTGTAGCTTATTGGTTTGAAACATATGCAAGGCAAATGTTCAACATATTTAGAATAAAATACTAAATAGTCAAGTTTTTTCCCTTTTGTGTTTCTATAAATATATGTGAAATGCCAAAACCTACATGGTTTTTTTCCCAAAAAATCACTGAAAAAATGTGTCAGTTTTGTTGCCAGATAGAAGGGTAAAAAAACAATTATCAATCACTGATTTGTTGGCTGCTGCCTTCTGCAGGTGTTTGTTGGCAAGATCCCACGTGACTTGTTCGAGGACACATTGGTGCCGCTGTTTGAGAAGGCGGGCCCCATCTGGGACCTGCGACTCATGATGGACCCACTCACCGGACTTAATCGAGGCTACGCGTTCCTCACCTACTGCAGCAAGGATGCTGCTCTTGAGGCTGTCAAACTGGTGAGCCTATCTGTGTTGGCTTACATTTATGAGTATGAACCTGTGTTGCAGGTTGGTGAAGCAGTTAGGGGACCCACATTAAATTGTCAATTTTTTCATTCGCCATTGCTGGGAATTTATGTACATTAAACTTCATTCTTAGTCAACTGTGCTAATCGGAAGTACAGGGGGAGGGGGGGGTAAACATATCTAAAACAATTTTACTCGAATTGCCAGCTTTATTGTGCAGTACTCTTTAGGTCAGCACCAAACCCTCGTGCATTAGCCATGCCAGCTGCCGCATGCGCAACAGCATCGTAAAACCTGGCACGGAGCATATGCTGATAGAATCGAGAGCCAAAGCTAAGATAACGTGTGCTGTATCGGCTCCAGGTTCTGTCCGTGCCACTCATGAGTTCGAATAGCAAAGCAGCACTTCCTTGGTCTCGCGTGTGGTGTTTAATGTTGTGGGTTTGTTTCCTTGCAGTGCGACAACTACGAGATCCGGCCAGGAAAGCACGTGGGCGTTTGCCTGTCCGTAGCCAACAACCGCCTCTTTGTGGGCTCTATCCCCAAGAGCAAGACCAAGGAACAAATTATGGAGGAGTTTCAAGACATAACAGGTGCTTCCCTTTGCTGTGGCTGTTCTTGTGCTTTTTGTCCATTACCTTGGTTAGAGTGTTCTGTCGAGTTTAATGTTTTGGTTTAATACTTACAATTTTGTGTGAAATTCAAGTGATAATACGATTTTGCAAGGAAGTGATGGCGTTAAGTGTTTTTTGAATGCATGAGGGCCATTATGTTTTTTCAAGATCTACATCTATGCAATCATCGTTATCGGCTCATGTGCCACGTCACGTCGCTGACTAGATGATCACCTCTTCACTTGATTAATTGTGCTTGCCGTGGCTAATCACATCCACTTAGCCGATATGTTTATTAATACATCGAATCCATGTTTATTTTGCTTATTTTAACATGGCTTGCCATGGTTGCTATGCACTTGCGGCAGAGGTCGCAACCGGGTACCCGATACCCGGCTACCCGATACCCGGCTACCCGTTTGCGACCCTGGTGCGGCCAGGTACGGGTAGGCCGTGAGTCACTGGTGAGTAGCCGTTTGTCACTCATTTCGGGTAGGGTACGGGTAGGGAACGGCTACCCGTACCCGGCCGGGTACGCTGACCCATTTGCGACCCTGGTGCGGCCGGGTACGGGTAAGGAATCAAACCCGTTTGCGACCTCTGACTTGCGGTCGCTCATGCATTTTTGTGTGCGCACGCCTGCCTGTGACATGCTGCAGAGGGCCTCACGGACGTCATCTTATACCAGCAAGTGGAGGACAAGCGCCGCAACCGCGGCTTCTGCTTCTTGGAATTTGAGGACCACAAGACGGCAGCTCAGGCGCGGCGCCGCCTCATGAGCGGCAAGATCAAGGTGTTCGGCATCCCCGTGTCGGTGGAGTGGGCTGACCCCATCGAAGAGCCCGACCCAGAGATCATGTCCAAGGTGTGTGTGTGTGTGCTCGTTATCCCCACCCCTGCTTTCCTCACTTGCCAATAAAGAGAGTGAGCTGCCTGTTTTTTTTCCAATCGATGGAGAAACTTTAAGTCAAGTGTAGGAGCTTGCACTGAGACAGCACATATTGTTGCGTTCACCATCCAGTGCCAAAGCCTAGGGTCCTTCCTGGCAAAGCCCCTCAAACGTCCGCCTATCTCCAAATTTTACAGTAACGGTCGATCAGATGCTGTCACGAGTGGATTACATTTTCTGCAGTAGCCTCCCCCTACTTGGTTAGATAGTGATTCCCTTGGTACCCCTTGATTCTGTAAAGAGACCAGGGAACAGTTAAAAATAGTAGTTGATGCCACTTGAAGATTCCTGCAAGTTGCATTGTTGCTGTGCTTAACCTTCCGAGCCGATGTTAATGCGTCTGTATGGATAGTCTTTGGTTTTTTCGGTAAAGTCACGTAGGTAAAAAATAAAATTATAAATCATGACGTTTCGGAAGCTTGGGTTGCCTCCGAAACGTCATGATTTATTTTATTTTTTACCTACGTGACTTTACCAAAAAAACCAAAGAGTATGAACCCTTGCAGTCACGAAAACTTCAAATCTAGAAAACGTGTGTATGGAGGTTAACTTTTCTGTTTGTGCATGAAATGCTTTATTGGCTTGAAATTCAAGTCTTGATAGGGAATGCTTTCATATTGGGAAGAAAAGCCGTGTCCTGCTGTACCAACCATGTCATGAACTGTACAGGTCAAAGTGCTGTTCGTGCGCAATCTGGCATCGGCTGTGACGGAAGAGATTCTGCAAGACACGTTCTCTGTGTTTGGCAAGCTGGAGCGCGTCAAGAAGCTCAAAGACTACGCCTTTGTGCATTTTGAAGATAGGGACGATGCCGTCAAGGTAAAGCCAGCAATGTTAATTTTGTTACCCTTTCCTTTGTATGTTTACATTTTTGTAATTCCCATATAGGCAGCTTTAATTGTAGAATTCAAATGGTGACCTTGCAATGGTTTGCATTGCAAGATAAGTGTAAACATCTGGTATGATAGCAAGATTCTGATGTAGGCCAGTGCTCGATGGACTATTTGTTCATTATTAGACATACATACCAAAAGATGCATGATAACATGGAAATAACTTTTATCATACGTTTCTTATTACGAATTGTTATTCAGGTGCTTTTATAATCGAGCCAAACTTTTTTTTAAATGACACATTGCATAGGTCAATTTCCCATATTGTGAATACCTTGTACATATAATAACTTGAACACAACTGTTCATTCAGCACCATTTGTGCACGCGTTCTAATGCCAAACTCCATTTTACGATTTGCATCCTGTTAGGCCATGGACGAGATGAACGGGAAACCGCTTGAAGGGGAGCCCCTTGTGATTGTGCTTGCAAAGCCGCCTGACAAGAAAAAGAAGGACCGGCAAGCCGAGCGACAGGCACAGCGCTTCATGTCCCGGCAAGGAGGGTACGTGTAACGCACGCTGTGCGCGCACCCACGTGTACTGCAGTACCGCCGCGTCTACTAAACGACCACTTGTTCACGCTTAACTTTGCTTTTCCCCCCCTCGACCCTTCCATAGATATGAGGAACATTATTTCCGCAGCGTACGGGGAGGACGAGGCCTTGGGGGCCGCTCTGCATACGCCTACCCACCCGACTATTACCCCGGCTACGATGACTACTATGACGACTACTACGCAGGCTACGACTACCACGGCTACCGCGGCGGCTACGAGGACCCCTACTACGGCTACGACGATGGCTACCGGCCACCCAGGGGAGGCGGCGTCATGATGCGTGGCATCGGAGCCCTGGGCCGGGGCAGGGCGTTGGCGCGAGGGGGCGGCCGGGGAGGCATCGGCGGCCCTTCCCAGCGCGGCACCCCCAGGGGTGGCGGAGGAGGCCCCCTCTCTCGTGGCCGAGGCCGCGGCGGACGAGGCCTGCGGGGTGCCAGGGGAGGCCGGGGAACCGGTAACCTCGGAGGCAAACGCAAGGCAGACGCCTACAACCAGCCGGACTCCAAGCGCCGCCAGATGGGGAACCGGGGAGGGGGTGCCTGGGGATCTCGTCCCATCGCACAGAAGCCCCTGCAAGCGGGTGGCGGTGGCGACTATGGCGGTAACTATGGTTACAGCTCTGCAGACCAGGAGTTCTATCAGGATTCCTACGGGCAGCAGTGGAAGTGAAGTGGCAGAGGCAGAGCCAAGCCCAAATGTGCCTGCCTCCTCTTGCGCATTACCCTCCTGTAGGTTTGTGGGTTAGATACCTCCATAATCCCCCACCCTCTGACGTACCCTCCCAGCTCTCCCCATTCCTTACCCCTCTCAGTGATTTGTTAGGTATGTATCTTCACTTCATTTATGGTATATCTTGGCATTTAAAACAAAGCCGCCCATTTTTCTGTTGCATTTAGTTGCATTGGCTTACTTCAACCGGACATCTGCACACACCCATGGTGGTCGCCTTATCAGGCGAAACAAAGATCAGTTTTCGACGCTGTCTGGCCCGATGAGAACCTGCCAAGATTTGAGAGATGAAGAAGGCATTCCATTTTGGCTACTGTGACTCTGGCCAAAATTTATTTTTATGGCCGATATTGCTGAAACGAACAGAAAGTGAATGTTTTGAAGGGACAGCCCACCATTGTCATCTTCCGCAAAACTAAACACATTTGCTTTTCATTTCAATTTGTCTGTATTTGGGCATACCGTAAACATACTCGTGTCCAACAATGTTCTAAATTTTGCTGTTACAGATTTTGCGGTTAAAATTCTGGTTGTTTGAATTAGAAAGTGCGCAGTACATGCTACGTAATATGGTAGTCAAATTTAGACGCGAAATTTCTTTATTGGCTTATGGCTGTCCTCAAGGATTATTTTGCTTTGTTGCTTGTTGTTACTGTGTACTCTTTGTTTATCTGCATCCATTAAATAAATTTTTTATAAATTCAAAAAAAAAATTGAACAAAACGATTTCAAGTATGTGGCGACAATTTATTTGGACGGAATTAAAAATTTTACACACAAATGCACGTCCGGTGATCCACATACTCCAAGCCCACATGCATTAGCATTCCAAATTGAAGTGTTCACACAATGTTGAGTTACGTGTCGATTAAACAAAATTGAAAGGTGACCAAAGTTATTTAATGAAAACGCCAAAAAATGTCCTTGCATTTCACAAGCGAAAAACATGAAACATTTCAAAAACACAACTGACAAAAAAGCCTTTCAGTGAAATTGTGAAACCGTTGAAGTGCACCCCACAACTTCAAATGGGTGCTTTGTGAAGACTGCTCTCGTGCATTAGCTCATAAGAAGCTTGTGTTTTTGTTTGTGTTGTACTTTTGTATTGGCCAAGAGACAGGGAGAGAAGACGAGGCATGCGTGGTGTGAGCATGCTTAAGAGTACATACCTTTGGGGAGGGACTGCTGTTTAATGGTTGCTTTTTGTCCCCTGGCTAGCAGGGCAGAGTGCCAGGCCGGTCCTGACCTGTTGTCATGACGACCTGTCGCTAGGCGGCGTGGTTGCCGTGGAGACTGCTGGCGGGGAGCCCGTTGGTAAGAGCGAGCGAGCGAGACAGACCACGGATTTTGCTTAGGTCAGCACTGCCTTGGCACCATCAAACCTCCATTGTTGCTCTGCACACTGTGCACGTGGATCACAGCACAATTCTGCAATCGACCTGGGGGCTGAAAGACGGGTCTGTGACAGAACCTCTTGACCAGCACTGTAAAGCGAATGAAATTTCCCTAAGAAATCTCGGGGAGGGGCTTGTCAACTTGTGGAAATTTTGTCTGGTTTGTGTTTTTTTTACATTCAACTTCTACACGCAAAATTTTTATTAAAGGCAGGTTTTACAGGCAGTGCAAGCAAATATTGTACTGCGTTTTTAGTACCAAACAATTGTGCAATTGCCGTGTCCATTTTAAGACTTATTAAATATTGCAAGATGGTGGCAATGTCTGGATCTTTTGGGGTTTAGAGCATATTTCCTGGAGTGCCTGATCTAAAAATACCCAACAAGCCCCGTTGTGGGTCTGAGGTGAAGAAATTGTGTTAAAAGAACTTTAATCCTTGTGAACATTTTCAAGTGATGAGCTGTGATCCAGCACTTTTCAAATTCACTGACGTGTGCTTCTGCTTATGAACATGTGTGTTTAAAAAAGGGCTTGAATCACAATGTATTCAATTATTTTTAGTGTTTCTATTCAGCACATTACACAAATTCTAAAAGGTACAAATTGTTATGCGTGGAGAGGCAAGGAGTTTGAACATTTTACTTCGATGCTGTTTTGCCAAATTTCTCATCGCATGGTGGTTTTTGGTAAAGTGAAGACAAAGGGGAAGAATTTCCAAATTGCAGTGTTTAAAAAAAGAAGATCTAACTGCTGTGTTGGAGACCCAAGCATCCAAATGTTTCCAATTTCGGCAAAATCCTGCGACCCCATGCGTGAGGCCCTGATCAAGAAAGTCGCCGATCGTAAACGTGCTCTCCTCGGCTGAGGATGCAAAGGCCTATCCTCTCAATTTGGTGGTGGCCCTTAATGTGCTGCTTGTGCTGTGTGTGCTTTTATGGTAAGTGGTTATGTATACCCCCTTTTTTTCTCTCGTTTATGGAAAAATTTCTCAAGTTTAATGAATGGAATGTTTAATATTATTTGTGAAACATCCATTTGCAAGTGACATTTTAATCATTGCCCAATTTTTGTTACGGAGTTAAAGCCATGTAACTGTTAATTGTGTTCTCATTTTTTTGTTTTTAGCTGAAAGATGGATGTGGTTCTTTGAGATTCTGCCTGCAAGAGGTAAGTACCAAGGTAAGCTTTGCACAGTGGCCCATTAAATGATGGTGCATTGAGAGTGGTTCATTTTTCCCCTATTGAGTTGCATTTTGTCCTGACTCCATGTGATGATGGTCCACTATTGACTGGCTGCAAATGTGGGGCTTGCCTGCAATCTAGCACTTCTGGGTTGAGGGATCGCATTCCTGGAACTCCCAACTGGAAATGTTGAGTTTTCCCTTGCCTGGTTTGCCAGGGCGTGGCATTACAAAAAGTGAATTTTTCATCTGTTCAAGGATATGTTGCCACCTCCCCCCCCATTTCTGAGTACGTACTCTGGTTCCTCCTGCACAAACAGCATTAATAGTTGGGCATTTGTTGACGCCAGTTCCAGCAGCTTTTTCGTACCAGGTTCCCTGCACTTGCCGTGTGAAAAACGCATTCCAACCAGCATTTTGAGGTGCAATTTTCATGGATATAACTTCATTTTTAGTCCGAGCAATTGATGTTCAAGATTGTCACTGAAAAAGTGGGATGAGCCACATGCATAAGCTACATCGGAACTAAACTATTGAGTGAACAGTTCTGACAGTATAAGCACTTCTCATCTGTAACTCGCTGTTGAATAAAGTATGGTTAAAATGTAACGTGTTGATTTTTTTATACACCGGAAGACCTCCATATGTGTTTGTGTACTGGTGACCATTGCAAATTGAAGGTTCTTGCTATACACATGCACCGCATATTTGCAGGGTTTTTTTATTCGCAGCTGCAAAACGTCCATTTCGTGTGAATTTGTGATGACCAAAATTTAATTGTGTGCTTTACTGAAATCGAGATATTTAGCCACCGCCATTTTCCAGCGAATAAAGCTGAACTACACGACTTGTGAATGCCTTTACGTTACAGTTTTATATCGGGGCTGGGATTTGTTTTTTCTACATTTAATATTTTCTGGGTACATCGTCATCGCCCCCCTCATCGAAACCTATTGGGGGGGGGGGGAACATTTACGGTCCTCGGACTCGAGGTGGCATCGGCTGAAATCCCTGGATTTTGTACATTCGACGTGGCATTGAGGTGCCCTACGTTTGATAATAAATGGCATTCAAACTGACAAACGCATACTATTTTTCAATTCAAGAACGTGGGACATTGTGATCGTCATGCGGTGAGTGAGCTGTCTTATTGTTTTGCGATATGGAACAATCCACGGCTTCGTCACTAATTGGCTTACACCGCGAGAAACTTGCTTGCTGATTGGTTGATGATTTCGGCCGCCTGGGTATTTAAGCGTGGACGGTGGGCCGCGTGGTGCCATTAGCCGGTGGAATATCGCAGTGGTTCTAGTCGCCACTTGGGGGCGATGTTGAGACATTTCTAAGTGCTGTCGGTGGCGGGTGACAAGAATCTTGAGTCGACCGCCCAGTGCGGAGTGGGGGTGGGCTGTAATTGACCTTGACCCACATTAAATCAGGTCGTGAAGTATTATTGCTAAGCAACCATGATATACCTAGGAAGGCAAAATCATTTTTTATTCGGGTTCTTAAAAGTGACATGACGGGTTGTGGACAAGGTTTCAGTTTAATTTATTAGCTACTAGCTGTACTACCCGGCTTCGCCCGGGACTTGGATTCACCACACCCGGCCGCCTTTGTCTCCCCAGTGGCATTGTTCACACCAGTTACTCATTTGAGGTTAAGTCGACCTAGGGGAGGCCCATGACCGGTTAAAATAATCGTCACCGGTGGTGACCGTGAGCGGGAATCGAACTCTGGTCGCCAGGTTCGTAGCGCAGCGTAGTACTAACCACTACACTACACCGCGTTACGCTTCCACGTGCGCGGGTCACGTGACAGATGTGACGTCACAGCTCACTTGCCGTGCAAAATTTTTTTTGCATTATTGAGCTCCCCCCCCCAAAAAAAGAAATAAAGTATATTTTTCTAATTTTTGCATGGTGTACAGTCTGGAAAGTACCCACATGGAAATTTTTAAGTTTGTTGCATGTATGGAGATAACCCTGTGAGCCATGCGGCTCTTGACTCGGGTGTAACCGCAACAAAACAAAAACATGAACAAAAAACATCTTAAAGTGACTACACGCAACAGCAAAGTCTTGGAAAAAACAGCAAAGTCTTCCAGAAAAAAAAACACCGCATTTCAACGCTGTGTGTAAAAATCCCAGTGGGATGCAAGTCAAACAATAACCATAAGACAATGTAAATTAAAGTTATCTGGCTAACTGTACTACAACAAACATGTCTAAACCACGTTTTCAAAATCCCCAAAATAAAGCTATAAAAAACAATGTAACAGTGATCATAGGAACTGTGATGCAAATTTAACAATAAACGATATCCACAACATGTACGACCAAACTTTGCAGCCATAGTTGGCTGCATGAGTCACTCCATAACAGCAGGAGTATCAGTAGCAGAGGTCAACCTCAATTTTTTTTGGAGAAATCTGTATTGATATATCCACTGCTGGATTATGGGTTCCCTAAATTAGCCCGTAAAGTCTAATGCTACAATCCAACTTGTTTTTGCAAGAACATATCTTGTCTTATACTGGTAGGAACCCACGGGTTCCACCAGCCCACAGGGGATTATTGTGTCCGTCCGTCGTGCAGGGAGGGGCTGGGTGGGTAGGGTGGAAAGGGGCTGGGTGGGGAGGGGCTAGGGTGGGGAGGGTGGGGAGGGGCTGGGTGGGGAGTGTGGGGGTGTGAGGGGTGCGGAGGGGCTGGTCACCCCGTGGTGCCCTTATAAAACTCAACGTTTCACCTACTCACGCCGGCTTGTGCCCGACCTCACAGCCTGGCATATTTGCGGAATACACCACGCCGCCGTTGACCCTGGCCATTGACCGAACAACCCAACGTTCCTACCAGCTCCCTCCGCAGGAATGTGTTCGGTATATTTTACTTTGATCTCGGTGTAGCTTTTACATCAGACCTATTGGCCTTCTGTCATGTACATCACTTGTATATAAACACTCGTGAAGATCATTGGGGAATAAAGTAATGGGCAACCAATTGTTCGAAAAGGCGCTAAGGGAATTTGGTAAGGAGTTATTTTATGTAGCTGACACCATACAACTGGAATGTAATGCTACGTTTGCACGGCCAATGGAACACAAACACGTTCTCTGTAGCCAAGTATGTAAACAATTGAGCGTGTTAAAATGTAAGCGCTTGCACACGAGAAACAAACGAACATTAACAAATGTTCGTAAAATGAAAGTGTGAAGAGGATGTTTAAACAATTTAACACGAGATAACTGAGACGGGGCCGGCAGGTGGCGACACAGCACCGCGCATTTCCGATGTGATGGATAAACAGAATCGGGGGGGGGGGGTGAGCACGAACAGAAAAAAATAATTTGACAAACAAATCGACTTGACTTTACCGATAAAACCTAAGAGTATGAAATTATTGCGTCTATTTTTTTGTGTGTTTCTCCCTTGTGATGGGACTTTGTAGGATTAACCTTGAAATGTATACGGCGCTACGGGGTGACCAACAAGGTCTGAGTTAGTCTGTAATAAGCTAGGACACTGATAAAGGGGTTGCCAGGGCATGTCAAGAAGTTTGACATCAACCGGACGACGAAAGGGAGATTCAACAACGATGTCGTGAGCGCGTGCCACGTGCTCGTGTTGACAACGTCACGTGACCCCCCCCCCCCCCCCCCCACGTGACACGCACGCGCCCCCCACGTGACTCGCGCGCGCACCCCGAAGAGCCTCCGCCGACGCCACCCGCCTACGTCAACCGAGGGACGCACGGGCATTCGATAACTTTAAACAACAACAACAACAACAAACAAACATTCCCCAAACCTCGGTTCTCTTCCTCCGTGCGATGGGGGTGACGCGCCCATTGCCGAGCTCGCGTTGGACATAACGAGGGAGGGAAGGAGGAAAGGCTCGTAAACTCAACCGGGGGACCCACCCCTTGCGGCCTTGTCTACCGCGCCGTGTTCGGTGCGCCATGGAGCGGCAGCGCGTCTATCCGAGGCTCGGCGTCCCCGCGGCGCTCGCGAGGCTGACGGCTCGCGTCTCGCTGTCCTGCGCGGCGCCGCTCGCTGCAGCGGCGAGGCAATTCCCCGTGTCGTTCGCCACCCTGACGCTGCTTGCCACGCTCACTTTGCTACTCAACAGGTTCGGGTGTTCCTCCGCTTTTCCCCTTACGCGCCCCGCGGTCCTCCTGTCAAACCACACCGCGACAGGGCTTGCTTTAGTCTGGCTCGGCGAGCCTTAGGTTTTATACTTTTTATAAGAGCCTTCGATGAAAGCAAATGGGTTTTAAGAGTCTTAGGGATGCTGTCGTCTGACTCCACGTGCCGCAGAGATGTGGATTTAATCCGAGGAATATGGCTCCGTGAGCCAGAGTGATATGAATTGTATGACGCAAGTATGATGAGTAGCATCGTTTTTTTCTCTGTGAGTCTTAGAGATCTCGTGGATGCGGATATTCTTTTGAACATGTCTTCGTCTGACTGTGTACACACCTTAGAGATGGCATGTGCGTCCTAAGAGTCCGGATTTGTGAGCACAAGAGGTACAGTGGTCATGAATGAAGATCCTTGGAGATGCCTTGGTCTGTTTTTTTTAGAAACTTTGCAATCACAGGTCAATCTTAATCGTCATAGGGCTGATTTGTCGTCTGTTCATGTGAACATTCGAGATTGTATCATGAGAGGCTCGGGTCGTCTGGCCTGTCTCGAGGAGCCCGAAATATCTCAATGAAATCCTGAAAGTATTTGAGATGTCTTCGTGTGCCTCTGAGACCTTAGAGATATCGTTTAAATCCAAAGAGTCCATATAAGTAGCTTTATATTCTTGGTTCTGCCGGTAAAGTCACGTAGAAAGAAGAACCAATAATATGAATCCATGCAGTCACGAAAGCTTAAAATCGAAATAAAAGGAGCTTTGCTTGGGTCTTTGAGCAACGAAATGTTAAGATTGGGAGCAAGAGCAGAGCCCTCACCATTCTGGCGAATTGCCCGATGATGCTGGATGCAATTACCAGCTAAACGTCGTACTAAAAAATTGTAAATGTTGTGGTTTCACGCTTCAACACACCGGTGGGCTAAAGCAGTGAACTATTTGTCTTTTGTCAACGTGACACTTTTTTTGCTTATTGGCCGTGTCGGGTGGTGGAGGGTTACGACACATTTATAAATAACGCGATCTAAACTCAAAAACGTTGATTATGAATAATATTGGTCGCGAAAGCCTACGTGTTAAACTGAATCCTAATGGTCTGAAGAATGCCTTAGAAGTGGCTCTGTGAGCATTACAGATAACTTAATTACAAGTGCCGGGCTCTATACGCCCCATATATCAATGTAATAACAGTATGTGTGTTGAACTTCTTTCACATTATACGAAGCCAACCGTGCTAATCGGAGTATGAGGGGTGCTTTACACTTATTCTATTATTCTTAAAGATGTCAATTAAAACTTTAGAGTTTCAAGGCTTCTTGCCTCAGGCTCTGAATCTTATCGGTGCTAACTATTTTCTGCACATCTTACCGGTGCCTTGGTGGAGCTATACAACCCTTAGAGATATCAGTTTGATTTTAAGAGTATCATAGATTCCTTAGTCTTGTTCTAAGATGTGAATCTCTAGTGTGTCTTTATGTTGGCTGTATACGTCCAACTGTTGTCATTAACATCGTTACCATACACATCATTTTTATAATTCAAAATATTATTTAATATGGCCTTGCGAACCTTTTATCCGAACGGTGCCCTTAACCTTATTCTGTAAGAATTAGATTTTTTAGTTGAATCTTTAGTTTTCTGTTGTGTCGCTCTAAGCGTAACACTTGTCACATTAATTCTGATGATCTCAATATTGCCTTGGTGTGGCTCCGACTTGAGCATTCCAATTTAATCCTAGGATCCTCAAGAGTGCATGGTTATTTGACCTTTGCACATGGCCATATTTCATCTTCAGAACCATAAGGGTGACCTAGTTTAGCTCTTTAATCCCTTGGAATGACCATTTAATCATTAGTGTGGTTTGCATGGTAATATGAGCCACAAGTCATATACTGTAACTGAATCTTAAGAATCGTTAGTGTGCGTGGTATTTTGGATCTGTCATCCATAGGAATCACCATTAAATCATATTAATCTGAAGTGTCAGTAAGAACCTCAATGAATGTCCTTTGGACACACAAGAATCATAAGCATGGCTTAATTTGGCTCTGAACGCTATGTGCATGCCCAATCAATCTCTAGGGTATTACGTTGCCAGTGTGCATCTAAAGGAATGACCAACGAGTCGTAGGAATCTGGGTGATTGAGTTGGACACGACAGTTGAAGCGTATAACTTCTTCGGGTACTTCCGCTTAGCTCTCTGACTGCTAAATGTTTCTCAAAGTCTTCTTGGTTCTTTCGGTAAAGTCACGTAGAAGGGAAGTAATAAAATAATAAAAATAAAACATAATAAAATAAAATAATTTTCACGACGTTTTGGCTACAACGCAAGCAGCCGTCTTCAGGTGAAGAATGAGGCTGCTTGCGTTGTAGCCGAAACGTCGTGAGAATTATTTTATTATGTTTTATTTTTATTATTTTATTACTTCCCTTCTACGTGACTTTACCGAAAGAACCAAGAAGATGAATCCCTGCAGTCACGAAAGCTTTAAATCGAAGTTTCTCAAAGTGTTTCCAATAGATTACAGTATATCCAAAACTCAGCTGCCCGGGTTTTAAACAGATTTAAATCATGTGACCATGTTACTCCTGTTATTCATCCTCTGGACTGGCTCCCTGTAAAGTATAGAATCGACTTAAATATTATTATTCTCACGTTTAAGGTCTTGAATCGGTTTTCTCCTAAATGTCCCGCCGATCTGCTGAAGTTTTATATTCCACTGCGAAAACCTACATCCGCTGATTCTAGTCGGTTCAACACCAAACCACTTGGCTCACCGCTCATCCGAAGCACCTGCTGCATGAGTGATGTTGCTGTGCCTCAGGTACCTGCACATCTTCATGGTGTTTTGGTCCTTCCTGGCGGGGCTGGCAACATTTTACTATGCGCTCAGCCCGGAGACTCTGGTCCCAAACCTGCTGTTTCTCATAAGCAAGAAGCAGGTGAGTCCATTGCAATGATTTACCACTGGCAGGGTAATTTCTTTTTACATTTATGCTCACCAGCATTTACGCACTCGTTTATGTACAACTTCCCTATCCACAAGCGCTGCACTAAAAATGTAGTTATTGGCTTCAAAGAGAGAACCTGATATGTTTATAGGCAGTGCTGCACGAAAGGGGGGTGGTTGACACTGTCCGTTAAGTGTTTTTGTGCATACCCTGCAAGCAGGTGTGTTCAGGACATATTGATGAGGAGTGCACCCATTGTTGTGTAAGGTGGTCACGGTTAATAACAATGTTGTAAACTGGAAGCAAATCAGATAATTGGTTTTTTACCCTTCTATCTGGCAACAAAACTGACACCTTTTTACAAGGAGTCATGTTTGCATAGACCACAATACCTGCAGTCATAATGCAAACAAAAAACATAACTCTGATAATGTATGTGCACTGTCCTTGAAGTTGATTGGTCCACACCCGAGACAGCTTTCCTTAGAGCCTAGTCTCACATGGGTTGGACCAGATGACGCCAAAAGGCGCACAACTCAAAGACAATGCACCATCAGAGTATGAGAGCTCGGGGCAAGCATCTACACTATGGGAACCTCATTTGCCAGTAAAAGTATGATAATTGGTTTTTTACTGCAGGTATTATGGTCTATGCAAACATGACTCCTTGTAAAAAGGTGTCAGTTTTGTGGCCAGATAGAAGAGTAAAAAACCAATTATCATATTTTTACTGGCAAATGAGGTTCCCATAGTGGAAGCAAATCACTTCAGCCACCCACTTGTGGAGCACTGCTGTGTTTGGTCAAAGGATGTGTGAATGTACCAAGCGATTAGCATGCACAGAATTAAGGCCGTTTTATTTCGAATTAAGCACTCGTGTTTTTTTCCCAGAAATGCACGTGCCACACGTTTTGGTAGGTTTAACAGGAAAAACTCAAGAGGTCGATTAACTGCCTTGGCACCCAACTACAGAACGCAGTCCGGAAATTATAGTTTGGCATACATTGTGTTTAAATTAAGCAGTGCTCTTGGGGCAACACATCACTGGCTACACATCACTGTGGCTGTGTGGATGTGGGAGTGATTATGTTTGTTTTTCTTTTCGTTTTGTGGAATGTCACGTGCCCTTTTAACAACAGGATGCGGATGGATCGTCTAGACCGATTGGGTGTGCTGTTTGCGGCGACGTGAAATGCAACAGGCATAGGTGAGCTGAGCATCAAAATTTAATTATTATCTTTTAAAGAATGTATTTGAATCAGACGTTTATTGAAAATGTTTTTGCATGTCACCATTTAGGCCTACACTTTCGCTGGAAAGCATGCAGCCCTGGCTCGACTTGAAGGTTCCTCAAAAGGTGGATGCATCCTTAGCAGAGGTCAGTAACTCTTCAGAGTCTGGTACATACTGCAGTCAAGCTTGTCTCTAAACACCATGGCGTAGGGGGGGGGGTCATAGAAGTTGGATAATACTACGTACATCCATTGAGATTCCTCCCTCACATTTCAACCTCCCGACATTTATGAGCACTCCAATGTCCTGCATTAACCGTGGACCAAATTACCCGGATGGTGCTTAGCTTCGAAAATAAATGTGCTTGAACCCTTGATCATGCTTGGATGGGAGACCAGCAGATACACAATCATGGGGCTGTCAGACTACCTAGGGGGCAGCAGAGGGCACTGTAGCAACACATTCCTGCGGAGGGAGCTAGTAGGAACGTTGGGTTGCTCGGTCAATGGCCAGGGTCAACGGCTGCGTAGTGTATTCCGCAAATATGGCTGACTGTGAGGGCGGGCACAAGCCGGCGTGAGTAGGTTAAACGTTGAGTTTTATATGGGCACCACAGGGTGATCAGCCCCTCCTCACCCAGCCCCATCACTCCCACCGCCCACCCAGCCCCACCCTCCCCACCCAGCCCCTCCCCACCCTCCCCTCCCCACCCAGCCCCTCCCCACCCTCCCCTCTCCACCCAGCCCCACCCCTCCCATTTTTGGATGCACGACAGACGGACGGACACAATAATCTCCTGTGGGTTGGTGGAACCAGGTGGTTCCTCACAGTAAAATCCATTGTTGTATTCTACTTCTATGCTCCCAACCTTTACCAATTGACACGGACCAACGTGGTGAAGTAATGGTAAAAATAACCGGCATGATCTGCACGGGGTGGAGAAGCCCTAATCCAGCAATAAATTGACAAAAAGCTGTACATACACACATGCACCATCCTGGGATCATGTCTACCTATGAAGTTTTATGTTAGGTACATTTATCGTGTATATGAATTGGACAGCCATATGTAAGTGTTGAAACGACTGGTATCGAGCTCATCACTGCCTTTAAACTGGCAACCTGTACATTACCCATTGCATACATTCACGTAAATATTTGTTACCAATGTATTTATTATAGTGACGTTTATTTACAGTTGTTGGAGCTTGTGCTGAAGAATTTCATCTATCCTTGGTACAGGTATGAAACGTGAATGCAATTCGAGCTATTTCATTCACCATCGTTACATATAACGGCATATCATCATCGCGGAAAACCAAATATTAATCGGTGATATTTCACGGAAGTTTATAAGGCTATTTAATAATTCATTTATTTCTGACACATCCATTCGATTGATTTAATGTGACGTGTGGCTGCCACGAAGGCGGAGCCTCGGTTTGCATCGCTTAACGTGGGATTGCGCACGCGTGCTTCGCAGCGATTTCACGGACGATGAGGCTCTGGTGGACGAGCTACGCCTCACAATGCGTTTTGCCGCCGCTGTGCTGCTCCGTCGAACCAAGAAGGTGCCCGGCGCGCGCCGTTCATTCACATGACGCGTACACTTCGCACACGGCGTCACGGTCCAAAGTCGCCAAATGAAAATGACTTGCAAGGCGCTTCGTTGGGAGAAAAAAAAATCCTTAGCAATGTTCGCCCCTTTAATTGCGACAGCCAGCGTGCACCTGCTGCACAGAGATAGTTGCTACTTGGGGGGCGCCCCTTCGAATGCGTTGAGATGTAGATGCGTCGCTCGTCGCGTTTACAGCGCTCCGAGACGTCCCAGCATAAAGGGCTCTTTATCAGAAACAAATCATTCACTGTGGAACAAAGAAAAAGTGTTCCTGGGTAGTAAGTGTTATTTCCTAATTGCTTATGCCTCGAAAGTACAGAAAATGGCTATTATTATTCCACACAAACTTAGCTTTTGTGACCAGGACACAAAAGCCAAGTTAATAATCCACTCCATTAATAACACTGTGTTGAATAAAGCTCAAATATAAAATGTTTTGCTGCGCAAATTATGTTTCGGCTGATCATAGTTAATTATAAAATTGAGTGACAAAACCAGTTAAAAAACAGATATAGGGTGACTATAGTACTGATATGTAAACAGACAAGGCTATATTGCAAACGCAATTACAATTGAAGTTGTAATTAATCCACATGTTAACATAAAATTGTGATTTACTTTCAACCTCTTCGAGGCTCCTGGCCTTGAACTCAGACCTGGCCTCCTGGGTTCCTGGCCTTGAATGCAATACCGCTTACCGTTTCACTTTAGTTCCAGCAACAAAGAGGCTTTCTGCATTTTCTGCTTCCCAGATAGATGTTCCCTCCCTCATCACGGACAAGTTGCTCAAGGTGGCCATGAAGCACATTGAGATCGTGGTGCGAGCCAAGCAGAAAGGTACCGGTTCTTCGCCACCTCGTGTAGAAATAAAATAAAATAAAAGTAATAATAGAAATAAAATAATAAATATTATTTTATTATTGAAATAAAATAATTATTTTATTTCTATTATTACTTTTAGTAATTTTGAATTTTATTTTTACCTACGTGACTTTACCGAAAAAAACCCAAGAGTATGAATTCTTGTTGAGGTGTTTTTTGACGAGTGCGTTGCATTTTGTTGTTTTCTGTGCTTGTGCTCCACTGCCAGCGCAGTTTCACCAAAACAATTTTAGTGCGCGTGGGCGACCGAGCGTAGGTACGTTAGCGACGTTTGGTCTGACCCGTGTCTCCCTTTTTAACTGCCAGTGCGCAACACGGACGCCCTGCAGCAGGCAGCTCTGGAGGCGTATGGGCCCGACCTGCACCTGGCCCTCCGCAGCCGGCGCTCCGAGCTGCGCTACCTGCGCACGCTGACCGAGATGCTGCTTCCGCAGCTGATCCCGCACAGCACGGCCGACACCAAGCACGTGCCTGCGTTGCACACGCCGCGCGCTGCGCGTTCGCGTCCTCTCCACTCCGCGTGCTTATCTGCGATATGCACGAGTCTAACTGTGCACGTGTATATATATTCAACGGGATTTGTACATTGATGTGTATACTGTAGTCATCATCTCCACGCGCTCCGCACCTGAATTTAAAGCTAGTTTTAAGTGGTAGACTGAAATGTATGCGTATAAAAGCTTATTTCGCACCGTACGTAGCCAACCTTGCAAATCAAATGTATGCAACACCTCCCATATCTGACTCCAGTTAACAGATAAAATCGCACGCAGAAAAACACTAGACCAGCAGACGTCAGCCCAGTACATTGGCTACGTACTTGCACATTCCGATGTCAGTCCACTACTGGATAGAGTTGTTCGTGCTGCCGGAGTGACAGAGGCGGTTGCCTTCTCCGTTTCGCCACAGGTCTCTGATGCTGCTTGTGAGAGAGGTGGTGTCGGGCTCCGTGCTGCTGCCCTTGCTGGACCAGCTGGCCTCACCCGTGAGTTCCCTAAAGTCGCTCTTGCCCAAGAGCCCACGGTGCCACCTTCGGTCCGCAAATTTAAGCCGCTCCCTTGTCCTCTGCCTCGGCGCTCCTCAACCTCTTCCATTCCACGGCGCGCTTTGGCGGCACGCCGAACAAAAAAATAGACCTCATGGTTTCTCCCTTCCTTGTTGAAAAACACTCAGAAGGTTAGCTGGAGGTGAACCCCACCAGACACGAAGTCGCCACGCATAGTTGTAAACAGCAGATGCCCCCACACCTCGTGGCTCCCTCCTTCCCAGAATCAGTAAACAATCAGGGGGTTACATGGCGGTTGAGGTGCTAAAACGTTGGGAGTCAACACATATAGCTGCAAACGGCAGATGCCTAATGGTGACTCCCTGCCACGCTGAACAAACATGGAGGTGAATTCAACATAGTGATACTCTAATAGACAGCCATCAGTTTAATACGTAGGCTTTCACCACCAATATCCATAATAGAGGTTTTTGGTGTTAGATCGCGTAAATATAAATGTGTCGTTAAACCCACCACCACCACCCGACAGTCAATGCATAAGGTTTGTCACGTAAACAAAACATGCCAATTAGGTACTAGTTCAGCACGCGAGTGTTTTGGAGAGTAAACCCACGACATTGACCATTCGAGTACGACGTTTCGCCGGTAATTACAACCCGCCTTATCAGGCGACAGCCAGACAGAATTGTCTGGTTGTCGCCTGATAGACAACCATCACGAAACTTATATATGGAAAAGGCACAACGTATAATACCACACTGCGATAGATGTGGTTGGTGTATGCATGGTAATGTGTGTGCACATGCTGATGGCTATGCTCGAGTAATTGTATTTTTTTGCCAATTTTTTCCAGGACTTTGTGAACTTCTTGATTTTGCTCTTTTTGGATGAAACCCCGGTGAGTCTCAGCCGTGGCAATCAGATTAAAGTAATATTATGAAGCGTGGTGAGTTTGCATAGCATCTGCATGAGCGTAGCAATTAACCTGCATGTATTTATGCATCGTTGGGTGCACTGCGACAATTGCAAATGATATAACAGTGTTATTAGTATTTCTACCATTTTATTATTTATTTTTACCTACGTGACTTTACCGAAAAAACCTAAGAGTATGAATCCTTGCAGTCACGAAAGCTTCAAATCTAGAAGCAATATATCAGTGTCTTCTTGTATTCACATTGATACACCGTAACGAATGAGCAGCGAGGATATTGTGTTGTGGTTAATGAGGCATGTAACAGTTAACTCGCCCCCCCCACCGCCCCCATCAGCTATTCCATGAATTATAGGTCACGATTAGTGTGGGATAATACGTAGCAATCATTCTCCACCTACTGACAGATTAATGCCCCAGGTCAACCTTGCAAATGAGGCTTAACTTGGTCTTTTAACCGCTCACCTGTTTCAATGAATTGAACTTGAACACCCCTTGTGTTTATCGCTGTGGGCAGATGATAGACTCGACGGAGCCATCCTCACCCCTTGTGCCGTTTTTGGAAAAGTTTGTGCAGCCAAGGACAAAGTCCTTCACCGTGAGTCGTCCACGCGTCCCCCGCGACACGTCACTCGGCACCAGGACGAGACCCTGGGGCCAACTCGTTTAACACCCGTACACCAACACGCAGCCTCCACGCGCTCCGCACTTGCGATTAGCACGGTTGGCTGCATACAATGCAAAATGAGTTTGACGTACTGTGTAAGATAATAAACATTTTAAATGAGAATGAGAAATCTTCATGCAGTGACCAAATAACCGAGAATGGGCCCGATTGCTTCAGATCTCGGAAGCTAAGCAGGATTTAGCATGGATAATCCATTAGATTGGGTTCCACCATTCGTAAAAGGTGTGTTGGGTGTTGCGAGTTTGCGGGAATACATGGAGGGTGGTGCAGCCAAATCCGTTGTTGTGCTGTACTTCTATGCCCCCGTGTCTGTGCTTCCGACCTTCACCAACCCTCAGTGAACAGCAACATAGGGAGGGTCCTTATCCAGAAGTGGATTGACAAAACGTTTCTGCTCGCCTCAATCCATAGTACTTAGCAAATCTTAAATCAAGTACAATGATTTAAAACCCAAAGACATCTATGCTATGAACACAAAACACTTTATGATTCTACAAAACATTTAAATATAATCGTAACCCGGGATTTACGCTCGACTTAAAGTGCAAACAGTTGAAATCGGGTAGTGCAAGATGCACGAGCATAACCCGAACCGCTATGTGTGGCAATCGTAGGTGCTCAAGCTGGAGCTGAAGGAAATTCGCAAGACCCAGGAGTTGCTCTTCCTCTTCATGAAGTTCCTGAAGAGCCAGGCGGTCGTGCATGTGCTGCAGTTCTGTCTCTCCGTGGGTGAGCAATACCCCGAACACCAGGGGCAATGAGAGGGGCAGGGCCTCTGAGGGGTGTGGGTGCGGGGAAAGGAGGCAATGGTAGCTCAGCCGTCCGGCCAAATCTTTTCATGCGTTTTGTGGTGAACTTAAATATTTGTGTGTTGAACTTCTTTCACACCGTACGTAGGCAACCGTGCTCATCGGACGTGCAGGGGAAGGAAAATGACCGATACATAATGAGCAGTTCGAAACAAATTAGTTTTCAATCGAAATGAAATGATGGTTATGCTTAACAAAACAGAATCTGCCATGACTGCAGTATCTTAATGTCAATGCATTTTGTCATGTATTATTTATTAGGGAACGTTTCGGTGAACCTCAAGCTCTTTCATGAGGTTCCTGCTTTGGGACATTCGATTCATTCTAAATTCGTGAAATTCCCATAGCCACTGGGCTGCGAGGTGGTAATGAGATGGCAGTCCAGCAAGTGGGTTCAGAAACCCATCTTTGTGGAGCTTTGGTATGTCCTTGTGTTTGTTTGTAGATCTGTAGATACTCCAGTTTTCTACTACAGGCAAAATGATACATTATTTTCCGTATTTTGAAGGTGCATGAGGACAAAGTGACAGTTGGGAAACAATATGGGGTGAATGATTGTTCTTGGTGTGAGCACACGGGCGTCCTTCACATGAGGAAACTCCTCCTCTGTGACCGCACGGCCGTCCCTGCTCACGCAACACCGCCTCCGTTTTCCGCAGAGGACTTCAACGACAAGCTAATCCGGCCGGACCTGAGCGACACCGAGATGCAGGAGTTGCACGCCGAGGTCTGCTGCCTGTACCGCACTTATTGCTGCGACGGCAGCGTCGACAAGATCAAGTTTGACCCTGCCGTGGTGGCGGGACTCGCTACAGGTGGGTCGTCCCACATGAAGCCGTATATTTGAACCTGAGATTTTGTGTGTGTGTGGTAGTGTAGTAGCGGTTCGCGCGCTGCGCTACGAAACCGGCGAACCGAGTTCGATTCCCGCTCGCAGCCAACATCAGTGACGATTATCTGAACTGGTCCTGGGCATCCCCTAGATCGACTCGGCCTCAAATGAGTACCTGGTGCCGTGTGTAAACCGCCAGGCCCACCCACCCCCTCGTGTGCCATGCCGGCCTTTCATAGGTGCTCGCTCACAGCACTTGCCCCAACAGTCTGGTAAAAGTGATACGGGGGGGGGGGGGGTGGGTACCTTTGTCTTTGTATGAGAAATAAGGATGGGTTTTACCCTTTCGGGCAATAAAACAGTTGTGTTAAGATGTTCATTAACCAAATAGAAACCTGTTTTAAGGAATCAAGTCCGCATTAACCACACGTACTTGTGGTGAACATGCATACAAACATGCTCTGATAATGTTTGCATTGTCTTTGAACATGATTGTCCTACACCAGAGACAGCCTTCTTTTTTGGCCTTGTCTCACCAGTCTCAGACCGGAGAATGCCAAAAAGCGAACAGCACAAAGAGAGGGCACTATCAGAGCATTTATAACTCGGGTGAGCAGCTATGTTCTGACAAAACAATTGTTTACCCAGAAAGGGTAAAAACCTATTATTTTCCATACATTTGTAAAGACAGTGCGTAGACTAGCGGTCACGAGCGGTAATTACAGGCTAGGTGACAGACAAGGGAACGATCTGGAATCATCTCCAGGAAGGTTCTGGAACTCGCCAGAGAGTCCGAGAAGTAAGGACGTGACCAGGGGCGGAGCGATGGCCATGCCGGGGATGAAACGGGGCGAGGAGCGAGGTTCGGGGCTGCTGTTGAAGTCGGGGTTGTCACATCGTCGCTGTAAAGCGACCGACCAAAATAAAGAAAGCCCTTGGTCTTTGTTTGTTCATGCAGTGGTGCACGGACCATACGGCGACGTGGTGAGGCTGCAGAACACGCCGCACCTGTTCCAGGCGTACGAGCACGTGCTGGCGCTCTTGGAGAACGTGTTCACCCCCATGTTCTGGCAGAGCGACGAGGTATGCGCAGAGAAGTCGCGCGCATGAAGCCAGCGCTGGCGCTGCCTCGAGTTTTATATCACGACCCTGACTGAGTCCGAGAGCCTTCATCAAGTTTCTGTTAGGGCTCATAAATAACTATCAGTATGGTTGCTGCTCCGTACATTCGTAAGTGAGCTTAGCTTTGCTCTCAGTTTGTCAAAATTTAACTCTGCTGCCTTGAAATGGAGACTAAAATATCAATATGAATTGCATTTAAGCAAAATGTTACCAATTGCATTGGTAGAGATTGGAAATAGGTTTAGTGCTGTCAGAAAACATTGCTTGTATGTGTTTCAGTCAGTTAGTGTTAAAACGCAGATTCCTGTTTGAGCCTATGATTGGGTTTTTATTTAGTAAGCGCTCATGATAATGATTTGTTTTTGATACACGCAATAAGAGTGCTTTACACGCAATAAGCAACTTACATCTCATGTCAAAATATTTTAAAGGGTAGCCTCAGTGGTAGCCGATTCCTTGGGCATGAGGCTACTCGGCATTTGGGTCTGTGACTGGACATGAGAATGCCAGCAGAGTGCAATGATTGCTACGTGTAATCCTAATCCGCCTTGGTTTACATTGAATCGTGATTAATTTGTACATATTTGTGTGATTGTTCTTCTCCGATGTGATGACTGCTGTGCTGTGCGTAGTATTTCAGGTACATGATCGGAGATGAGAACTTGAACTCCACCCAGGGAAAGATGATGAAGTGAGTTCGTACGCTCGTGCCCACGTTAGCCTTGGGACTTTTGAGACTTGTTTGTATGTGTTTATATTTCGATAGGAGCCCGAGACAGAGCACAAACCGTGACGCCGGGGTGGGGCGGATACAGGAAACCCGCGGACACAAGTCCCAAACTCTGTGCTCCAGAGGGAGGGAATTGGGCTCGCTGCCGCCCCACCGAGTGGGGACCGTGAGCGGGGTGTGTGTACTTTTATGTGGGGAGGGGAATATGAGTGGAAGAAGAACTTAAGGGAGCAGGGGGGGGGAAGAGGGGGATGATGGGGGGGAAACTAGCGATTTTAAACGAAGCCCTAATCCAAAAAACAGCAATTATTTCATAGACACATAGCTAAGCCTTGTTATCCCCAGCCTGCCCAACATGAGTTTATTAACGAGGAAAAAAGGCTTCACAATCAGCCAGGTGAACTCTGGTGATATAGTTTGCGTCATTGCTCTTGTGATGCCACGATCACGACATTTCAATTGTTGCTTGGATCTCGATAATGAATCGTCACAACTTTGTGTCAGCCTGAGACCCACAGCCCGAGGTGGTGCATATCCAAATAAATGAACATACATTTTATATTTTAGAGGGTGCATCTTTAAAGAGTGCCATTCCAGTGCAACCCTCTTACTCCGCTCGGTGCTTCTCAGGGTCGGCAGTGAGCTCGGGTTGAACGTGTAATGCCGCAGCTTTATGCGTAGTTGGTTTGAGGAGGCTTGTAGCTGGCACATTCGCGTTCTGAAACTCCTTCAGCTTAGTGTCTACTCCACTGGAGTACATGATTATACAATTAATATAAGGTACAAAAAATAATAGGACATGACATACAATGGCAGGAAGTCATATATCTTTGACTAAAAAAAGTTAATTTACCAGGTAAAGCCTGCAAAGCTATTATCTCTTTTTCACAGGCGACGTGTCCGCACATTATAGCTCATCGAAGCGAGCACGGGGAGGACATACAGACTCCAAATATAGAGTAGTCAGGATCAGGATCGAATCGTAAAGCCTGCATACCACGCGAGGGAGAAAACGTCTCACCGCCACGGCACACCCATTAGACTCGCCCTGCCTACATACTGAGTGAAACGTCGCACTCCAGTTGTTGTGGGTTTACTCTCCAACACACAACCGGTGTGCTGAACTAGTATCGAATTGGCACGTTTTGATAATTGTTTTTTTTACCCTTTTATCTGGCAACAAAACTGCCACCTTTTTTACAAGGAGTCATGTTTGCATTGACCACAATACCTGCAGCCGAAATGCAAAAAAAAAACATAACTCTGATGATGTATGCACTGTCCTTGAAATTGATTGGTCCACACACGAAGCTGTCAATGCAAACATGACTCCTTGTAAAAAAGGTGTCAGTTTTGTTGGCAGATAAAAGGGTAAAATTCCAATTATCATATTTTGCTACTGGCAAATGAGGTTCCAATGGTGGTTGGCACGTTTTGTTTACGTGACAAACCTTATTAATTGGCTGTGTGGGTTGTTGCGGGTTTAACGAAAAAAACACTAATGGATACTGAGCGAGTTGGCGGGGGGGGGGGGTTGCGGTGTGGGGGTGCAGCTCGACTCTGACACTGCTGTGGGGAGATCTGAAGCATTAATAATTATTGACCTGCTTGAGCCAAGGGGCCTGGATCGCGTTTCACTTCAGTAATGCGTTTCCTTCCGTTTGGTGATTTGGAAAGAGTTTGAGATCGGTTTAGCCACTAAAGCCCTCGTGTGTTATGTAAGTTGATTTAAATTGAAACCACCGTGGTCATTAATGTAGAGGTATTATGTTCTTAATTGAAATGGATTTTTTTTTTAAGTACAGAAATTTGTGACGAGCTAGTTGGGCCTGCACCACGTCATGGAAGCGTCATTTAAATACGCAAGACTAAACAATAAAAATACATAATCGATTTAAATAGAAAAAGAGTGTACGAAATTGCTGTTACTCTTAAACATCACATCACGTATTTTAAACGGCTCAGAGTCTTGGGAAAAGTGTAAAGGTTGCGAAGCACCGTTGGCTACATATGATCGGCACGGTTGGCTACGTACGGCGCGATAGAAGTTAACCGTATACTTACGAGGCGTAACCCTTCACCTGCGTAACGCTGTTTATTTCAGAGGAAGCTTGTCCATAGAGGATGGCAGGTGAGTGGCGTGGCAGACTTGTGCATCGTCTCCATCGTTCAGTGCCCGAGCGCGGGACGTCAGCCGCTTGCTCGCGCGCGTTCACCTGACCGCATGCACTTGCAACCAATCGTAACCGCGGTTTCATTTCTACGTTCGCGTTAAACCTGCTGCCATTAACCCCTTCGTTGGGCCTCTCTCGCCTGTTGCTTCGTTGTCGAAATATTTGCGTGAGAGGCAGGGGAAGGAGATGAAATCGCTGCAGGGGAGGATAGTGTAGGTGTGGTAAGGGATCATGCCTACATTTACTTTAATCGAAGATGCAGCCAAAGAATGAGTAGCTCTTGTAGCAGCTACGCAGGTAGGAGAAAGATGACTGCTATTAGGGAGGGAGGGGGGGAACTGGGACAGCTGTGTCAAGAGATCATGCATACATCCACCCTTACAGAAGATGCAACTCACAAAATAAATAGCTCTTCTAGCTGCACAGTTAAACCTTATCCCAGCTGTGTCTGACATTACATTACAACTGTTCTTGAGAAAAAATACTTTAAAGTGACTCACGCTTGCACTCTAATGATTTCACTGTGGTGTAACTGCTATACTTTAATGTAAAATTACACTCCAGAGATGTCACTGGAGCACGTCTGAATGTTAAGTGAAAGTTATTTTTCTGTTTAATTAAACCTCAAACCTTTGTCGGACAGCGCAGGACACAGCCAAAGTACGTCGCTCCAAGATGAGCTGTTTGTTTTTTGGTTGCATTTTCCTTTATGTGCAATACCCTATTCATTGCCAACTCTGTCATGTATTCAGTCATCTCATGTCTTTCTCAACAGATCCCACACTTGCCCATCTCGGACTTTCACTGTGCGTCTGTCTGTGTCTCTGTCTTCATTATACTTTTTTTTATAAAAACGCCCTCCCACATGAACGGACACTTCCACGCAATCGCGTTGCGACCTAGCTTTGAGCGGGAGCCCAGAGCCTCTCCTGAAAGCCCAGGCCTGTCTCCTTCGGGCTCCACAAGCTCCTCCCCGGCCCCTCCATCCCCCTGCTCCTCCACTTGCTCATCTTCCACCTCCTCCCCTTTCCCACACGTAGCATCCATCCTCACTCTCCCATCCACCATCCTGCCCTCACTGCCCACGGCTCGCAAGTAAGTGCTCGCGTCGTAGTCATGATGAGAGATTGGCGAGGAGCAGTGCCTGTGTGGGGTATGCACACTCGCTGTGACCATTGCTGCTTCACCCAGATGACCATGGGGTAGTGGTCACTGTGTAGTGTGAGTGCTCCCCGCAACATTCACTCTTTCGCCATATCTCGTCATTGCTGCACCCTTCACTGTTACTCGCTCCTTCCGTTTGCATGCACATCCCCAAGGGAAGCGAATTTTCTTCATGGAGCCTGATTAAACCATGGCTGCTTAGGAAGTTAAGCAAGGATAATATGTGTGAATCGGTGTATCTTTATTATGAGTCGGCTCATGAAGATGCATAGGTGTCATTGTCAAGTTGGTTCATGTAAACATAGCCTGTCAGCAAATTGAGCTTTGTTGAAACACTCCGATGCAGTATCTTTAAAAGGAGTCTTCCTGGATGAATGAATGGCATTACATTTAGCCAAAATATTTGCATACGATGGGTGACTGACTTAGCTTAAAATCCTCCTCGTGCCTGTTCAATAGTAATCTCATGCAGCGTGGTCCAAAGGAGTGTGCTCAAGATGGGAAACTCGGACTGCGAGATGACCACAGAACTGATGTCGTCCAGAGCACACCGTGCTTGTGCATGCATCTGCTCCCTGCATGTCTCATAATAAGGGATGTGACGATTTTAACCCCTCCATGACCCAATTAAATTGTCACCATTTTTGGCAACGAATCTGAAACGCGAGAATTGACTTAGAGTTTGTATTTTGTGGCGTGTGTGTAATATACCAAGGTTCTCATGAGCCAATGGGAACGTATACACAATTGTAATAAACAAAATACTGCACGCATTATTCAACTCACTAATCATGGACGAGAGAATTGATTTGAATAACTTCAATCATTACATCCCTAACTCGTGAAAATCCCGCTAAGCCCTTGTTGCTGCACGTACCGCCGAGTTTAATTTTAAGACGTAAAACACTTTCGGTTGTGTTCACCGCATAACCCTGCTTGATGTGTACTTATGTTACTAATTGCAGTGTAAATGCATGATGTGAGTTTGAGACCATTCAACGGCCAATGAAATTGCCACTTGAACTTGAGAATGAGGAAGACATATTTTTGTAAAGGTTTCGTGAACATTTACCAAGATTCAGCCAAATTAGAGACTACTATATCATTTTAGCTTTTTACAAATACAGTATATTAACTGCAGTATATGAAGACAGTATTGCATGATATTTCACAGTTCAGATATTTTTTCTTCAAATATTCCTGGCAAAAATTGTAAATGGCCCACATTTAAACATCAATATTGACACCTTGGCAAGCTGCTGTGTTGCTTGTATAAACACTGGTATGTGTGAACATGGGGTGGAGCAGGGTACAGCGGTCGTGCATTAGTTCACTCGCTGCATGTTCTGTTTCAACTCTACACAGACAGCTCTACTTACTGCACTGCCACCTACAGGTGCCTCATTTCCCTGTATCTGGGTGTCCACTTTCCCCACTTGTCCCCCAAGTGTCTTAAAATGGTTGGCATGGGCCTTGGTACAGGAAATTAAATGGGCCCCCAGCCACCTATCATCGTAGCCGAGCATCTGAGCCCTGGGGCAGTTGCATCGCCGACATGGGCTCGGCAGCTACGCCACTCGCTCCAAATGTTCTGGCTTTGTCGCGTGCACCACCATAACCGGCCCGGGGTTCACGGGCCGCCTCGGGGTTATACTTACTCGACACGACTTTCGAACGTGACTGAAGGAATGAGTGAATCGGCGAGTGTCGGGGGCTGATCGAATGTGTTCTGCCGCCAATGATAGGCAGCTGAACCGGCGCGGCGGTGAGACCTTTGGAATCGGCCGCATCAGCAGCAAGTTCAAGCATGTGTTCAAGAGCAATACGCTGGAGGGAGGCCTGCCCGTCATGGAGGACCCAGACGAGCTGGGCCTGGTACGTGCACCTCTCCTCTCCCCTTTTTTGGCCCCACTCCCATCGTCGTAGTGTCGCGTTGCCAGAAATGGAACCGAGGTTTTTCGGGATTGCAGTGCACCGGTCGATTCATCATCGCTCGCCGTTGTTTATGCGCAAGGGTGGATCGATCACGCATTCAGTGTAGTGACAAAGCAGTGGCTGCGATTTCCAGCTGCAGCTTACAAGTGGTACAGAACTGGTCCTGGGGCCTCACCGAAATTGAATCGGCCTTAACTAAGTACCTTCTGCAGTGTGTGTGTGTTTGAATGACAGCAATTGAGAGACAGGAGGTGGCCGGCATGGAGCTGGCCACTCCACCCACTGGTGGGGAGTCTGCCTTGGCCGTCTTGAAATAAACTTTTTATTTTACCATGTAAGGCCCACTGAGCTCTATAGCTCTTATTTTCAGAATTTTACCTGGCCACAAATGATAGCCCAACGAAGTGGCTTGTCATGGGGAAATTTGTAGCAGCCAAATACTCTAAACGTACGTTGATTCTAAATGTTGAGTAAAATACCGGAGGGACCCGAAGAAAAATAGCCGCAACCACGGGGAAAGACACCAGGCGTCAGGGTGGGGATCGAACCCACGACCTCCTGTAGACCAGGCGAGGTAGTTAACTTCTCGCCACCGTGGCGCCCAGTCATCATAACAGGTGTTTCTCCCGCGACTCTTGTGTGTTTGTTCGTCTGCCGTCCTTCAGCAGGTGGAGGAGGCGAACATGGTGGAGGAGGACGACTTCCTGGAGGACGCGGCGGCGGCCGCGGCGATGCTGGCACAGCAACAGCCGCCGGCGCCGCGCGATCTCTCGTCGTGGCGTGTGTGCGCCGTCTCGCTGGACGTGGGCTTTGACGACGCCCGCAAGGAGAAGACCTTCCTCTTCCTCATCGAGGTTCAGCGCCTGGACGGAAAGCCCGGTGAGTGGACTGGGGCCATCCGGCGGCAGTGTACATGTACGTACGTTGTTGTGCGTATGTTTGTACGTTGAACTTCTTTTGCACCGTACGTATCCAAGCGTCCATAAAACTGGTTTTTGGGGGTTATGTTAATGTGTCGAGTAGAAAAAAAATTGCATCAGGCGCCTAGTTAGGTTATGCTTATATTTAACGGATATACAGCTAAATGTATCATTTTGTCTTCATATTTTACTAAGAAAAATTTGACAAGCATAAATATCGCGATTGTGCCAACACCGTATGAAATCACACCCCTGGGCTGTTCTAGAGGCAAGGGGATCTTTCTAAATGAGTGGCTCTTAAATAAATGCAATGCCACCACCATCATTAGCAGAATATCCTATGTGGTGTGTATGTCATTCGCTGTTGTTGCTGGCATTGTATGCATATTCAGCATAGGTTCCAGGTCAGTGAACGGGTTGTGCCACGCAAGTGGTTTTGTGCAATGCAGCAATAGCAGCAGCAGCACCACCACCAAACGCCATGAAGGAGAACAATAGAAGCCACTGCTGACGTGCACTTTGACCTTGCCATCGGCAGATGAGCCCGGACACAATCACTGGACTGTGAAGCGCAAATACGACGAGTTCTACGCTCTGCAGACCAAGCTCACGGAATTCCACGGTAAGGCTGACTCCGTATTCATAACTCGCATGCGATTTTCGCCGGAGAATGCGTTTACATATGCCCGCAGCCATTTCTGTCCGAGGTGCATTACCGTAATGATGATGTACTTCTTAACTAGAATAGCTAGATGTATGGCAGTTGCGTGGATCCAAACACTGTTGCTGTAAACGGAAACCCTGGCAATGGTCATTTAAGTATTGCTCCCCGTTAATTTGACAATGACAATAAACAATTGACTTGCAGAGAACATTACTGCTCGTTGGCGTTTCTAATGGACAAGTTGGCTTGATGTATTTTATACACAACTAGCTGTACTACCCGGCTTCGCCCGGGACTTGGATCCACCATGCCCGGCCGCCTTTGTCTCCCCAGTGGCGATGTTCACACACCACAGCAGTTACTCGTTTGAGGCTGAGTCGACCTAGGGGATGCCCAGGACCGGTTAAAATAATCGTCACCGGTGGTGGCCGTGAGCGGGAATCGAACTTGGGTCGCCGGGTTCATAGTGTAGCGCGCTAACCACTACACTACAATGCGTTACGCTTCCACGTGCGCGGGTCACGTGACAGATGTGACGTCACAGCTCACTTGCCGTGCAAAAAAAATATGCATTATTGAGCTCCCCCCCCCCCCCCCCCCTAAATATGCCCGACTGTGAGGGCGGGCACAAGCCGGCGTGAGTAGGTTAAACGTTGAGTTTTATAAGGGCACCACGGAGTGACCAGCCCCTCCCCATCCAGCCTCACCCCTCCCACCCCCCACCCTCCCCACCCAGCCCCTCCCCACCCAGCCCCTCCCCACCCAGCCCCTCCCCACCCTCCTCACCCAGCCGCTCCCCACCCTCCCCACCCAGCCCCTCCTCTTCCCACCCAGCCCCACCCTCCCCACCCAGCCCCTCCTTACCCTCCCCTCCCCACCCAGCCCCTCCCTCCCCACCCAGCCCCTCGCTGCACGACGGACACAATAATCCCCTGTGGGCTGGTGTAACCAGGAGGTTCCTACCAGTAAAAACAGTTTAGTTATAATATATTTTAAATAACTCAAGGTGGCTTCCAAGTGACGAATATTGAGACTTCTTTTTTTCCACCCCCTCCCACGCCCCTGACATTCTCACAGGATCCTTCCCCGATGCTCAGCTGCCTCCAAAGAAGGTGATCGGCTCAAAGGGTTTCGAGTTTATGGAGTCCAAGACTAAGGGCTTCGAGCTATACCTGCAGGTACGTCGCCCTCACAGAAAACTAAATCTTAATAATAATCTCATGCTCTCGAGAGCTGATGATCAACTCACCCAAAATGTGTCCAATATAACAGTGTCGAGCCGGGATATTACTTGGATGGGCGGCCTTCGTGTCCTCAAATGTCGCCATGAAACTGCAGGGCTACGTGGGCGGCAGCAGAAGGCAGTGTAGCAAAATACACTGTTAAATTTTCGATTTAAAGCTTTCGTGACTGCAGGGATTCATCTTCTTGGTTCTTTCGGTAAAGTCACGTAGAAAGGAAATAATAAAATAATAAAAATAAAACATAGTCAAATATTGTTTCAGACTCTGTCTTCTCGACAGACCTGTTCTCCACCTGAGCACGGCTGCTTGCGTTGTGGCCGAAACGTCGTGAGAATTATTTGATTATGTTTTATTTTAATTATTTTATTATTTCCATTCTACGTGACTTTACCGAAAGAACCAAGAAGAAAAATACACTGTTGTACTGCACTTTATATGCCCCTCGCCTTCACCGTCCCGCCCATGCCTATACACGGCCAGTATAGGCGTGGGGAGACCCTCATCCAGCAGTGGATTTGAGACAAAAGGACTCTCCATGTACATGCTGCAGAGAGCCAGCAAGAGGCACTGTTATTGGCAGGTATTGTTGAGTAGCATTTATTTTATCTCTAACCAAGGACATTCTTATTGTCACAGGCATCCATGCAATCCATCCGCAGAGGTTAGAATTTTGGATAAGGGCTCGTCACATTAAGACATATGGTTAGGCACATTGGCATGCTTTCTAGCATGCTATTAAGACTTCAGAGCGTGAGATAATTACAGGTTGCTGTCTGTTCATTGTAGCACCATGCTGAAAGAGGGTTTTTTTTATGGGGAGCAAATGTTGTTACCTTTGTTGGCTTGCCTTCTAACAAATGCCAGAGTGCTTACTCTTTATATAGTAACTAACTGAGTTAAAGTGTTGGTGGTTGGTTGCATAGTTTTGAGGTGATCCACACCTGGAGAGGGGTGGGGGGGAGGGTTTGTAGCTGCAGTGCGGTGGTGGGTGGGATTGCCGCATGCGCTTGTGTTTGCATCGTCATCGCATGGGGAGCGGGAAGTGCAACGGTTAGCGCTAAGCCGCGCGGCGAGTCCGGCGACCCGAGTTCAATTCCCGCTCACGGCCAACGCCGGTGACGATTTATCCGAACCGTTACTGGGCCTCCTCTAGGTCGACTCGGCCTCACACGGGTACCTGGTGCGATGTGTAAGAACATCACCGCTTAGGGAGACAAGGGCGGCCGGGTGTGGGGCTGGCCCAGAGGTCGCAACCGGGTATCCGATACCCGTACCCCACCCGATACCCGTACCCTACCCGATGCCCGGCTACCCCGTACCCGGCCGGGTACGGGTACCCGTTTGCGACCCTGGTGCGGCCGGGTACGGGTACGAGTAGCCGCACGTGACTCACCCCAACCAATGAGTGAGAAGGCCGTGAGTCACTGGTGAGTAACTGTTTGTCACTCATTTCCCGACGTCTTGTCTCTTCTCACAATTCAAGTTCCTAGAATCAACCCACCCGCGCCTGCAACATGGCTTCATCCCAGAGGTCGCAATCGGGTACCCGATACCCGTACCCTAACCGATACCCGTACCCGGCCGGGTATCGGGTACGGGTACCCGTTTGCGACCCTGGTGCGGCCGGGTACGGGTACGTCCCTTCACAGGTGCTCGCTAACAACACTTGCTCCAACAGTCTGTTAAGGCTATACGGGGAATATTTGTCTGTGTTTGTCATCACCGCATGGCAGAGCTTACTGCAGCACCCGACGCTCACACACAGCCAGCTCCTCGTCGACTTCCTGTCCCGTGACGGAGAGGCGCAGTTCTCCGACAAGACCTTCCCAGACGTCAATATCGGCAAGCGTGCACACACCTGGGCACACTCATCTACCTGTAGTCTCACCTGTAACTACTCTTCCTGTACCTACCTACTACCTACTCATGATTGTACCTACCTACTCATGATTTCTCTTTCATGCATACTCATCCACGCATGCTTATCCACACGTGCTCATTCATGCGCACTCATCTACAGATACTCGTACATTGTGTCCTCGCATACTGATCCATACACAGAGGGAAAGATATTCCTATAGCCTTAACAGACTTTTGGGGCAAGTGCTGTTAGCAAGCACCTATGAAAGGGGATGGGTGGCCAGCACCACACCCAGCTGCCTTTGTCTCCCCAAGTGGCATTGTTTACACACCACACCAGGTACTAATTCTACCTAGAGGAGGCCCAGGACCAGTTCAGATAATGATCACTAGTGTTGGCCATGAGCGGGAATCAAACTCTGGTCGCCAGGTTTGTAACACAGCATGCTAAACCTCTGCATTACCACTCGTCCATACACACTCACGTAATCACCTGCACACATTCATTTGCAACAACTGCAACAACCTCCATTGACCAGGCTAGATGCACTTTGATGCCATGTGAAGTGTCAAAGGCTCGCTGCCAGGAGGTCACGGGGACAAGCCGAGGTCTTTATTGGTTCATAGACTGTAACCGATGGACGATACACCATGTGTCCTCCCTACTGCCGCTTAAGTAGCATCTTTCGCGAATCACCTCCACGGAGGCCGATCTTGACACTGCCCTCCACTCGGCTCTTCAAGTCCTCCGATACCACATCTGCCCATTTCGTCTCTCGCCTGCGCCACGCTTGTTTAACCCCCTCTTATCCAGTCCAATTGCACACTCGCCGATACACAATCAACTGTGTATACCCACCACATCTCACTCATCGATACATAGCCACCCTCTGCCCACTCTCCCACGTGCGTACTCACCATTCACCCACATACGGAAACTGGCCTGCATGCGCGCCCGTGTGTGCACTAACTCGAGTGTAAAAGTTTTAGGATAGTCTGATCAAGTTTATTTTTTTTCCTTTATTTGGCAGGAAAAATCTTCAAAGCGGTCCCTCGGCTGATGAAAGAGGTGGGTAAACGTTTTAGACATTCACAGATTTGGTATTTTTCTAAACGGTGATCGAATTGGGTTCGATATGAGGGATTGTCCGACTATTCTGAGAGTCACACACTAATATTATTCACACCCTCTAGCAGAAGAATATTTATTGACACTGGAGGAATCCGATGAGCTATAAAGTTCTCTTTCACAGATGTGTTTATTAAGATGGTGGGCGTTCAGTGTGGAATGGACGGTAGTTAAACAAATAGCTTTTGTAGGTACTTACCATGGCTGTGTCTCAGGCCTCTTTAATGCGACACGTTTGTCGTCAAGTGCATCATCACTGCACTTTAGTTATATCGCTCTCACATCACTCTTCAATCAATCAATATCGGCATGATTTTCCGAACTGAATGGGGCCGTGGGGGCAGCGACTCCACCAAGGCCTTCCATCCCTGCCCTGTCCTCCGCCAGTGGCATCAACCGTGACTCCCGGATCTCCTGTCTCTCCTCCGCCAGGCACACTGCCCCGGTCTTTCCAGCACGATCGCGGGCGGCCTCTGGGTTTTTTGCCTGGACGTTTCCCGGGGGAGTCTTTCTTTCGGCATCCTTAGCAGAAGACCCATCCATCGTAGATGGCTTCAATCCACGCTCAATAGTGCCAACTGGACGTTGAGTCTCTGGCAGACAGCCGTGTTTCTCACCCGATCCCGGAGAGAAAGCCTTGCCACCCTGCGCATATACCCTATACATTGTATTTCAACATCAATGGAGTGATGTCACTAGTTTATGCCGACGGCCTGACGGATTGTCATTTTAAAGTATTTTTGTCATTAACAACAGTTCCAACTTGTTTCTGATAGCCGAGGACACAATGCCAAAAGTGTATCTACAACTAAGAGACAGTATTTGGTTGTATCTGCTTTAAACAAGGAAGAAACACCATGCTAATGCATCGTTTCTGTCAAGCTTTCCAAAATGCTGTTGTTCTCTAAAGTATTTAATTAGTGGTAGTATTTTATCACCTGAGCCGGACGAGATTATGCTACATGGCGTGTGACGTTGCGAGATGATGTCATTCCTAATGACGTCATGGGGAAGCAAGAGCAAGACACGTTATGGGCGTGTGACATCATCGCCTTGGCCGAAAAGGCGGATTCATTTATTGCTAAATTTTTATTGGCAAGGGTTGCACGCCACTTTTATTAATTTGGCCGGTTTTGCTATAGCGCGAGTCGCTAATAGCAACACAGCTTTATAATAAAATCACATTTACATTGGATCATCTTTTCGAGAGTTTCAGTTTCATTTATTAGGTATAGCCCTGTGAGCCATGCGGCTCTTGACTCTGGTGCAACCGCAACAAACAAAAACATGAACACGACACATCTTAAAGTGACTACACGCAACAGAATAATCCAGGAAAAAACTGCAAAATCTTCCAGTTACCATGACCACCGTGTTTACAGACAGACAGACTGACAGACACAAACAAGTGCATACACATAAAAAATGTTTAACCCTTTCATCGGCCTGGCTCGTTAACAAAAGCCTCTCTCCCCTGCCATCGCCGCGGCCGTGCCCTTGCAGAGAGGGCAGCACCTGGAGCCCTTCATCCAGTCTTTTGTGGTCTCCTGCGAAGCACCCAAGCCCAAGCCCGGCAAGAACGAGATCACCGTCCTCAGCCCGAGCCAGAAGTGCGATGCGAAGGTGTGACGCACGCGTATGCGCACCGCTCTGCGCTGCTAGCCGGCAGGGTGGATCTGTGCTCGCGCCAAACACCAGGGAATATCGTTTCAAATGATGGAACGTCCTCAACTACTCTCCCACCCAATATTACAATTTAATGCTGAGCTGGCGATCCTTTATGATTAACATTTGACATGTGTGCTTGCCTGTTTATATATTTGCACAATAGTCACTCTATCCGTTTGATGTTTCTCTAAATTAATTCTACTATGATCATTTTAAACATGTGACAGAGCCACCTTGTGTGAAGGGGTAATGCAGTATTTAACATTGATTTATGTACGTGCAATATTTTCAGTTCATTTTTTTCTCTTGATTTATAATTACTTTATTACTGCACTTTATCATAGATGTTTTCTTGTGTCAGTTTGGTGCCACAAGTCACTCTTGCATATGAGACTATCCTGGTCCCTTGAATTTTTATCTTGTTAAGCAAATCAACTTAAAAATTGCGACGCAATATGGTGATACTATGATACATTATACAATATAAGGTCCACGATAATTGTATTGTATTTTTGAATGATTATGATTACGCTCATGAAAAATGTGTTCGAGTTTAGTTCCTGACGAAATATATATGAAATAACACAATAATGAAAGGTCCAAATAATAGCCATGACCTTACTCTTTTTGTGCTTTGCAAAACGTAATTAATGGCATGGTGGTGATATGACATAGTCAATTTACTTCTTCAATTATCTATTGTGTAACTGTCAGCATGTGCGTTATGAGGATTACAGTTTAATTTGCTATTATTGGAAGGCTTAGGGGAGGCCTGTGTTCAGCTTACTGCGGTTGAGGATCTTTTAAGTAATCTTCATTCCAAATGGGAGTTAAGGAAGGCACAACAACAACAGTATAACAACAATGGTAATGAAATAACAAAGTTGTGGTGAACTGTTCTTGCGATAATCATATCGCAAAAACTGAAATCGTACTTATAGGTCAGGGGTCAGCAACCTGCGGCTCTATTAGGGACTGCTTAGTGACATTATACATTAAGGACCACCGACTCGCACTCACGTGCATTGTGGCTCTTGAAATATTGAGTTTTTTTTTACCGAATTCGAAAAGAAAATGTCTCTTCTTATTATTTTGGTTGCCGGCCCGTCTTAGGTGAAACATGATTTAGCAGTTACTCTAAGTGGCCCCAACCCGTGGCTCCCCACAGATCTTCAGCCCACTCTTCGGCGACAATGCCAGCCGCGTTGACGGCTGTGACAAGAAGAGGGGCCCAAACTTCTTCGTGGAGGAGAGGACCGTGAGCGGAATCTATGACTACCTCTTGTTCGTGGGTAAGTGGCCCTGCTCTTTGCGACATTTTCGGGTGCGATGTTCTGCATCCATTCGTCACCACCATTGTCATCGGTCTCGTGGCAAGTGCTGGTCCTGCGGTGGTTTGGCCGACGATCCTTCGAGCCTGGCGCAGAGGGGGATATTGTAAAAAAAAATTGGCTTTTCAAAAGAATTAGAAAAATTAGAAAAATGACCATTAAAGCGGCCACTTTTGTCCAGAATGTAATATGTACTCGCTTGGTGAATTGTGGGTTGTACATATTTAAAAAAAATTGTGATTTACCATCCAAAAAAAACACATTTTGCTCCATTGCTCTATGGGTCTTCTCTGCCAATGTTTTTCATCAACATCTGTTTAAGCAGGCAAATGCTGGACCTGTTGACGCAATGAACTGGTTCAACTCTCATTCCATAGACCCTGAGTTGCTTTGCCGTTCAAGGCGGCTATGTCACTTCAGTATAAAAACAGGTGCACTTCATAATTTGTATTGTGGATGACAGGTAGTGGGTTAAGTTGTGAGTACCATCATCTCTTAAAACCCATTTGGACCAATGTGTGACTTAGCTAATTATCCTTCAACATTTGGAGGTGCCTACATGACATGCTGCAGTTTCTGTTTGTGTGTGCGTTGTGCCTCCACTTTACACATGGCGCCACTGTTGCGCAATGTTACTCCCTTGCCTGGTATGCAGGAGGTCGTGGGTTCGATCCCGACCCTGACACCTGCTATATATTTGGAGTTTGCATGTTCTCGCCTTGGTCATGTTGATTTTTCTCCGGGTCCTCCGGTTTTTCTCTCCACATTAAGAATGAACATGTGGGACCTCCTTTGCCAGTACCAAAATATGAGAATAGGTTTTCCCCTTTTATCTCGTCTCAAACGTCCTCTGGTTTAACACCGTTTGAGACGAGGCTCAAAAGGAAAGCTGTCTCTGGTGTGGACCAATCAGTTTCAAATACAATGCATGTATTATCAGAGTATGTTTTTTGTTTGCATTTTGACCACAAGTATTGTGGTTAATGCAGACATGATTCCTTGTAAAATGTTTCAGTTAGGTGTTTCAACAACTTAACACCAGTTTTGTTGCCAGATAAAAGGGGAAAAACCTATTCTCAATGAACATGTGTTTAGAGTATTTGGCTGCTATAAATTTCCACCTTATAAGCCACTTCATTGAGCTATCATTTGTGGCCAGGTCACTTATGAAAAAGAGCTATATAACTCAGTGTGCCTTACCTGGTAAAATAAAACATTTTTAGGTGAATAAAATAGTGTATAGTTTAACACTGATGTTGATATCCTCATGCCACCCCCGCACCCCTTGGCGCCTTTCTAACCACAGGCCGAATAGTGTTCAAGATACCCGATTGGTTGCACCAGCTGCTGATGGGGGGGCGCATCCTGCTGAAGCACACGCTGGAGGCCTACTGCGACCACTACCTGGCCTACAAGATAGGCCAGCTGCTGCAGGAGCACCGGCTGGAGGAGCTCCTGCACCTGCTTAGAGGTGAGCACCATGTGTCGTCACCACTGGCCTGGTCTTCCCATTCATGCTTTCATTCAACGCCATGTTAGTTTTCGTAATTGTCATTGTAAAAATTGTCGCCGTCATCATCATCCTCGTCAAAATCATCACCAGCATCGTCTGAATAGTTATTGTTGGTATCATTATTATCATCATCATCATCATCGCCAGCATCGTCTGAATAATCATTGTTGGCATAATCATCATCATAGTTCTCGTCGTCTTCTCCATCATCACTGTCCCCTTCACTGATCATTGTCACGATCGTTATCATTATTGTCATGACAATTATCAAAATGTTGGTGACCTCTATCATATTTTCCTTTATCATCATCATCGTCATAGGTTCTCCCCTCTTTGAACATTCCTCATATACCAGGTCCACAACCCTCCGTACTCCACGACTCCATTCTATTGTAATCTCTGGGAACCCAGCACTGAGCTTGCCAGCTCCAATTTCTCAATCAAGGTGCTCTTCAACCTCAGGCAAAGTCACCTCTCTAAGGCCTTGGCCTCGCATCTACCGAGGCTGTAGCAGCGCAGAATTTTTTTGTTCAACCCATGTGCATGTTAAGTTTAGGATTTTAATTAATTTAACGGTGGTTTTTGTTTATTTTCTTCTCATTGTGGCAGACGTCCTGTTCTTTGACAAAGACCCTTCCCGCACTCCCGAAGAGCAGCGTCTCCGAGCCCAGCAGACATTCCAGGGCATGATGGCCTACATTCCAGGTGACCTGCGACACCCGGCGCAGCACCTCATCATGATCTTTTAAAGGAACAAAGCGACATCAACAAGTTAGGAAAAATAATACATATGCGTGGATTTTGTAACGCAGTGGTTCTTAACCTGGGGTGCCACGGGGGTGCGAGATGCCCTTTCTGGAGGTGCGGGACATGCCAGATATTTTTAGAAGGTAAATCATCGAAGCACAAATGCAGCACAAAGCTATGTATTTATTAACATAAATGTCTTGATGATTGAGAACCAAAGGGGGGTACAAGGCTACAGTCAAGGTTAAGAACCACTGGTGTCACGCTTTTTCAGTGAATCACTCGGCAATATGGAAACTAGTGGGTAGCTCTCGGGTAAACATCAGTTTGCGTGTGACTTTTTGCTCTATTTTGTCTCCAATATTTGGGCAACCCTTTGTTTAATTTGACAGCTTTATAACACATTCCTGCGGAGGGAGCTGGTAGGAACGTTGGGTTGCTCGGTCAATGGCCAGGGTCAACGGCGGCGTGGTGTATTCCGCAAATATGCCCGACTGTGAGGGCGGGCACAAGCCGGCGTGAGTAGGTTAAACATTGAGTTTTATAAGGGCACCACGGGGTGACCAGCCCCTCCCCACCCAGCTTCACCCCTCCCACCCCCCACCCAGCCCCATCCTCCCCACCCAGCCCAGCCCCTCCCCACCCTCCTCACCCAGCCCCTCCTCACCCTCCCCTCCCCACCAGCCCCTGCCCACCCAGCCCCTCCCTCCCCACCCTTGCCCCTCCCTGCACGACGGACACAATAATCCCCTGTGGGCTGGTGTAACCAGGTGGTTCCTACCTGTAAAAAGATAAACCCCTACCTAATAACAACACAGCGTTAAACTACAATGTGGTTCATATTAGATGAGTTTTACAACAATTACCCTGTCCCCTTTGTTCTAGACGTACGAACCTAACTAATCCTTGAATACTTCTGTAGAGGTGTAGTGGGTGACATCACGCCACGCTCGCCCTCGGAGAGAGTGGCGTCGCGGAACGTGACGTCAGGCGGGCCTTGAGGGATGGTGACGTGATGCCCCCAGGGGGGTATTTAAAGCGGGACCCGGGATTAACCAGGGTTGGTCGGGGGTAGGAGTGGGGATTCGGTAGGTGATGCTCACACGAGGCTAGGGGGAGGCTTCTCTGCCCGACCGGCCGAGGTTGGGGGTAGTCCCGGCCCGGGGCAGGGTGGAGAGCAGAGGTCGCAACTGGGTACCCGATACCCATACCCTACCCGATACCCGGCTACCCGTACCCAGCCGGGTACGGGTACCCGTTTGAGACCCTGGTGCGGCTGGGTACGGGTACGGGTAGCCGCACGTGACTCACCCCAACCAATGAGTGAGAAGGCCGTGAGTCACTGGTGAGTCACCGTTTGTCACTCATTTCCCAACGTCTCGTCTCTTCTCACAATTCATGTTCCTAGAATCAACCCACCCGCGCCTGCAACATGGCTTCATTCCAGAGGTCGCAATCGGGTACCCGATACCCGTACCCTACCTGATACCCGGCTACCCGTACCCGGCCGGGTACGGGTACCCGTTTGCGACCCTGGTGTGGCCAGGTACGGGTAAAGAATCAAAACCCGTTTGCGACCTCTGGTGGAGAGCCGGGTTAGCTGGGGTGTAGGGATCCCAGTACCCTGTCCCCTGGGGAGTTGTAGGCTAGGGACGTTTTGGTTCGGCGGAAGCTTTTAACAACCTGGCGTAAGCCCTTAATAAACGTGGCGTGAGCCCCTAACAGCAACCTGCCTCGGAGTCGTGAATTGCGCTACAACACTTCTAACCTTTCTTGGAAAGTATTGCAAACAAGTAGCTCTTGTTTGTTTGAAGCTTTGTAAATTAGGCAGAGTCGAGAGTGACTTCACGAAGGAGTGCTCGTACTGCAGTGGTGTTTCAAAAGTTACAGTCACACTGCAGCGACAACGCGAGTATCCTACGTCGTACTCCTGAAAGACACTTTTAAAGTCTTTTTTATTAATTAAAGCCTTAAATTTCGTGTAGGATACATTTTTTTCTTTTTTTTTACTTTTTACTTGGTATTTATCCGTTTTTAATTCGAATCTTCCGCAAATACATCACGGCACGTTCGTTTTAATGTTAGATTAACTCTTCATTGTTTCACTCGGATGTTTAGTTCTCTCAAGATTTAGGTCTCACATTCTCCAACTTAACTATGGAGCGCGTGTTTATTTTTTTAAATCTACACTCTGGGTGTTTTCACGTTTTTTATCCTCCTCTGTCTTTGAGCGCTTTAATATTCCTTCGCCCGCTCGGTCAGCGGCGTGTTTTCATTTCTATCGAAGAGGATCCCTCGGCGCTTGAATAATTGTTTCGCATGCTGTGCTGTGTCTCTCTCATCGTTGAACGTTTTCATGTTTTGTGGCTGCCTCCTCGCTGGGATCTCATTTGTGTTTGACACGGCCCTTAGACATGCTGGTGAGGTGCATCGGAGAGGACGCCCGGTACGAGGGAATCAAGCTACTGTTTGATGGGCTGCAGCAGCCTCTGCTCAACAAGCAGGCAAGGCCCGTTTTATCACCACTGTCTTACTTTTATGGCCATCTTCACCAGGTCAACCTTGTAAAAGAGCCCATATAGGCTCAAGTTCTTACTTGGCGATATAAACTCTCCTGACTCTCTCTGAAGTGGTGGCTTGTGGCTCCAGTTTGAAGACGCTTCAAAGCTAAGCTTCTTGGGTCTCGTGTGATGCACGCAAGTGGATTCATTCAAGTGACTGAAATACCTTGACACACACTTCATGGCCACGTTCTCCATCAGACACGTGCATGCAGTCCCAAGCACCTTTTCATGGTTCCCAGGGTCATGGGTCTGAGGGAGAGTGAAACAGCTTGCAGGATTGCCCGCTGGTTTCGTGTGTTTGTGTGTTCATCAGTGGTTTCGACCGTGTGCTTGCATGAGCGTGCGTGCGTGCGTGGAAAGCGGTGGTGCAGGCATTCTGCGCACGACACTATGACCTCACACCCCACCCTCTCCTGTGCTTTACCAGCCTTTATATCTGCTTGCTAACAGCATTTCCCAATATGGTTTGTAAAGTGAAATGGGGGATCGTTGTCTTATAGTAATAGGTTTTTACCCTTTCAACTGGTACAAAAACTGACACCTTTATACAAGGCATCATGTTTGCAATAACCACAACACAAGCAGTCAAAATGCAAACAAAAAGAAACAATTCTGATAATTATAATGATATGCACTGTCCTTGAAGTTGATTGGTCCACACCCGAGACAGCTTTTCTTAGAGCCTAGTCTCCATTGGTGTTGGACCAGATGACGCCAAAAGGTGTGATCGTTGTCTTCTTTGTGTCCGCGTGTCTTTGCGCTGCTGCTGCTGCTACTGTAGCTCACCTATCTGTTGCTGGACATCGTCGTGCTGGAACTCTTCCCAGAGATCGACCAGAAGCTGGTGAGTCCGTCTTTCCCTCCATCCAATTGACGTGTTCCATCACAACACTCATCGCTCGCGATATTCCGACAGGTCCCTTGCAGACGCAGTGCAGGATCACAGTTATTGGTCTCTTGACCGCTTTGCTTGATGCACTGGTGGTGTCTGACCGATGGATCTCCAAATACTTGCTGCCCCTGCCCCCCCCCCCCCCCAATTATATACAAATTTCAAAATCGGTAATCATGTAATGAGTCGAAGAAATTTCGATTTGGAACTTCTGCAGTGAGAAGTGCACCATCCTGTGTTTCGAGAATGGCCCCAGAAGTTGACATCAAATTACTACTTCTCAAGTCACTTCATAGGGCCTCTTTATTCACAATCGGGGTAAACCTTTATACGGCCTGCAAAGCATGTTTATCGTATGCCATTCAGATGCAAACAAAAGTTTTATTGTTGGAGCTGGAATAAGCTGCAATAAATAAAAAATGTATTTCATTGTGATGGTTGTTTCACGTAATCATTGGTGACTGGACTCACTGCACAAATAAACCCTGTTTAATCACAGTTGCCTGCCCCGATTCAAATCCAGGCTATCAGCTTCGCCTGCTCAGCGCTCTATCGTATTATTGTCCTCGTTGAGCCACCCAACCAATGCTTCTTTTCACATTTTTTACTAAATAAATCCATCGAATTGCATGCAGTTATATTCTTGGTTCTTTCGGTTAAGTCACGTAGAAGGGAAATAACTAAAATAAAACATTAAAATTATCACGACGTTTCGATTGCAACACAAGCAATCATCATCATCAGGTGTGAAAACCACAACAAGAAAACCGCCACTTTTTTCACAACTTTTCTTGCTGTGGTTTTCACACCTGATGATGATTGCTTGTGTTGCAATCAAAACGTCGTGAGAATTGTATTGTTTTATATTTTTATTATTTTATTATTTCCCTTCTACGTGACTTTACCGAAAGAACCAAGAATATGAATCCCTGCAGTCACGAAAGCTTTAAATCGAAATTTTGCATGCAGTTAATTTACTTTGCCGCATGTCGTCTAGCAGCTGTGTGTAGGATAATACATGTTCCTTGCGCATGCCTGCGGTTATGCATTATATAAGAGGCCATCATACCCCATGATATCATTAAACCATTTCGGCAATTATGGCCATTTGTGAAAAACTAACAAAAGCATTGTTTGTGAAGGACCACTTGTGGTGAAGTGTTTATAATAAGTCGCGCAACTTTGAAATGTGTAATGCTACCTTCATTTCGTGAATTTTCTTCTCATGTGATGTTTACGTAATTCTTTCTTTATTTTTACAGAAGTGACTCGCCGCCGATGTCAATACCTGCCGTCCCGAGCACGAGTCCCACAGATTGATGCTGCCGCGGGTGTCGCATTTCAAAGCTGCGATGTCAGCCCCAATAAACGCCTGGCATCTGTAGGCTACCTCGTAAACACGGCTCATAGCATACGCCCGCTCAAACACGGCAGAATTCCTTCCCGTGGAAAAGCATTTCATGGTGAAACATAATGCCCGCATTTTAATGGTTTGTTTGTTCCCGGCAATCGCAATGATGTGGCTACCATGAGCTGTCATTACTCCAGTCTGGGTTCACAGCCTCTTAAATTGCGTAGTTTTGGTGTGAGTGGCCATACATGCTTTTTAAACTATTAAACGAAATTTTTTAAATACCAGGTAAGGCCCATTGAAAAATATAGCTCCTTTTCAGAAGCAACCTGGCCACAAATGATAGCTCAATGTAGTGGCTTATGTGGAAATTTATAGCAGCCAAATACTCTTAAACACATGTTTCTAAATGTGGAGGGAAAAACCAGATGACCTGGAGAATAATTCATGCGACCATGGGGAGAACATGCAGACTTCAAATATACAGGCATCAGGGTCGGGATTGAACCCACAACCTCCTGTTGTACCAGGCGAGATATTCAACATCTAAACCACGATGGCGCCCTTTGTATTAGATGTATAAATAATTATTAGTCAATCAAGGTAGATGCTTACATTCCGGTTACATGTCTCGAGTCGTGCATTTCATGGTCTAGTTTTTTTACGATATATTTAAATTAAGTGAAAATATAATCTTTCGGCTAATGGAACGAATTAGACAACTTGATAAAAGACAAGGCGGACAATACGAGATTGTACGAATGAGATTAAAAAAAAAGTTCTTGAATCTAATCACAACCCCAAATTGTGATAATTCATCGAATGTTGGGTGGATTGTAATATGCCTAATAATGAGAGCCCTTCAGCACCATGGCACTGAAGTGGCTGATTAGCACGGTTGGCTACGTACGGTGTGAATAAAGTTTAACAGACACATGTACATACTACTTACATCCAGATGCTCTGATGTCAATGGTGAAGCAGCTCTGAAAACTAGTATGTCCGGAACATACATTTATCGCTGTTCGCTTAAAAGCAACGAATTGTAATCAGTGGCGCAGCTATTGAGTATGCAGGCTATACAACTGCACTGGCACGCATAGAGTCAGAGGGGCATAGGCTTGCTGGGCTCTGAAGAAGAGGAGAGGGGGATTTGACAGGGGTGGGTCCCCATTTCATTCCTTGCACCAGGGCCCAAGGCTAACCCATGCTACGCCACTGATAGTAAGTGTTCGGATAAGAATCGTCATTATTTATGTTTGCTGTGGATGTGCGAAGTAAAGCGTTGTAGTGCCTAAATTGCTTTATAAATATCGCTCAACATGGTTCACTGTGGTACAAGACCACCTCAAATGCTGGGCCAATATGTGGTCTCAAGACTTGATAAAGTATTTAAAAGAATTACTTCATTAATTGAATACAAGCAAATATCTTGAGCATTTTTCTTTTTGCATGACACTGAATGTTTGTTTTATTTTCGTGATATTGGAACACCGACAACTAGAAGCTTAATCTTGATTTGAAGCTTTCGTGACTGCAGGAATCCATACTCTTTGGTTCTTTCGGTAAAGTCACGAGCTTGTGTATTACACTTGTGCAGTACGGAATTACAAGTTAACAGTTTGACTCCCTTTAATTCCTGATGACGGGTAAACTCTACTGTTTTGAAGTTCATTCTAGCAATACTACAGAACCATATTCAAGGTTTGGTAACCACAACCTAAACTGTGGTTTTATGGCACTTATCAGTGGCTTATGAAGCCATTAATGAGATTCGGTGCAATTTAAATTCGAACACTTGACCACCGGGGCAAGTCTTTGCTGGAAAAAAACTTACTTTGGATTGTTTCCTTGGTCATACCTGCCTATCCAACTCAGAGCACTCTTCTGCCTCTGAGTGCAGGCAATTGGATCACCACACTTGACCAATGTACATACATTTATAAGCTAATGTTCACCCAGTTCGACAGATATATGCTTAATTCCATTCTGTGTGTCTGCATACAAATTGAAATATTTTAAAGTCCATCGGCCTTAGTGGCTTTACAGACCAATTGTCGCACGGAAGGAACGGAGTTCTGCTTATATTTAATTTTACCCGCAATGCTTGATAGCTAGGCAAAAAAGTTTATATTTACTTTCCGTACAGTTCCCCTATATTCCAAAATATTGCACTTCAATTGTAGGACATTGTACGTGCGTATGATCTGGTACAAGGCCCTCTTGCTACATGAGAGCATAATGGTTATTTTCCACAGCACTGTCAACAGTTGAAGAGTGTTGATTTTTTTTGTCAGCGTAGTCTACTGCCACCTTGAATTGGATGAAGGACCTGAACATCCAACTGTGACATTCTGCTGACAGCCGCGTGCGGTCGACTGTGTATTACCCGAGCCACATGTCAGTCGATAAGAACGTAGTCCGCATGTGAATCGTAGAGGCAATATGTGCTGCCATACTGGGGCTGTGACGATTGGTGCAAGATTGCATCGGTTTTCACCGTTGTGTTGTGTAGGAGCGGGTACAAACCAAATACTCACATTGGAGAGCTAAACTTATCATTTGTATGCTGTCAATGTGAGGTTTGTCATTTGCGGATTTCAAAACGCACTTGCGTGCAAATGAACTGTCTTGCATGAATTACACATCGGCATGACAATGCCTTTGAATTGTAAAAATCCGTGGAAATTCACTTGAGTTTGAGAGTTTACCAAACATTGTGAAAATAATTGCATTTTGTAAGCATTTCTTGGCAATTCATGTGGCGTGCACTTGCCTTATCTGTAGGCCTACACTTTACAATCTTTGGATGTACTTCAGTTGTGTAAGAATTGTATATTGGTAGCATAAATGTGATTTAAATATGACTTGTTCTGCTGTGTCTTGTTAATGTCACATGCACCCACGTGCTGATTACATTCGCAAAGTTGTTACATTGTAAATTGGCCCAGTTAACAGTACATACCAATAACTCCATACATTCATGTTTACGGTGTTTAAAGACCTCAACACCCATTGATTTTCTCTTTCTTTTGATTCGCTGACTGCAGCTTCCACGTGGCATTTATATATTTATCGCCCTTCAAATTTGATGTGAAGCTTTAGTGACTGCAGGAATTACTCTTTGGTTCTTTCGGTAAAGTCACGTAGAAAGAAAATCAATTTAATAGAATACGACGTTTAATTTGCAACACAAGAAATCGTCACCGTGTCTGTGTTTTGTCTCTCAAATTTAGTTCGACTTGACGATTGCTTGTGTTGCAATCGAAACGTCGTATTCTATTATTTCATTTCTTTTCTTTCTACGCGACTTTACCGAAAGAACCAAAGAGTTATCGCCCTTCGTCTATGATATCGATTTTTTTCGGCAGTGTCTGAGTACCTAGTCGAAAGGCACTTTGCGAAAATAATTTACCATTACCGCAGTTGTAATACCGCCTAGCAGTAAACAAAAATAACATTTAATTCTGCCATTTTTACTGCCGTATTCTTGTACAGGCAAAATTTAGTTTGCAGGTCCATACGGCTGACAGCCGTTTCAACACGGGCAAAAAAAATACATTATTTTCCCTTGTGATGGGAATTTGTAGGATGAACGTTGAGATTTTATAAGGCCACGAGGTGACCAACAAGGTCTGGATTGGTCTGTAATAAGATAGGCACTGATAAGGGGTTGATAGGTATGAGAGTGTATGGGTGTGAGTGTACGAGTGGTGATTGTGTTTCTCCCTTGTGATGGGACTATGATGAACTATGACATTTATAAGGCCACGAGGTGACCAACAAGGTCTGGATTGGTCTGTAATAAGATAGGCACTGATACGGGGTTGATAGGAATGAGAGTGTATGGGTGTGAGTGTACGAGTGGTGATTGTGTTTCTCCCCTGTGATGGGACTATGATGAACGTTGACATTTATAAGGGAAGGGGATATTAATAAGTTCTGGTCTAATAAAGTAGGCACTGATAAAGGGTTGACAGGTATGTGATTTAGCCCTGGGAGTGGTACTAACAAGTGGCATTTAAGCCCCAATTTGCCCCGCTTTCTCTTCTCGTCTCGGCCCATTCTGACACCAGTCTCTCCCCCCCCCCTTCCCTGTTGCCGTCCAGGAACTCTGTGTGTGTGTGCGCGTGGTATCCAAACAAACACGGTCAACATGAACAAACTTGCCATGGGTAACGGGAGGGCAGTGTCAGCGATGGGGCCGCGTGATTGGTGGTCGGGTTCCTGGAAGGCGGGTTTGAAGGGGTGGCGTGGAGCCGGGTGGATGTTGGGTCACCAGATCGGTTGGGGGTGGTTGGTGGTGGTGGTTCAATGAATTGGAATGCTGTAGTCCAGTGGTGCTTATAACCTCGACTGCAGCCTTACATCGTAAAAAAAAGAATGTTAATAAATACGTTGGGTTTGATGAAACAAAGTTGTTGTACTTACGTGCCCCGTGCTTAATTTATGTTTCGATTAATTGCCTATGGGGCCGTCCATAAATGACGTCACGCACCTGGGGGGGGGGGTCAGACATTTGTGACTGTGTGACGAGGGGGAGGGGGTTTGAGAAATGTGACGTCACATCAAAATGCGCAACTTTAATTAAATATAAACAACACGTTCTACTTAATTAAATAGACGTTTTAATAAAAGTTTTCTCCTACAACATCAGAGTGCAGCGGCACATTAAATACGCACTACAATGACAATAGTTTAAAGCGATTTGAAGCATGTTTTATTTGGGGGGGGGGGCAGAGCTTTGTGACGTCACTTTTGGGGGGGGGGTCTGACCTTTTTGTGACGTCATTTGAGAGGGGGGGGGGGTAAAAAAATCTCGCACCCCAGATCAAGAATCACTGTCGTAGTCTCTACTGCAGGAATCCCGATGACCCATTAAGCTCTTCCCCTTTCAAAGACGTCCAATTAGAGGTGTGTGTGTGTGTTAGCCATGTCCCCCCCCCCCCCAAAAAAAGGTATTGTGGTATTGACAATTGCATCAACGCTTCGAAGGTGATCATTGCATTGAGCGTTGCCACGTGTTGCATCGCATTTGCACTTATATACATACCACTTTCGTTCGTGGCACGCAGAGGTGGGACAAAGTCATTGTTATGCAAGTCCAAGTCGAGTCTGAAGTCATCAAATTCATGACTCGAGTCTGACTCGAGTCCAAGTCACATGACTCGAGTCCACACCTCAGAGGTGGGACAAAGTCATTGTTATGCAAGTCCAAGTCGAGTCTGAAGTCATCAAATTCATGACTCGAGTCGACTCGAGTCCAAGTCACATGACTCGAGTCCACACCTCTGGTGGCACGTAACAAAATGTGTTTTTAAATTTCGATTTAAAGCTTTCGTGACTGCAGGGATTCATCTTCTTGGTTCTTTCGGTGAAGTCACGTAGTAGGGAAATAATAAAATAATAAAAATTCTACATAATAAAATATAATTCTCACGACGTTTCGGCCAAAATGTGTTTGCCCAACGCCGCCGCAGCCTTGCCCTATTGTTGTTGTTGTTGCAGCAGCAGCTAATGTTTTTAACATGCGATGCAGTCCGTCCTCCTCCTCCCCCCTTCCAACTCTGTAATGGCACGTGACGCCGCTACCAGCACACGTGCGCTCACGTGTGTGGGGTGGGGGCCACGTGCTCTGTCTGTCTTCTCCCAACTTGCTCTGTGCTCCAATAAGGGGGGTGGTGTGTGAGAGAGAGAGGATGCTGTCCGGATTTTTAAATGCACATGTACAGTTCGAGGCACTGTACGTATCCGACAGCTGTTGCGGAGTGGCAGAGCGTGTGGGTGGGTGGAGGAGGAGGAGGGATGTCCGCTTAGTGGTCGTTTGGTGGCCTCTTCAATTGCCACGAACTTTCCACACCCACACTTTTAAGGGGGCTTCCATTGAGCGCAGCCGTTTTGCTGTCTGCTGCAGAAGCATCAGCACAAATACAGCAGCCCATCCAGACTCGGTGGGGATTTCGGAGAAATGTCCTCTAGGGAGAATGAAAATTCCTCAATATACAATACTTTTTCTGCCGGACTGTATGCTGCGGTTTTTTTTTTTTTGACAAATAAAATTTTCCCAGCATGGATTGAATACCCGTGTATTTTTTTAAAACTCCCTCCAACCCACTACCCCTCCCTCCCTCCCTTACGCCAACTTGAAAAAACAAACTCTTCCACCTTGTAACCCCGTTTCTCCACATATTAAATTTTTTGTCATCAGTGCATCACAGTGTGCCTTTATATAATCCCGAAGGCCCATGCATTAACTCCCAAAGAAGCCAAAGATTTATGAAATGGGGAAAATATAAAAAAAATTCTACGTGAGACACAGAAAGCAGCCTCCTATCTGGGAGTATTTCCACACTCCAAGCCAAACCCACTCACCATAGGCATACCGACATCTCTTCCTTTGTATCGCCTTATTCAGCGAGGCGGTGTTGACACAAGGGGGTGCATTCTAAAGGCACTTTACATTTTATATGGAGAGATGTTCCAAGCGCCTTTTTGACCAAGTCAGCAATTGTGTGATTCACCGAGGAGCCGGGCAGAGGGGTGGGTGGCTGATTGGACCTACCGTTAGCTCCCATACCTTCCGGGATTTGGCATGTTTGCGCATACCAGACATGGCAGAGAGAGAGAGTTGATGTAAATTCCAGCTGGTGATGTGTGTGGCCTCTCTGTAGTTTTAGGGTTAACGCCGGTCGTGGTGGCACTGCCCACTTTGTGGGAAAAAAAACATTTTCTGTAGCTCGCCTCTCATAATGCAATGATGTAATCAAGTTTGTGCCACTTTCAAAGGCACTTGGAAACGTACATCAATGCTTTGCCAACTGTGGTATAAAGGGACTTAATGTGGCCTTATGGGGGCCAACTGCAACTAACAAATGGTCACGTGCTTCGAAGGCTGAATTTTATAGTGCACTTACCCAGCCTTTAAATAGGGGCCCATGGTTTTGTCACTATAACGATGAAACTTTATAACCAAAACAAGGAAAAGCATTTGAAAGTCACGTGAATAACGTATTAGTCATGGATATATATATTTGGAATTGCTAAATGACTGTGTGGTTTGTTAGCTAAGCAAGAGGTTCATGCCTTAATTCAAGTCATATCAATGGGGTGCCTCTCATATCCATTGTTGACTGGAGTCAATGGTCAAATTCCCACCCTCTTGAGAGCCACTTTAAATAGATTGTCCACTGCTGGCTTTTCCCCAAAGTATGTTGACGTATTTTTGCGGCCAGAAGGGATGATGGCCTACAATAAACCCCTGCATGTGATTTGAACCCACAACCTAACAGCAAGCCCGGTCACATGTGTGTTGTGTTAATGCTGCCGAGCTCGGCATATCTACAGTAGCAAGCTATGTTAATGACGGACCTTACAAATTGGAACATGGGTAATGTGCCAGTGGCCAGCGGGTGGCATACGATTGACCAATGGTGGCTTAAAACCAGCAGGGTGTAAGGGCTTAATATGGGGAAACGGCTATGTCGTTTTCATTAATACCTTACAATGCTTGCACATATGGCATGAGACTCGCGTATATAGAACACATTTCTCAATTCTCACACAGCTTCTGTAAAGAACTTGGAGGTTATGGTCAGATGTGGCGTTATGGTACTCTGGTGATATCTCTTCTAACATAATCATACGTCCATGAAGTGGTGTTAATGCTGTAACATTAAAGTCTTTTTTTTCATTAACAGAGCTTGAAAGTTGTGTCAGGCAGCCCAGAACACACAATCTGTGTGCGGGGACAAGACGAAATATTATTTTTGAGTAATTTAGTTCATCCAGGAAAGTTCTCAAGCATTTTTAAAGGAGGGTCGGTCCTGCATTGTAAAATTTGATCAATTCCATTTTAAATAGTTGTATG